GAGTTATGCTTTTATAAATTAAGAAAAACAAGTTGTTGTCAACTATTGTGAATGTGAATTATAGATTGAGTCAAACTCTGAAAAACTGATTATTTTAAAGCAAGTATTTATTAAGTACCCTATGCTAAGTGCTTTATAGGAATTATGTTATTTACTCCTACTAAAGTTGGTATTATTTAGACAGATAAAGAAATGGAAAGATGTTAAGTTGCTTAATTGAGATCACACAACTAATACCAAAATTCAAAACTAGTTCTGTCTGATTTCAAGACAGAAACAGAAATTCCATAAAACATCTGGAATGATGGTCCAGATGTGCTAAAAAAAAAAAAAGTCTGCAATTGCCCTGGCAAGCATGGCTCAGCACTTAGAGCATTGCCTGCCACCAAAGGTTCACAGTTCAATTCCTGGTCAAGGGCATGTATGTACCTGGGTTGCAGGTTCGATCTGTGGCCCAGGTCATGCACATGCAGGGGGCAACCAATCGATGTGTCTCTCTCACATCTATGACTCTCTCTCTCTCTCTCTCTCTCTCTCTCTCTCTCTCTCCCCCCCTGCTCCATCCTCACTTCCACTCAATCAATGGAAAAAATATCCTCAGGTGAAGATTAACAATAACAACAAAAAGTCTGCAACCACCGTACAATTCATAACTTAGCTGAATGGACTTTGAGTCACAAAAATCCAGTTTGAAATCCTACTTGTATCATGTGTAGCATCTTGGGCAAAGATCTAAGCTTCTTTTTGCCTCTGTGATCTATAAAATGGGAATAATAAAATCTCATTAACTGCTTATTAAGATAATATGTAACCCAGCCAGTGTGGTTTAGTGGATTGAATGTCATCCCATGGACTGAGAGGTCCCGGTTCGATTCCTGGTCAGGGCACATGCCTGGGTTGCAGGCTCGATCCCCAGCAGGGGGCGTGCAGGAGGCAGCCCATCCATGTATCTCTCTCACATCGATGTTTCTATCTCTCTGTCCCTTCCTCTCTCTCTAAAAAAATCAATAAAAACATATTTTTAAAAAAGATTATATGTAAAGCATCTACTGTTATAGTAGCTGTGGATGAAGGTGGAGGGAGGGACACAGAAGTGGGGAGGAGGGTGTCAATGGGGGGGGGAAAGGAGGACTTCTGTCAATACTTTCAACACTAAAGATTTTTTTAAAAAAGAATATACATTGATTTGGCAAATTTTTAATCAAGGATTTTAAAAATACTTTGAGTATTCTATCCTAAGAAAATAATCCAAAATAGCTGGGACTTGGGGAGCATAGGAGGACCATATGCATGAAGAAACACTCTGAAGTATTTTTTTCGACCATGGCACAGGATTTCAAGTAGCCACAATAATCACTCATTCCGTCTTCGTCTATAAGTTTCTCTCAAATGGCAACTGTAATACCCCAACTGTTGTATTTAAACCAACCCCCTTCCTCAGCTCTATCCCTCCCCAACTCTGCTTTACTTTTCAAGATGTTGTCTGCTAACATGTTGCACAGTTTACTTATTTTCTGTATTTATTAACCCTCTCTTCACAAAGGGATACATTTCAAGAGGGAATGGTTGTTGTTTTTTTTTCTTTATTGATTTTAGAGACGAAACAAGAGGGAGAGAGAGATGGAAACATCGATGAAAGAGAACATGGATTAGCTTCCTGCATGCTCCCCACTGAGGATCGGACCCACAACCTGGGCATGTGTCCTGACTGGGAATCGAACCAGCAACCTCTTGATGCATGGGTTGACGCTCACCCCCTGAGCCACACGCCGGACAAGAGGGAACAGCTTTTAGTCTCTTGTTCATTGATGGGTTCCCATCACTTAGTCTTAGAACAGGCACACAGTAAAGGCTTAACGATGTTTGTTGAATGAATTAATGAATGAATGACTCCAAAACTAGGAGACTGGGTTAGTGAATTAAGGTATGATATTTTATGCTACTTCTTTAAAGTGGGCATAGAATTTAGAAAACAAAAGCAAAAATCTCTAAAATGTGCCATTAAGTGAACAAAGAGCTGCAGTACTCAAATTCAAATACATCCTTAAAGGGGTATGAGGCAAAACTATGTAGCAGAAAAAAATGACTGAAAGGAAATGCAAAAAGGGAGTGGGATTTATGCTTTTTGTTTTCTATTTTAAAATATATTGTGTTTCATTTGAGAACTACAGCAAGGTATGGAGAAAGGAATGTAAGCGAGTGAAGGTGAGAAAGATAGATAATAATGGATGTTCTATCACAAGGTTTGGGATACTATAGACCTATATGCTCTTTGCCTGAATCCCTGGTGTTTTATATAAAATGGAACTTATTAGCCAAAGAGCATATCAGGGCTCAGTTTTCCTCTGATTTCCAGAAACACGTGATCTGCAGAATTGGCAAGTTAAGAAATTTAATAGCCCTGGCTGGTTTGGCTCAGTGGTTAGAGCGTCAGCCCTCAGACCAGAGTCACAGGTTCGACTCCAGTCAAGGGCACGTACCTTGGTTGTGGTTTGGTCCCTGGTAGGGGTTGTGCAGGAGGCAACCAATTGATATGACTCTTTTACATTGATGTTTCTCACACTCTCTCTCTCTCTCCCCCTCCCTTACTCCCTCCCTCCCTCCCACTGTGTCTGAAGACAAATGAAAAAAATATCCTTAGGTGAGGATATAAATGAATAAATAAATAAATAAATAAATTTAATATTAGCCTGGCCAGGGTGGCCCAGTGGATTGAGCATCATCCTGTGGACTGAGAGGTCCCGGTTCAATTCCCAGTCAAGGCACATGCCCAGGTTGTGGGCTTGATCCCCAGGAGGGGGTGTGCAGGAGGCAGCTGCTTGATGTTTCTCTCACATCAACGTTTCTATCTCTCCCTTCCTCTCTCTCTCTAAAAAAATCAATTAAAACATATTTTTTAAAAATAGAAAGAAATTTAGTATTAGCTAAATACTCAGTTTTATAGAGCCCTTGAATTCTCTTTCATTGTTGCCCATGTCTGTTTGGCCTGTTTGTTTTTAGATTCTCCTCTTCCCCTGCAGTCCCTGCCGCCACCCTCCTACTCCTTTGTCCCAGCATCAGGTCCTGTTCCGCCTCAGTTCCTGGTTGTGTGTGAGTGTGTGTGAATGTGTGAGTGTGTGTGTGATTGTGTGTGAGTGTGTGTGTGAGTGTGTGTGAGTGAGTGTGAGTGTGTGTGTGAGTGTGTGTGAGGTTTCCCAGACCGATGAAGCTCTGGCTCTGAGAACACTCCAGGCCAGAGAAACCCAGAGCAGCTGAGACCTCTCAACGGTCTCCCCTCTTCCCTCTTCTCTGCATCTCCAGCCAGGTGCCTGCACCCTGTGTCCCACCAGCCGGTGCTCTCTGTCCTGCAGCCCGTCTGCTCCTGAGTGATTGCTGTCACAGAGCGATCCTGCCTGTCCCTTCTTGGTCACAAAGACAATCACAGATCTTTATCCCTCACAACGCATCAGGTGTATTGCTCCTCACACGTGTACTAATGCTAGAGGACCGTTTCCTTCTAGCCCTAACAGCTGTTTAATCCCCAGAATCGTGTGTTAGAATCAAAAAGAATCTTAAAAGCCGCCTACTGAAATCCCCATTACCAATCCACAGTTAATACAAGTCAGCCCTCGTTTATCGCGGTTGATCAGTTCAAGACTCTACCGCGATAAATGAATTTCCACGAAGTAGGATTCTTTATTTATACAAGTTGTCCCTGGCCACTTCGTGCGTCGACTTGCGCGGCCTCACTCTATCGCGGTTTTTTCAAATATATTCATTGAAAAGTTGATCGAGACAGTGAAATGGTACAGCGTGCGCTCGGTTGTCTGAGTCAATTATACACCTCTGTATTACAATTACAATTACAATTACAATTACAATTACAATTACAATTACTGTACATATGGACTGTAGGCCTATGTATTCGAGCACCCCAGGAATCCTTCAATGCCAGGTGCAACCACTGGACTGGAATTTATTGACCACGATAAACAAGGGACAACTATATCGCAGCTTTTTTAAATATAGTATAATATTTGAAAAACCGCGATAGAGTGAAGCCGCGAATGCCAAAGCACAAAGTGCCGAGGGATGACTGTAGTGCCAAGCCCGGCTGGTGTGTTTCAGCGGATTGAGCATGGTCCCATGGACTGAGAGGTCCTGGTGCGATTCCTGGTCAGGGCACATGCCCGGGTTTCATGCTCGATCCCCAGTAGGGGGCGTGCAGGAAGTAGCTGATCAGTGTTTCTCTTGCACATCAAGGTTTCTATCTCTCTCTAAAGAATAAATAAAAGAAACAACCACAACATCAAAATACAGTGCTAAGTGCATGGTAGGTGTTTGAGAAATATTTACCATCAGTAAATATTGTAAAATCATTCATTATGGACCACTATAAGATCGTTATTTTGAGCATTAATCTTTGTTTTAAAAAAACAGTTTTTTCTCATCTCTTATTCATGTGAGTTTATAAAATCCGTGAACAGTGTTGAAGAGGCTGGGCCTTCGAAAACAGGGAGGGAAGCAGAGAAACGGTTTTCAAGTTGGCAGCAGGGTTGATGTAAAGAGAAAAAGGAAAGTTACTGATGCAAAAACAAGAAGAAATGGGCTAAAATTATGATGAAAAGATTACACACAAATAATAACAATAGTCACCACTAAAAATGATTAAATAAAGAAAGGGGTTGCCAAGGAAAGCTGAAAAACGATGGTCCTTGAGGTTAGCAACATGCCCTTGGTGTGATTCAGCAAGTGACAAATTAGGCCTTTGATGGAGCAGAATAGAATAAATATGTTAAATGATTCCTCCTCCAAGAGTCTGGAAGGTTAGCTTTTCATTTCACTGGAAAATATGAAGTGATGATGATTAGCAAGCCCCTCACCTGCCTTCACGTCGCTAACATAGCTGCCTTCACCTGACCCCAGAGATTACGAGAACGCTGGTCACGGTGCTTTTTGCCAGGACAGCTGAATTTTCTAATGATAACTGTTTCATTGTGGTTGTTGTTTTTCTCTTTCAGGCCTGTAAATTTTATAGTTCCCAGTGGTACGTGGTAAACTACAAATACGAACAATATTCTGGAGACATTCGACAGTTGCCCCGGTAAGAACCTGTTACGAGCAGAGTTTGGGTTTTCCCCTATGTAAACGATTTCTTTGTGGAAATTCTGCCGCTGTTTATGAACACACGCGTGTTACGCTAGGGCCAAGGCATATTTAAAATTTTTTTTAAATGTGAGTCACGATAGACTCTTTTATTCAACAATGGAATGTGTGCCCAGTGACAACACTGACAGAGATATAAATATGCTTCTTTAATTTTGAACGCAGTCTAACAGTATCATTACATCCTTCTTTTGTGAGCTGACCTTTCAGTAGCAGACACAGAGGATTAGAAAAGCAGTTTGGATCAAAGATGTTTTTCTGACAATACTCTGTATACCATGTTCAGATTTGCCACTGGTTCCGATTCCTCATACTGGGACAACAAAAAATCACTAAAATAAACGACCTCCACAGAAGTGATATATGCCTAAGAAAAGCTAAAAGGGATAAATAAATACCCAGTTTTGGGGGGGTTTTTTTCTTTCTGGACTCTGGGGAAATAACACCTTTAGGAGAAGGTGACTTTGTTCTGTCTCAAAATGTCAGCTCCACAGAGAAGTTCCCTGAACGAACGTAGTCAGTGATTCTGTGTTTGTGTCCCCACCGAAGTAATAACTCCCCAAGGGCAGGGACTTTTCCTTGCAGAATCCCCCGCAGGCCTCGCAGAATGCCTGCATGTAATAGGGGTACAGTAATGACCTAACGCATAAGTAAACGGAGTGAATGGCAAATTTTAAAATGCAGTATTCCTGGATGGGATTGGAGTTGCTCAAATGTAAGGAATTTCAATAAATTGGAATCTCTCCATACATTGGTTTATCAAATGAAAATGATGCAACTAAGCCAGGAAAACACTTCAGATAATCCAAAGATATGCTTTCATTGACATTTTTCTAAGTGAAATATTGACAGGATACACATGGCAGCTAACTTTTTCATGGACACATGGTTCAGGTTTGGGTACCACTTTCCAAGATTTCCCTTGCTCCCCAAAACATCTTCTCCAGACTCAGATACTGGGAAGCGCTGCGGTCAACTCCTCCATGCAGAACTGGAACGAGGGCTGTGGGGCAGTGCTGAGAAGCTGGCCTTTGGGCTCAGCTCTGAACTAACAGTCGCTACCAGCACTGTGATCTTGGGAAAAGGTGCGGAGAGGGCGCAGCATGGGCAAAGGTCCTGAGGTGGGAGCCAGCGTGGCCACTTGAGCAGAGTGACAATCAGGGAGGAGCTGAGGATCGGAAAGAGAAGGGAAAGAACTGTGGAAAGCTAGACCTTGTGGGCCCGGAAAGGAGCTTGGATTTTATTCCTACTGCAACAGAAGCCTGTAGAAATTGTAACCAGGAGTGTGACATGAACTGGTTTGCCTCTTTGAAAGATTCCTTGGTTGACTCTACGGAGCAATGGATCGCAGCGGTGAGGACAGGAAGAAAGGAGAGAGAAAGAGGCCATTCTTTCGGAGATGCGTTACTGTGCAGAACCGGTTCTCTTCCAACACAGCAGATGTGTTTCCAAACAGTGAGCGCTAACTGGTACCAAATCTCTGCACATTCCATTGGCTTCAGGTCACTCTTTATAGATAACCTTCTGCAACCTCACATTGGGAAGGTCCCATCACATGCTGGGCGTTCGCGGGTCGTAACTATATTCAGAATGTCTGGGTGTTAGCACTTTTTAATAGGCACAATTGAAAAGCAAATCATCTTTTTTCACAACAAGACTTCCTCTTTCTCAAAATAGTTCGGAGAAGTGGTTACGACTCGGACACTGTGTCCAGGCAGTTGGAACGCATAGAAAGCCGTGTTCAGCTGGCCTTTCAGACAACTGCTCTCTTTGGGTCCATGAAATGTTTAGTGACCTTATCTCCAAATGCTTTTTTTCTTTCCTTATGTTCTTGATGCCATAAGGACAGCTGTCAGAGGGGAAGGGAGTTTGGGGGCTAGGTGAAAAAGGGGAAGGGATTAAGCAACATAAAAAAACAAACCATAGACACAGACAACAGTATGGATACTACTAGAGGGTAAAGGGGTGGAGGAGGTAGAAGAGGGAAAAGGGAAATAAATGGTGATGGAAGGAGACCTGACCTGAGGTGGTGAACACACAATACAATATGCAGATGATGTGTTGAGAGTAGTATCCCTGATCTGTTCCCATAGTTAGCTATCTGGCCACACCACGATCGCCCGGGCATGGGTCCTTGGAGTCCTTTCCTCGTGATCCCATGGAAGAACCTGATCTCCACCAGCAACATTACCTAGATAATTGTATTAACTAATGTCACCCAATAAATTCAATAAAAATAAAAAATAAGAAAAAGAAAGAAACAAAAAATCGGTGGTATTAAAACAATAGACAAAGCACCTCCAGTAAACACAGGGTCTTGTTGAATCGGATTCCTATAGAGCATAAGCAAAACATCTCATGAGGAGAAATACAATAGTAACCCAAAATATTGCTGAGAATTATTTTTGCTTTAACTAAAGGAAGTGGAAGTTGATACCGTGAAGGGGAACAATAAGACAGCCACAAAGTAAAATGTTTTATATATACATATATTTTTTCAAAATGAAAATCAGAAGTTCTAGAATATAATACAAAAATATAACCCTCACATATCCCAGAAATAATGAAGACTGTAACATTGTTTGACAAAACTGTTTTTTAAATGGTTTTACAAAGCTAAGCACTCCCCACTAAAGACTACACAGATTTAGGTCAGTAGTGGAAACAGATAATTTACTTGGGCCTTGTGAGGCTATTAGAAGTAAATCATTTTCATACCATCTGTATTAAAAGAATTCTCCTATGTCTGCTAACAATTAAAATTGATCATTTCTTTCTATGGGTTGCTGAGGCTACAAAATGAAAACTTGCAATTATAAAAAGGTAAAAAAAAAGAGGTGTGTGTTTATTTCCCTCATTTTTATTCTTCAAATTTAAAATAGTATTATTATTCACTCTTAAGAACCCCACCTTTTTAAGTGTCTGTTTCTAGGAAGATATTGGAGAAAGACATTTCAGGTTAAATGTAAAATCTAAAGCCTTTGCCCATTAAGAATTATGAAAATCCCTGCACTTGTGGTTCCAAGAATGCCATAAAAATGCATGATGCCAAAGAGGCCAAGGATATATGTACAGTAAGGCAAGTGTCTTTAATAAACGGTGTTGAGGAAACTAGATAGCCACATACACAAGAATGAGACTAGGCTGCCGTCTTACACCAGACACAAAAATGAACTCAAAATGGATTAAAGACTTGAATGTAAGACCTGAAACCATAAAACTCCTAAAGAAAAACAGAGAGGCTATAAGCTCCTTAACATTGTTGTTGGCAATGTATTTTTTTTGTTTGTTTTTGACACCAAAAGCAAAAGTAACAAAAGCAAAAATAAACAAGTGGGACAACGTCAAACTAAAAAGCTTCTGCACAGCAAAGACAACCATCAACAAAATGAAAAAGTAGTCTATTGAATGGAAGAAAATATTTGTAAATCATATATCTGAGAAGGGGTTAATGTACAAAATAAACAAAGAACTTATACAATTCAATAGTTTTAAAAAAAGGAAAGAAAAAATAAACCACAACAAACAATCTAATTAATGATGGGCAGAGGCTCTGAATAGAGATCCTTTCAAGAAAACATACAGGTAGCCAACAGGTACATGAAAAGATGCTCAACATCACTAATCAACAGGGAAAGTAAAATCAAAACCGCAGTGAGTTATCTACTCACACCTGATAGAATGGCTATTATAAAAAAGACAAGAAATAACAAGTGTCGGTGAGGATGTGGAGAAAAGAGAAGGCTTACGTACTGCTGATGGGAATGTAAATTGGTGCAGTCACTGTGGAAATCAATATGGAAGTTCCTCAAAAAAATTAAAAATAAAACTACCATATCACCCAGCAATTTCACTTCTGTACTAATCTGAAGAAAATGGAAACACCAATTTGAAAAGATATACACCCCATGTTCACTGCAGTGTTGTTTACTATAGCCAAGATATAAAAATGACCACACTGTCTATTGCTAGGTGAATGGAATACTGTTCCATCATAAAAATAAATGAAAGAAGAGTGAAATCTTGCAATTCATGACAACATGGATGGTTCTCAAGGGCATTATGCTAAGTGAAATAAATCAGGGAAAGACAAATACCATATGATCTCACTTATATGCAGAATTTGAAAACAAAGAACAAACAAACAAAAAACAAGCTCAGAGACACAGAGAGCAGATCTACGGTTATCAGAGACAGGAGGTGGGCAAGGCGAAACAGCTGAAGAGGCTCGAAAGGTAAAAACTCCCATTATAAAATAAATGTCAGCCTGGCCAGTGTGGCTCAGTAGTTGAGCATCAACCCATGCACCAAGAGGTCACTGGTTCAATTCCTGGTCAGGGCACATGCCCAGGTTGTGGGCTCGATCCCCAGTGGGAGGCATGCAGGAGGCGGCCAGTGGATGTTCTCTCTCATCAATGTTTCTAGCTCTCCCTCTCCCTTCCTATCTCTAAAATCAATAAAAAATAAAAATAAATAAATAAAGTAAATGTCGGGGGAGAGATAAACCACAGAACTTATATTCATGTATGCATGAACAGTGGACATGGACAACAAAGCTGGGGACAGGGCGGGGAGGGAGAGGGAGGGGGGAATCAGTGGAGGGAAAAGGAGAAACATCTGTAACAAAAATTAATTAATAAAAATAAATAAATAAAAATAAAGTAAATGTCATGGGGATGTGATGTACAGTATGCTGATTGTAGTTAATAATAAAGTGTTACATATTTGTAAGTGGCTAAGAGAGTAGATCTTAAAAATCCTCATCAAAAGGGAAAATGTTGTAACTATATGGTGACAAACATTAACCAGATTTATTGTGAAAACCATTTGGCAGTATATACAAATTTAGAATCATTATGTTTTATACCTGAAACTAATATATTATTTGTCAAGTATACCTCAATTTTGAAAACATATATGAAAAATTTATATGAAATATATATATGTGATGGGGTAAAATACAAAGAGATAAGACATATTTAAATGTATTACTACAGCTGATTGGATATAAAGAAGAAAATTTTATAGAATTCATTTTGCAACTGAATATCAAAAAAAAAATGCAACCAGTTTGAGTGGGCTGAACTAGAAGAGAATTTTTTTTTTAATAAAAGAACATTTTCCAAGTGTCGACAGTGAGCTGGAACATGCTAAGGGCTGTATGTACATGATCTCATTTAACACACACAGTCCTGCAGAGTAGGAACTGTTATTCCCGGTGTATACAGGAAAGCAGGTACTGGGAGGAGGAGTCGCTCACCCCTCACCTCGCAGCTGTAGCTGAGGAGGCCTCAGACATCCCCCCACCCCTTATGTGGGCAATGGGAGTACTTTGGGTATAGAAGTAGGCAATGAGACTGCCTAGAAATGACCACTGGAGTTGGGTTCAAACACCAGAGGGTGAGGTCCCTACTGAGCCCCGTATTTCAGCAACCCAAAGACTCAGAGATCACGCAGTGTTGCTGAAGGGAGAACGTTAAACTCAGGAGCAGGGTACTTATCTGTAACGACCTGGAGAAGGGTGAACAGTTGCGTAATGGCCCTGCAGACTGAGACTGAGTGGTGATTGTACTTGGAGGCAACGAGGTTGTGCCCGCGGATCAGTGGGAACAGGACCGACTGGGAAAGGAGGGTCCTCAGTAGCCGCCAGGCTTCTCCTTCCAGGGCTGCCCTCACCTCCTGTTGCTCTGCCCCCCAGCTGTGCTCCAGTCCTCAGCCTTCTACTCCCGGACACTCCGACTGGGGTCCTCCCCAGGATGGACACTGTCGCCATCCACTCTGCCAAGTAACCTTCCCTCAGACCATCACGCGGCCAGTTTCTGACTCTCAACTTAAATGACCCTCTAGGACCACCCTTTGTAAATCTGGCCTCTGCCACCCCTACTCAAGTCACTTTCTTCTCCTTCCCTTTTTAATTATATTGCCCAATCCTTTTCACCCAAGGGAATGATCTTGTTTATTTGTGCTCAAGTATCTGTTCTCTCCTTGGAATGCAAGGTTCCTCCATTTGGGGATTGGTTTTCTGGTATATGATTGGTATCATTGCGGGTCTTCTGTGTAACAGGCACTATCTGGGCACTGGGTCACTTAGTGGCAAAGGAGAATAACCTCTAAGAATGAAGACAGCTCTCAACTGCCATTGAATTTGATAAGCAAACTCTGAATGAAGAACAGCCAGCAACAAAAGGCATGACCACATTCACCACTGCGATGTGATCTAAATTGAAACTCACTGGTCTGCTCTTTCTTTCTTTCTTTCTTTCTTTCTTTTTTTTTTTTTTTTTTTTTTTGATGCACATAGGTCAGCATGAGTATGGTTAAGGACTAATGGAGTTGGCCGAGTGTTGCTGTCTGGAATACCTTCCTCATAGGAGACTGTACCATGGGAATACTGGTGTCAATGGGCTTTTTTTCTCTCAAAAGTCAGATTCTGAGGTTGCTTCTACACAATATACATCATCTTAAAGAAAACAAATATGCATGCAAACCCGGCATTTAAAAACTTCTAGCTAGATATCAAAGAATACCTGGGCCTCGAATTCTATTGTCTGATTTCCATTCAGCTTTGAGGTATGAGACAGTCAATCCAAGGAAGGTTTGTGTGTCTCATATCATCATTTATCAAACCAGATGTGTGCTCCGCTCCTCTGCACGAGTCGGTGATGCTATGACCTAGAGGGTTTTTGGGGTACCATGGAAATGTATGAAGCGAGCACAATTGCCCATGAGTCACATGCATTCAGACTTTTGGGGAGACCATAGCTAGGGGGGCAGCGCAGCCTAGTGGCCAGAGCACAGGCTTGTTTTCTGGAACACAGTTCTTCAAATGACCGCCCTGTACCCTTGGCCATGTCATATAAAAGTGAAACAGAAAGGTGATATAAACATTCCTACTTCATGTTCCACTTCAACACGTGGAAGAAGGAAAATACGAACCACCAAGTCTAAAACTGCCCTGCTCACCTTCATCTCATTCAGTGTGGAAATCTGTATAGCTGGTAACTCCATGCGTTTAAACAGACTTATTTACAGGAGTAAGATGTGATGGTGTAGGGGAAGGTTAATATCTCCAAAGCAAACAGGACCCTCACAAGTTTGCATTACTTTATTTAAAAAACACATAGTTTTTACCCAGGGAACAGCTAACATGAAAGTCATGCCTCAAATGACAGATCGGAACCTTTCTTGTTTGTTTGTTTTAATATCAGAGCAGAATACAAACCAGAGAAACTTCCTTCACATTCCTTTGAGGTTGACCATGAAGATGCTGATAAGGATGAAGTAAGTGAATTGTTGAAAGTGAAATGTCTAAACCCTGAGGATAACCAGTCCCTGTCTTCCACCTGCTTCCCATTTGGAACAGTTTTGCATTGGGCTGCAATGACTGTGTGAGGGCTTTAGTCAAAATGAGTCATGTTTGTGTTGAAATTGAAAATGATTATTTGAGATGAGTCAAGGAGAGAGAAAGGAGGCTCGTTTTCCGGTGTAGTGCGGAAGAGCGGGGTTCACAAAGATTGCAGTCATGCTAACGATGCCTTTCGTACAGGATACCACCTCCCACTCGTCTTCCAAGGGCGGTGGGGGTGCCGGAGGAACTGGCGTTTTCAGGTCTGGCTGGCTCTACAAGGGGAACTTCAACAGCACCGTGAACAACACCGTTACCGTCCGGGTAAGAGACAGCAGGACCCGTCTCCGTCACCACCACCTTCGGCCTGAGCACAGAAAGCCGTTTGCATTGAGCTTGTATTCTGTGCCATATTTTGTTTATGAGAAAGGCGTGTCCTGGGGGTGTCGCGCTCCTGAGGAATTAGAAAAAGTGCTCATTTGCATGAGTGATAGCACACGAGGACCTGAATTGCCTCCTTGTATCTTTTCCTTTATGTAGTCATTCAAAAAGCGCTACTTCCAGCTGACTCAGTTGCCTGACAGCTCCTACATCATGAACTTTTACAAAGATGAAAAGATATCCAAAGAACCCAAAGGCTGCATCTTTTTGGATTCCTGTACAGGTGTGGTGCAGGTGAGTAGGAATCGTTTTCCCTCTTGGGTTTTTTATTTTTAATCAAAGAGTATGTTCATCCAATCATCAATTATTTATTCCACAAGTATTTATGGAGTATCTGAGATGAGCCAAGACTTGTTCTAGACCCTAGGGATACACTGAAGAACAAGGCAACCTTGATTCCTGCTTTCAGAAAACTTACTTTTGATAAAGGAATAAAAACAGAAAATAGGCAAAGAAAGAAATAAACAGAATAGAATCATTTGGTGAGATCTGGAATAAAGAAAATAAACAGGGTTACTGAAGGGAGAAAGACACATGATAAGATTGGAAAAGAAGTGAGAAAAACATATTTGAAGAAAAAGTATTTGATCTAGAGACTTAAAAAAATCAGCAGAGCCCTGGCCGGTTTTGCTCAGCGGTTAGAGCGTCGGCCTGCGGTCTGGAGAGACCCGGGTTCGGTTCCCGCTAAGGGCACGTATCTCGGTTGCAGTTTGTCCCCGGCCCTGGTTGGTCGTGCGGGTGGCAGCCACTCCATGTGTCCCTTCACATCGATGTTTCTCTCCTCTCTCTCTGTTCCTTTTTCTCCCTCCTACTCTACCTGAACAAAAAATGAAAAAATGTCCTCTGGTGAGGATCAAAAAAAAAGAGAAAAAAAAAAATCAGCAGAGGCAGCAAGTGCAAAGGTCCTGAGGCAAGAGCAAGTCTGGTAGGTATATTCACAGAGAAGGGGAAAATGACCACCTGTGTGTCTGTCTTAGAGAACCACTGAGCTAAAGAATTCAATAAGATAATAGATAAACCATATAGCTCAAAGAATTTGCTTCATAAATGTTATCTGTATTATTAGGTATGAGAGAGTCAAATCACAGTGTACATAAATATCATCTTCTTCCTAAGAGGTTTTCTTCAAAGACAAGGATTACATTGATTCCCAGGAGTTTAATTTCAGAAACAGACATAGTGCTTTAAATAGACAAGGCTGTTCTGCAGCCCTGGATCTTCAAACTGTTGTCCTCGGTATTCAGTCTGGCATGGACCCCTGTGGCAAAGGGCATCAGAGTAACTCATAGCCCTCATTGGGACATCTGACTTTCAAGATGCGTATTCTTTCTACTCAGATGAAGTGGCTATGCTCATTTCCTCTTACGTAACAATGAAGCAATCACGTGTTTTTGCAATCTTGCATCAAATTTCACATGAAGATGCTGGCTTATTGAGAGGTTGGGGGTTCTGTTTGCTGATCACAGGCCACTAGGAGCAGCTCCTTCTCTTCCCATGGGCATTCACAGAGCCTGCTCGGCAGCTGCAATTGCATCTCGGATTACCAGGCGCACCTGGTACATGGATGCAAAGCAGGATTTCCTCCAGGGACTTAGGTCCAGCCTATTTTTGGCTGGGTCATCTATTAAAATCTAGATTTCCTCTAGAAGGTAATAATGCCGAACTTTAAAAAGAAAAAATTAATTAAGAGTTGCCGAGCATGACACAAGTGAGAGAGAATTGAATGTCAACGCAGGTGACAACTTTCTCTAGGGAAAGGGAAATAAGGATTTAATGGAGGGTGGAGATAGTTTTCTATTGTTGGTTAAAAGGAGGCTCTTTGACTTTAGAAATATTTCTTTAGCAATAGGTTAAAGATCAATAACGACGTTTCATAGGCTACTGAAAAACGTATTTTCTTTTCCATTCGGACTGCCAAACTTGCTCCATCATCTTTGAGGAAATGCCTTTGTAGCCCTTGTTATATGTTAAGTTGGCAGAGATACAGATAATACATAATTTCTTCTTTCAAGTATGTAGTATGTAACTCTGTTGTAAATACGCCTTAGCACTCAAATCTGACCTTCTGATATGGGAACCTCTTAGAGGTGTTTCATTTTCTGTCTAAGAAGTGCCTTGGAAAGAAAGTGTATTCTAGGGTACAGTCCAGTGTTGAAATCTTAGTTTCACCAGTTACTGTCTGAGGGCTTGAAGTAAATTGCTTAAGCTCTCTGATTTCAGCTTCCTCCTCTGTAAAACTAGAATAAATGTGCAAACATGTGAAAAGGATCTGGGAGATGGTGTGGATTTAGCCTTTCTTCCCTAGTCTTTCCATTAATTACAGAGGTCACAACTTGGGAAGATAGACATTCCATTGTGGAAAAGCCTTTCTGGAAAATCTTAATTTACCTTCCGGAAATTTCTACCTAAATGTGGTCATCCATCCATTCATTCATTCATTTATTTATTATACATACTTAGTGCCTATGACATGCTAGGAACTATGCTTAGGCACTGGAAATTTCCTATTGAAATCCTAACCAGAGAGGGACACGGGCCCATATCTAACGATTGTCAATGGCGCTCCCTATGGAACGTTCTAGTTGCACAGAACAGCGGTGAACTCTTGAGGCAGCTAGAAGTCTGCACAGAAAATATGGGCCTGTAGCTAGGATTCTCCAACATAGACATTGCATGTTAAAGCATAATTAAATATTCCTACTTCATTTTCCAAATATTGGGGAACATTTATTATATCTTTTGAAGGGTTCAGCTCTATGCCCCTTCCTTTATATTTCTCTTTATCAAGAACTTAAAACCTTTTCTAGAAGGAGGGACTTCCAGCTTCTTGACATCTCTTTGGGAAGGTGGACATCTAGGTCACTTGTCACCTGGTGTCTGTGTCCCAATTCTAAGCATATTTGCTTGTAGCTCCTTCTGACTTGCAAGGTTTTGCACGTGGAAAGAATGTCCTGAACGAGGTGTAGTGTGAGTTTAGTCTTTGCTACAGCAAGCCCTCAGACACACAATGTGCCTAGAGATGAAACACCATCCACAAAAGCACAGAGCAAATGAGTAATCGAATAAGTCAGACCTATTTTGTCCAGAATCATTGTCAGTTTCCCTTTGATAACAAGGCAAAGAGGAACAAAGACTTTGGCTAATAAAGTGCTACCTACTGTCTGGTATCCTTAGAGTTATGCTTATAACACTCTTTAGTGAGCAAGCCATTCAGACCTACGCTATATCATTGTGTTTTCCTAAGAATAATCCCTGGAATTCTTAGAAATACATTTCAAGGGTTACCACAAATAGAGGGGGACTCTTACCCTAATTTCCTGGATCTTGGTAAAAGAAAGACTAGCAATAGTTTTCTACTTTTTTTTTTTTTGTAAGACCATCAAATAGTATTAGATCTATTTTGTACCCTTTCTCCCAATCTGGAGCAGAATTTCGGGGTTTGCTTCTTTTTTGATGTGGGACTAAGGGCTATTTAGGCCCGTTATTCTATTTTTTTTTTTTTTTGGTCAGAGTCTTCTCATATATTCATTCATTTTTTGGTCCATCCATCTATCCATCCATCCGTCCGTCTACTCCACGTCCTGCCACTGTAAAGAGAATGAATAGCCCAGGAACCCCATATGCCTAGAACCCCACCCACAACAGTGATAATGATTGATATCACTTTATACAAGCTTACATGGGGATTACATGGCGGGGTGCTGAACACTGTTTATTTTCTCACAGATGCTGGATCTGCCACCTGGTGGATAAGGGGTCTAAAGCAATGGCCTTATGTGCTTAACCAAAGGCTGGAAGCTCAGATGCCTTCTGCAGCTCAGGTTGCCCAGTATGTAAGGAAAGTAGGGACAGTTGGGAGAAGAGAGGGAGCAGCTTGGACGGCGTGGAACTGGAGTGTGCATGCCCACATAAAGGCAGTCAAAGGGGAAGAGAAACGTGTAGCTGCCAAGGAAAACAAATCTAGAAGCCAAATATGATGAATTAACCTCCCATTGGTAAACTCTGGCTCTAAAGAATCTCGCTGCTCATGATAGCAATCAAAGCCAGAATGACACTTGTAAGACTCTTCATTTAACATATTATTCGACACTGGTTATTGAACATTCATTATTATTGTCCCAGTTTATTAAAATAAAACTCAGACAGCTAGGTAGCTTTCCCAAGTCAGAACTAATAAATAGCAAAATTAGATCTGGGGCACAGGAATGTCCATAATTACAGAAAGATGCCCAAGGAAATGCTTTGGTTTTGACATCAAGTGGGCACAGCTGCATATGTACACACACACCTTTATCCTATGTGAGCCACATGGGCACAGGAAACTACAAAGATGTGCCACGTGCAATTCTAAGCAGTGAGTTTTAGATGCAGGATTTACTTCGGCAAATATATATTGAATTATTCTATTGCAAAGTCTTGTGGGAAAGCCAAATATGAATTAGATGTGGCTCCTGTCTTCAAGGAGCTTCCAGCCTGTGGGAGGATGCACAGAAAAAAAACGTATCAGCATATTCAAATAAAACACGAGTGACTCATCTCAAACATTAGATTCTGATAATACATGCAAGAATAAAATTATATTTGTCCCTGCATGAAGGTATATTATATTTCATTACACATAGCATATATGTTATAGTTCTACTTATTTGTTTATTGACACTCCATTGCAGAAGAATGTTAGTTCAATAAGGGCAAGTGTTTTACTTTTTTTTTTTAATGCTGTGTACTTGGCACATAGAAGGTAGCCAATACTTTTTTTTTTTAGTGAGTGAGCAAATATACACACAGAGAATGGAAAGAATTGGTGGATGGTAGCCACCACTACCAGTAAACTGGATTTGATGTTACGTGTTTCCTTTGACAACTCTTCTTTTGTTTCTGCAAAATTCTGTAGAAACAAGCTAGATCATACCTGGTATGTTGGAATATATTGTCTGAGTGACTTCCTTCTTCGACCTGCAGTCCTCCATTGGCATCAGTGGCTTCCTTGGAGTATCTATTTCAGAAACTTTCCAGATGAATATTGTGGAAACCAATCACTTTGCTACAACTCATTAAACACATCAGATAGCATTAGGACATATTCACAGGTTTCTATTATTTATGAAGCATGTGGCTGGGCTGTGGTGACCAGGGATGAACACGGTGTTTGCACGGGCCAAAGCGGACACCAATTCCAGGGAAATTGGGGGAGTGAAAAGAATATGCTTACTTTTCAATACCATTGTAACAATTTAACTATTGCATTTCAAGATTATTAAAATGGCCCATTGATTTTTTATTTCTGTTCTTTCTTTTTTGCTGGTTTATATGCCATTGTTTGTAGAGTGAGATAGAAAACCACTTAGCATCTTAATCTTCCCCAACATCAACTTCTCCACACTGCCAGCAGTTCTATTTTACTCCAAATAGAAAAAGATATAACTGGGTTCTGAACAGTTATAAATAGATGTGTATTTTATTTATAAATACCCCTTTGTGAGAAACAAAGGCTTATACTTTGCTTACATTTTTAAAAATATTTTTAATAACAATTGTTGAAGTTGGTGACAATATTCAATTCATTTGACTACAAAAGCAATTTAAAAAATCAAGATTATTTATATTTCATAATGCTTTCTTTCTAAAATTTCTATTAGTTTCTTAGCATTGGCATTGGAAAGCAGGCTGTAGCTCAAGCCACTTTTAACTTGGACCCAATATCAGCATTTTACATAATTGCATCTCCCAGTTCTCATTATTTCCCACATCAGCTTAGTCAAGGAGATTCTTCAACTGGTCTGTTTTCAAGACAACACTGAAATGGGCTTGCCTTTGCTGTTGTCAAATAACTAGCAATATCCTAGCCATAGCTAGGCTCTGAACTCTCAGCATTTCTAGTTCTTTCTTTCCTGTCTATTTCTCTTCCTATGTTTGTTTGTTTTGTTTTTTTAAAGAAACCTGTCTCTCGTTTTTATACTTGCTCTCAACCAACTGGTCTTTGTCCGTAAGCACTCTGTGTCGCCAGGGTTATAGGTGGTTCAGTGGACCTCCGTGATGAGAATGAGCATCCTTGAAGACACCTCCTAGATGTTTGCTCTGCACACTCAAGCTTGAGGCCACTGCCTTTCTGGCAAGTCCTGACTGCTTATACTGCAGCCAAAATAATTTTTTCAAAATGCAGCTCTGGCCTTTTACTAGTCAAAGCTATCCGGTCCTGTGCTCTCATGAGACCAGCTGTATTCTCATATGGCAATAACAATTCTGTTCTCCAAAAAGGATTTTTTTTTAGTCCTCATCTGATGATAATTTTCCATTGATTTTCAGATAGAGTGGAAGGGGAGGAAGGGGAGAGAGAGAGAGAAAGAGAGAAACATCCATGTGAGAGAGATACATTGATTGGTTGCCTCCAGCATAACCCCGACAGGGGCTGAGGATCGAACCTGCAACCCAGGTACATGCCCTTGACTGGGAATCAAACCTGAGACCCTTCAGTCTGGGGGTCAGTGCTCTAACTACTGAGCCAAATCAGCAAGGGCTCAAAAAGAATTTTTAATACTTTGATTTTTTACCTCTTCTTCAATATATTCATACAAAATGTAAGTACATTTATCTTCCAGTTTCCCATTTGTGTGCTTTATAGGTTAATGCTTGTCTCCCCTGTTCTGCCAGGGCAGAGACTGTGTCTGTTTTTGCCTGGCACAAAATACAAACACAACAGACACCTCTTTATGAGTGAATGTCATCACTGCCCTGAGCATTGAGGATCGTTAGGCAGCTTCTGCTCTTACCAGTCTCGTGGACGAATCAAAGAGCCAGCCAGCGAGGGAGTCGTTACGTGGCAAGGAAATTGCAATACTTGACAATAATACAGAAGTATGGGCAGGAGCAAATAGCTTGTCCTTGGAAGGGTGTAGAAAGTGGCATTTGAGCTGTGACGTTTTACAGTGAGAATCACAGTTAGCTTTTTCGCTAATTCTTCTTTCTCTTTCAATTTCCAAATTTTACTTTTTTCTTGAGGCATTTATGTTGCCCCACTGTCTGTTCCCAGCACTTAGAGAATTTCTTACCTCCCAGGCCACAGCTACCCCTTTGGTGTGCGATTGTGCCAGGGAAGTAGCAAGGAAGGAGAATGGCATTCGCTGAGCATCTTCTTTGTACCCAGGTCACCTCAGTGGGTGTTCAAGTCTAAAGAGGTTAATTCTCTTCTTTGCTACTTGCTGCCCATGTAATTTCTAACACATTTTATCTCGGCAAACCTCAGTGTCATCATATGTTAAATGCAATAATATGATTTTCCTCATAAGGTTGTTGGGAGATTTAAATAAAATAATGATTGTAAAATGTTCAGCACAGTGCCTGGTATATAGATGGCAAGTGTTTAGTAAGTTTTGTATTTGCGGTTGTAATTGTGTTGTGGTGGAAGTTGAAAGGAACTAATTATTTTGGGAAGGCATCCCAAAGAAAGAAGACTTTGCCAAGAGGGTATTAAAAATTACTTTTTCTTGCCACCAAGAATAGCAACCCTATTCTCAAAAAAAAAAAAAAAAGTATACTTGATATTTAGCCACAATTTTATATGATAACACTCCCATCTTCTTGTTCCTCTCCTATTTAGATTTTACTTATACAACGTTGCATTATCTTAAGTATATAGACTTTTAGACTTTGCTTTATTACAATCTGGGGGCTCTGAAGACTTGAAAACAGAGTGAGTAAGAGTTGGATACCTGTATTAGAATTGCAGAATGATTCATGTCCATCTAAATTTGGGTCCTGGGTTTAGAAGATTTCTTTATGTTACCTACCTGTATGGAAAAACTTTGGACCCACCAGGACCCCATAAAATATCTCGCTCATTCTCTAAGACTTATTTATCTGGTGTTTTGTTTTTTGTTTTTCTTTATTTCCTTTTATACTGAAGAATAACAGACTAAGAAAATACGCCTTTGAATTGAAAATGAATGACCTGACCTATTTTGTGCTGGCGGCTGAAACAGAGTCAGATATGGAGGAATGGATCCACACCCTCAGCCGCATCCTGCAAATCAGCCCTGAGGGGTCCCTTCAGGGTCGGCGGAGCGCAGAGCTCACGGACCTGGGCCTGGGTGAGAGCAACGCAGCCCCCTCCCTTCCTTAGCCAAGTGCAGCCTGTGCACTTAGGGCATTTCACCTCTAGAAGCTGTAGTAGCTGGCAGGTCTAGCCCATCCGTCCCTGAGAGAACTGCTCCAGGAAATTACCCCTAAATCTTTACTTTTTCTGAATAGTGAGTGTCAGCACACATAGGAACGATTTGGAGTTGACTGACAATGAATTGAGGTTGATACCCAGCAAATGATGTTGGGAAGCATTTGTCAGCAGTATCAAAAATGCACCCAGGTCTGATGAGATATTACCATTGAGGGGCTATTTTGTGTTTTATCACCTTTCATTCACTCTAATTAATTAATTAACATTATAACCTGTAAAGGTGGATATGCATTACTGCCTTTTAATGGAAAGGAATGTCATGTGTGCTTTTAGACCACACTGAGTGAGGTCAGCTTATGTATATATGAAAGTTGCATAAATTTTGCATAACATTAGAGATTTTTATAAGAAAATAAATGTGTTTCTACCCATCCTAATTCCCTCAAAAGATTCTAATTCACTCTAAGCAAAGAGAAGTTAGACTAAAGAAAAGGTGAAAAGGTAGAAAAACAGGTCTATAATGATGTGGAAGACAAGTTCACCTTCACAGTCAGTCACTCCTCCCAAAGGAAAACTATTTTAAGATATCTTGCACAGCATTATGGTACGTTAGAAACCAAAGTGTCTTTAAGTTCTAGTAGTCTAAGTATCATATGTTTTAAAGTGAACAAGTCATGGGATAATGAGGAAGAAAACCATTGTTGATGTTAACACAACTAGTAGGCACCATAGGAGATATTTTATATTAATTATTTACTTAATAATATTCAACTAGAATATTAATGTTTACAGTCTTAGAGAGAGTTTAAGGAACAGAAGCTAATGTGCGTTTTAAATTGATGGCCTAAGAATCAGAAGTATCAAAAATATTAATATGTATAAGAAAAGGTCAGTATGGATTGATGAAGTAAGTAAGACAGCCCCAGGTATAAATGTAGTATTATAAGGGTTCAGAGTTCTTATGGGCACAGGATGGTGTCATGGAAAGAACCCCAAAGGATCATCAGAGGTCCGATTTCCCAGCCGATACCTGCTCACAATATGGAGTACGGAGCCAGGAGGCATTTGAAGCATCTGTTCACCAATATCCATCTTTCATTGCTCTTGGCTTTAACTCACTTTTGATATGTCACTAGAGAAATGTGTGATTCATGAGTATTATTTAATAACCCGTCTTCATGTATCTTTTCAAGATCCGCTGGATAATTCTATCCCATGTGAATGCACACCAGAAGAAACAGATTCTTCAGAGAACAGCCTACATCCAGACTTTGCAAAAGTAATAAAGCTGACACTTTATTGTGCAAATAAATTCGCATTGCTTATCAGTTCATGCTTTCATGGAAAAGATGGAAATCCCCCCTCCCTTTTTTTTTTAAGATTTAGGCAAAGAAACACAAAACTCTAAAAAATAATGCATGTTTTTGTGAGGTTTGCCCAGTGTTCATGGATGATGTTAAAACCGTGATAATACTTAGGGGCTACTTCTTGCCATGTGGATGGGGCTGGGCTGTAAGTACCTGGCTGTTTAGACAAGAGCTGACACAGTGTTCTCTGCAGTACCTCACAGAAACCGAAGAGACTGTCAAAGCCACTCGAAACATGGAGCGGCTCAATCTCTTCTCGATGGATCCAGATATAGATGTAAGTTGGGGTTCTTTCTAAGCTGACATGAACTTGATCCATACAACTATGGTCTGTACTTTAGAATTTCTGTGTTTGTGTGGGTGGATGTTCATGGAGTAAAACTGTCAAAAATTTTTTTTAGACCTTGAAACTTCAGAAAAAGGATCCTTTAGAACCCGAGTCTGGGATCAAACCATTTGAAGAAAAAGCTGCCAAGAGAATCATGATCCTTTGTAAAGCTCTCAACTTCAACCTTCAGGGATGCGTTACGGAGAATGAAAGTGATCCAATAACGAATGTAAGTTGTTCTTCTGTTATTTCCTGTGCCCATCAGCCAAGCCCATGACCCCACTCAAAATCTTTTCTGTCCCTAATCACTTCAAGCACGAAGTTCACAGCGTCTCGTGTACCAGGGAGGGTGACTGACAGCATTTTTCCACATGACAAAAGTGCACAAGTTCTGAAATAGAATTGTCAGTGTACTGCCATAAAATTTTTTTTATGTTAACTTAAAGAAGAAGCATCAAAGGAACTGTGTTCTAGGATCCGCTCCATTAAATTAGCATAGTGATTCTGAGTTTCCTAAGATACTGTTTGTATCTTCTAGGTAGTACTCGAAATGGCTTTTTAATTGACATTTTATGTTAATATTTATGTTTATTTTCATGTGTGTTAGAGAATAATTAAAATGAACACATCAACCCTGTAATTTCACAGTTATTACTGTTTAAGACAAGGCCAAATGTTGAATCAAGTGAAATAATATCAGATAAATATTAAATAAATAATAGTACAGTTGGTACATGTAAATGGCAGGGAAAAAAAAGTGGTACTCCACAGATATTTGGAATATACCACACTGCTCATTAAATCAATACAAGGTTCTTTTTCTACTAAGTTTACCCTCTTGAGAGTCCTTAACATTCCAGGGGACAGTTCTATACTAACTGCAAATGTATGGGTGGGAAGGGTGCATTTTGTGAGCATCGGCATTATTAAATGTTTCTATAAAAAAGAAAATAAAAATCACTCATAATCCTACCGTCAATAAACAAGTCACTATATTGGCATGTTACCTTTTGTTATTTTTTAATGCATTCTGTTCTAATTTCTAATAACTCATCTTACAACTGTCATCTTTCACCTCAAAGAAGAAAATTTATTTCCAGATCCGTGATACAGGCCACATTTGCTTTTAGAAGGCACACACAGCATTACTTTTCTTCTAACACTGTACACACACAATTCCACACATAGACATCTCTTTGAGAGGGAACCTTGTTAGTTGTGATGGTGAGTGGCTGGCAGAAAGGATGAACTCTTTCCAGAGACTTTAACCCCCACTGCCCTTGGGTCTTTCGTCACCTCACTGATTCCCGGAGCCTCCTGCTCTCAGGCGTAGTACCGGGAGAATGGTCCGTGCTGTAGATGTCAGGTTTAATGAGGAGAAGCAGGTGACGTGTGTCTCTCCCAGGTCAGACTGCCTGACTTTCCCCTTTATGAGTTCTGCCACGGTGGCAAGCAACTGGCCTACACTCAGCTCCTCTTCTGTAAGTGGGGTAATAACAACAGTAACTATTTCAAGTTGTCGTTGTGAAGATTAAATAAGGCTGTATATGGAAAGTGCTTAGATAGTGCTTGGTGCATAGTAATCATTTATTAAATACTCACTGTTATTATGTTACGTGCAAATTGCTTTGAAATGTGACATGTGAGATTCATGTTGACAAGGAAACTAAAGTTGAAATGTGTCATCAGTAAGAATCTTCCCCCAAAATGAAGCTTCCTTGTGTTTTGTAACAGTAACTATACCCTAGGTATAAGAGCAAGAGAGAAAATAGTTGAAGTCAAGTTTACTCATTTTTCAGCAAATACCTACTCGGTGCGCTACTGGGAGCCAGATTCTTACCAGATCCTGGGGAAACAGCAGGGAAAAATGGGCACGCTGCCTGGCCTTTTGAAGATTAAATTAATAATTTAATGCTTGGGGGGGCAGGATAAGGAATAGGGTGTCTGGGGGGGAGGAGAAACATCTGTAACAAAAATAAACTAATTAATAAAAAGTAATAATTTTAAAAAGAGCAAATTAAACAAATAAATTAACCAGATAATTGCTCACTGTGCAAAGTTCTTTGAAATAAATCAGTGGAGAGAGAGATGCTGCAGAGGAACTGTGGCATGATGACTTTAGATAGGGTAGCCAGGGAGGCCTCCCTGAGGAGGTGACATTTGAACAGAGACTTATAGGTTGAGAAAGGTAAAGTCAGGTCAGGGGAAAACATGATGGCCAGAGGAAAGAGCAGGGGTGAATACCCTGAGACAGGTAAGTCTTGGCACGTTCTAGGACCTGGAAGGAGACAGCAAGGGGAAGGGCAGACCAAGGGGAGGTGGGAGAAGCAGTAAAAGGTAAGGTTGGGCAGGGTCTCATAAGCTGTGGCGAAGACTCTGGATTGATCCTAAGTGTGAATGGGGGCTATTCCAAGGTTTAAAGTACTTTAAAATGATGCAATATAGTTTGTGTTGTTAAAACATCCAGCAGAAGAATGCATTAGAGGAAACAAGGGTCGATCAGGAGAGAAATTAAGAGGCTCCTTCCGCAGTTCATTGCCTGGTTTGGACCAGGGATGGCAAGGGAGGAGAGAAATGGATAGATTTGACTGCTCTGTTGTAAATTGAGCTGACAAGTGTTTCTGGTAGATTGGACATACAGAAGGGAAGGGAAAATCTCAAGGATGATTCCTTGATTTTTCTTTGAGCAGTTCTATGCATGATAGAGGCATTTACTAAGAGGATGAGACTGTAGTAAGAGCAGATTTGGGGGATACAGGTCAAAAATTCCGCTGTGGACATGTTAAGCCAGGTAGGCCTATTAGATAACCAAACAGAGATGTCCACTGAGCAGACTCAACACAAGTCTGGAATTCAAGAGCCTGGCCATGAACAGAGGTATAAACTTGGAATTCTGGTCAAGGCAGTGACTTGGAGGGGTGGAATTTCATGTACATAGAGAAGGGGACAAGAACCAAACATTTAATAGAGACGTGACCAAAGGAGACTAAGAAGGAATGACCATTTAAATAGAGATGGACCAGGAAAGAGTGCGGCACGATGCCACGAGAGGAAGGGCCAGCAATGTGGACAGGTGCTGAGAAGCTGAGTCACACGAAGCCAGAGAGGAACCCAGGGGACGTAGGAACATGGAGGGTGTCGGTGTAGCGGGAGAAACCTATATGGAGTAGAAGTGTTAGGCCGGGCCATCAGAGCATCCTTTTTGATTCGGGATTTGAAACACAAAACAAAAAGCACTGGAAACTTGTTTTTGTGAAACTACTATTTAGAAATATCAGGGAAAATTGTTTAAATCTTTATTGTTGAGAGTATTCCAGATGCCTCTCCTTTTCCCCCCATTATCCCCCTCCGCCCTGTTCACTTAATCATCTTATAAAATACAGATAAATGCTTTTTTTTGACCAGGGTCATCCTGAAGTGCAGTTAGAAAGTCAAGTGTAGAGACTAAAACTCAAAGATAATGGGCTTTTCTTCCCAAGGCTAGGGGCATATGACTCCCTTCACGAGATTCCTCTTTTTTGGACAAAAACCCATATTCAGAAGCCCAGCGTTTGCATTTGGGCCAGTGTCCCAAGCAAGAGAAGCGACAGAAGTCCAGAGAGCGGCTTCTCTGTCTCCCACATCTGTCAGCCAGAGGGAGAGGTGCATTTGGAGTGCTTTGCACATCTGTATAGTTTTCATTTCTTTCACAGCTGATACAAATGTTAAAAAACAACAAAAGTGTTTCTTTAAAATATAATTTCATTGTACTTATAAGCAGTGATATAAACAATCAATAAAACAGCCTGACCTCAACTCAGCAGCAGTGTGTCATGTAATGGCTTTTTTTTTTTAAATCCTTGCATATTTCTTCAATGACACTCTTTTATTAATGTAGTTATTTTTAAACCTATTGTCTTCAAGTCAATGAACATGTTTTTAAATTAGTTGAAATATCTCTTTAAGCGGCTAAACAGCCAACTGCTACATTTAATGAATACGCTTCTAAAAAAAAACAGCCTAAAAGAACTTTCCATGATGAGTAAACTATTTGACAGCATGTAATTTTTCAGTCAGTCATGGGAAACCAAAGTCAGGTTGATGGTTTTATAGTATAAAGTATTTCTTTGAAAATAGGAATTGATTCCAAAAATCTGAAATAATAAAGCAGTTTTGCAGCAGAGTGACATTTACGATGTCATGTTCTTGAATTCTTTTAAGAGGAATACAAAACTCTAAACATAAGAAACCCATGACTTCATTTGTTAGGCTTTGAAGGTGCTTTATTAAACGAATCCTTAGTGAAAAGCTAGTGACTCGGAGAGTAAGATTTGACATTTAAGCTGAAAAGCTGGGTTGGGAGAAATAAATGAATCACTATATGAGCTTTAATTTCTGATGGATTATCAATGGAGGTCCTTTATTTTACTCACTAAACAGAAATGAAAATCAAAATGCAGCAATTCAGGGAAAATAATAAGGATTTTTTTCTCTGACCTTCAATGTGTTTGTGTTCCTGCCTGAGTTATTTGTGTGTAATTTTTGCATTTTTCAACTCTTGGCAGACTACCACTACCACAAATCAGGAGTTTTTGCGAAATAAATTAAATTGGTAAAATATAAAACTTTTGGTTTTTTCATTACAAAAATAATTTATTGAATTTCATTTTTTACGTATTGTTCTGTTCTGTTTCTAGCAGTAAGGCAGCTGATAGATATTGCTAATACTAAGCCATTAAACTAAAACCTTTGTTATAAGCTAGCCATATCACTTCATTTCAAAGAGCAAGAGAAACCTGTTAACCATTCAGTACAATCCACAGCATAAGTGAGTCTACAACGATGAACTATGTCATTTGTTTTTTGTGTATAGCCTGCTTGACCACAGAATACTGGCAGATGATTGGCATCAAATTAAAATTAAGTAACATAGCCTGGCTGGTGTGGCTCAGTGGTTGAGCATTGACCCATGCACCAAGAGGTCCTGGTTCGATTATTTTTCAGGGCACATGACCAGGTTGAGGGCCTGATCCCCAGTGGGGGCATGCAGAAGATGGCCAATCGATGTTCTCTCTCATCGATGTTTCTATCTCTTTACCCCTCTCCCTTCCTCTTTCTCTAAAAAAAAAATTCAATAAAGAAAAAAAAATTTTCAATAAAATTAAGTAGCATAAACAAAAGTAAAAAACGTTATTTTTTTGTAAGCACATTGCAGCCTTAGATGCTTATAGATAATTACATGTATAATTATTCATACACATGTATGTACACATGTGTAATGTGTGTGAAACTACATATGCATAGATTTGTTTATTTTAGTCCTTGTTTTATTTGATCTGTTGCCTTTGATGTTTTTCTAGTTGAAAAGCTATTCATTCTTGAATATTCTTTAGTTTCTGTGATACTCTGGCAGCATTTAGAATTTTTGAGCAGGTTAGGGGTTTGAGGGGGATCTTTTTATTTGTCTGTTTGGTCAGTTTTTGTCAAAACCATCGGTTCTCTCTTTCTCCCGCAGATTGAGCCTTTTTTCGTGAGCGTGGCACTGTATGACCTCAGAGACGGCAGGAAGATGTCCGCGGATTTTCACGTGGACCTAAACCACACTGCCGTCAGGCAGATGCTCTCGGGGGCGTCCGTGGCTCTGGAAAACGGAAACATCGACACGGTCACCCCGCGGCAGCTAGAAGAACCGCGTGTCAAGGGATTTCCAGAGGAATGGCTGAAATTTCCGAAGCAGGTTGCACTGTTTCCACGTGGTGGGAGGGAAAACGTGGTCTCCTTGTTACCAATCCCCCAAGTAAGAGGGGCAGTTGCCCAAAAAAATGTCCTTACAGCTGTTCTTCCCAAAAAAAGGTGGGATTTTGTAAATGTCTTCAGTGTGGTTTCCTAGATGCTTATTAGTTTATTAATCCTAACATTTGTTTGTACATAGGCCATATTCTCTGTAAGCAATCCACATTCTGACATTGTTTTGGTGGCCAAAATCGAGAAAGTTCTGACGGGAAACATTGCCAGCGGGGCTGAGCCTTACATTAAGAACCCAGACTCTAACAAGGTAAGTGCGTCATCTTTTCCACGCGGAATTCCAGTGGGTTTCAGGAAATAAAATCTCAGTCTGATGAATCAGCCAGTCTGATCAATTTAATTCTCAAAATGTTTGCTTAGTGAAATGAATATTCATCAGGAAAATTTTAAAGTATATATTCTTGGTTTATGTTTGATTAAGCTTTTTCTGGCTTTTGATGATCTACTCGTAGAAAGAAATTTAAATGTGCATAAAGTTTTAACTCCAAGGATTGACGTGTTAGCAATAATGAAAAGTTAGGATTAATCTGACAGTTTAGGCCAGATCTATGAGCAGATTTATGAGATTAGAACAGATTTATGAGATTCAGGGTTTGGCAAGTAATGATGTGTGGACCAAATCCAGCCTGCCACCTGCTTTGTAAATAAAGTTTTGTTGAAACACAGTCACGCTCATTCATTCCTGGATCGTCTATGGCTGCCTTCCTGCTACAACGGCAGAGTTAAGAAGCTGTGACAGAGACCGTATAGCCCAGTATATTTACTGTGCGACCCTTACAGAATAATCTTGCCGACCTCTGCCAGAACAAATAAAAGAAAACACAGGACAGACTGTGACTGTTAACTTGACAATACTCTCCACTCAATAGTTTAAGGTTTTTGAAGTCAGAAGAAAGGAAAGAAGTTGGTATTCCAAAACAAGGGTATTTTCTACATTTGAAATTTCCAAACTAGAAAAAAAAAAAAAAACATAAACCAAACTACTGTATTCAGTAGTTTGAACACAGAAACTGTCATCTCGCTCTTTAAGAGGCTCATCCAGGGGCCAGTAAGGCGGAATTCCACTGAGTTTCAGTGAAAGATAACACAGAGAAGTATTTGTTAGTATTTTACACGGGCAGTTTGTAAAGTGATGTTCTAAACCACATATTATGTACTTTTCCCTTAGTATGCACAAAAGATACTCAAATCCAACAGGCAATTCTGCAGCAAGTTGGGGAAATACCGCATGCCCTTTGCCTGGGCAGTGAGGTAGGTTGAAAATCGCAACCAACAGAATAGAAATGCATTTCTAGTCTGCATTGGAAGCTTCAGGTTTTTTGTTGTTGTTGTTTTTTTGTTTGTTTGTTTGTTTTTTAATCCTCATCCGAGGACATTTTTCCATTTTTTGTACAGACAGAGTGGGAGGGAGGGAGAGGAAGAGAGAGAGAGGGAAACATCGATGTGAAAGGGACACATCGAGTGGCTGCCACCCGCACGACCAACCAGGGCCGGGGACAAACTGCAACCGAGGTACATGCCCTTAGCGGGAACTGAACCTGGGCCTCTCCGGACCTCAGGTGGACGCTCTAACCGCTGAGCCAAACCGGCCAGGGCGGAAGCTTCAGTTTTGAACACCTCTGTGTTACTTGTTATTGTGTTATTGCGTTACGGTGTTACCTAGAATAATGCTAATGTGTTCATCTTTATAAACACCTGCTCCCCAGAAATGTGTTTTGCAAGACAATTTAGCAAGACAACTCATAATAGACTGGGACCGTGACATGGGTACAGTGTGGCCTGACCAGGTGTACTATGGGTTCTTGGTAGGATCAAATCAAAGTCACAACTTGTTTATTATATATATATATATTTGGTTTCTCAAACACCTGACATTATATGATCCCTGAGAGTTTGGTGTGCATAAACTTCAGATGGACTCGCTCTGATTTCTTAGGCAGCGGCATATTTTTATCTATGCGTAGAGCACAGGTCTGTATGGGGCTGTCTAGATGAAACCATCAGATTGATCAGTGAAATTCTCTTTGATTTCGGTGCCAATTAGCATAGCTAAATGTATCAGTAGCAGTTGATGCTGATAGAAATGACGAGTTATGTGGACATTGATGGTGGTATCATCCTCCTGGAAATAGAACCTCGGCATAAAGAACAAAAATGGCTCTTTGGATCTACTCAAATACCCGTCATTATCCTCCTCCTCAATCTCTTTGCATCTTTATTAGTATGAGAATTTCTTAAAGGAGGAAGAGCCTAGCTTAGACATAGGGGAAAAAATAGTCAGCAGTGCACAAACCAAATGAGTAAAAGTGCGACAGAATGAGACAGCCTATTGAAGATTCATTTGAATGTTGATAACGTTGTCCCAATGGCAGTAACTAAAATCCAGAAGGAAGAGAGAACCTGTGACTTATGCCATGTTTAGGTCTCCCCGTCCCCAGCGAAGACCATAGCCAGAGTAAACTCACCCATATGTGCTATCGTTTTGAAGGTGTTACTTCCAGTTGGGACAGGTAAGTGCAGGGAAGAGAAATGTGGAAATCTGGGCAGCAGTAAACCAACGTTTGGGCTCACACAGTCTGCAGGGGCTCGTAATAGGGGGGAAGGAAACCGGCCAAGGAGTTTACAGAGGGTCCAGATCAGGCCACCACTGATAATGTGTAACTTCGGGCAGGTTTCCTTCCCGATTCCCAGGGTCCCCGTCTACAGAAGGAAGTTGGCAACACCTGCTTGTGGGCAGTAGGTACCATGGCAGGGGCAGATGCACATGGCTTAAAGCAGATCATAAATATCACCGTATTTCCCTTTGCCCACTCTCCTCCAGGGACAATTAATGCCAGGATATTCTGCATGAAAAATATGTGAGTGAGATATATTGAACCCTCTGTGATAAATTTCATGGTTTTTATTTCTCATAAACTTCAAAAAAAAAAGGATAACTGGTCATTTGTGTGCTCTACTTTTTCATATTGATAAATATTCTCAGCAGTTCTCACAAGAAAACCTATTGGGACAAATAGAAGCAAAATATTCCTTAGCAGAAGTGAAATATTCCAATACAGCAAAATTGCAATGATGGACATATTTTCTCTTTAAGGGGCCAATGTTGTTCTGGGGTTTTAGAACCAGGCATTTTAGGGCCAGAGCTGGGTTTGAAATCTCAACTCTGTTTACTAGATAAGTGAACTTAGGCAAGTACTTATGGTCTGTATTTACCTGTCATTTTTTAAAAAAAAATTTAAAACAATTTTTTTAAGAGAGAGGAAGGGAGGGGATGGAGAGACAGAGAAACATTGATTGAAAAGAGAAACATGAATCAGTTGCCTCCTGTACACACCCTATCCTGGGATCAAACCCACAACCTGGGTATGTGTCCTGACTGGGAATCAAACCTGCCACCGTTTGGTGTGTGACATAATGCTCAACCAACTGAGCCACATCAGCCAGGGCTACCTCAATTTTTTAAATGTGCTATAGAAGAATGATAATACCTAATTTACTCTTGCAAGGATTAATGAGCACAGATGTGTACCCAACAAAAGATACCCATTATTAGAAGTCATTATTCTCACATGAGTATTATGATTTGTGGAGATCACATTCACCTCACAAGTCTCCCTTTATAGTACATTTTTTGGCAATGAAAAATAATGTGAGAGAAACAAATAAAAGAATTACCCATCACAAGCAGTAAGGAGAAGTAACGATCCTATTTTCAAGTTCTCTAGTAAAATATGTTCGAAGAAAGACCGATGGAGTTTCTAGGGAAGCTGACAATATTACCAACTATTAAAGTAATTATGTCTAGGACAGGAAAACCAACAAAACCACAAGCTCATGCTACATGAATGCCATGCCTTATGAGTGGTTTGGTTGTAGGTTAGAGAACCATATATGCCACTAATTTCTGTATATAAATATATGCTTTCGATTTATATAGACATCTCCAGCAACCGAGGGAAAAAAAAAGGTTAGCAGTACAGTTCTAAAGATTTTATGTTAGATCATTTCCATTATCTAACCACAAAAATAAATATCAGATGCAATCAAAGATTTTAATTTTCCCTTTATGATGTGGAAATTGCTTCAAATAAATGTTGACCGAATCAAAGGACGGCTCGTTGTTATTCATGTCATTTTGACGTAAGCTAGGTTCCTGACAGATTTCAATACCCTATCGATACTGCTCATTCTCTGGCTACTACTCCTTTCTGTTATATTTTCTAGATTGCCATTTTCTTCACAGTATAGCTTTGAGTGTACCCTAAAACACGTTGGCCCTTAAAATCACTGTCACTAAAGAAGGTAGAATAACAGTTTAGCTTACGACCATGTTTTGACCCCGATCTAGCCATCTTACCCACTGCAACGCACTGCTCATTGCTGTAAAAAATCTTATCTGAAATTAACTTGTTGCATGTTCTAATCTTTGACACCAGCTGGGGTGCCATTTTACAGTAAAAATGTTTATCTTTGGGGAAGGTAGGTAAAGAAAATGCACGCCAGCGGCTACATGGAGTGTTTTGCATTCATTGATTCAGGAGAAAATCAACCTTTACAAACATATCATGTTGTAAAATGGAACCCTCCCCATGCATATTACCCCCAGAATCATAGGTGCCCTAAATCCTTGCCAAGACTGTTATTTCTTTTACTCTGTTTCATGCAATGTTCTAAATGGGCTGGCGCACAACACTGGATCTTCTCTACAATTAAATGAGATGAAAATAACATTTTATTTTTGTATCTCTATACTTCGAGAAGGTACACAGGGCAACAACATCCCCAACAAATGGTTGGTCAACCTCTGTTTGAATCCTTCCAGGGACAAAAAGTCGAGTGCCTTCCACTGTGGTTCTTTCTGTGGTTCTACTGATTTGATCAGTCATTTTGTGACAAATATTTTTAAACTGCCTGGCAATCACTTTAATATTTTGTCTTCCATAGACACCAAAAAATATGCCCAGTTCTCTCTGTACATAGTAGCTATTCATACTGCTTATGAATGAAGCTCTCAGGTACACCGAAGGTTCTTTTTCTTTAGGCTAAACATCTCATTTCCTTCAAACGTACCCCAAATGGGATGATTCTGAGACCCTCACCATATACTGATCATTGCTCAACTGTGGCAACTGGAATGAGGCACCATGTCCCAAACACCCTGAATCCATCTGCATACATGAGTCAGTTCTGTGTTCTCTTGCCAATTAGCATATTTATGAAGCAAGAACAGGGTGTCTGGTACTGTAAGCAGCACTTCCTGGTGCTGTGCTCCTAATTGTTTTTACAGTGTGTCCAATGTAAGTGAGCTATTTCTAGAACAGAGTTGTGGATAAGAGCGAAAACGGGTTGTACAACTCATGTCTATCAATATATTTGCAGTGTCTGGTTAATATTTTTTTAAATCCTGTTCAAGCTCTGTTCATCTCTCCCATGTTGGGAAACACATCATATTTGTTTCAACATGCCACATACTCGTACAAGCCCTGTATTATATTCAGATAAAAATAATCTTCACGTTAAAACTTTTCATTCTGCTTCCTCAGTGTTATCCGATAGCGGACCTTTTTTTGCCTCAGTACTTAACAGAGAAAAATGAGAAGACAGATTGAAGGACTCTAAAAATATAATTCTGATAAATTTCTGGCACATTTTCTATATTAGTTAACATTAAAGATCTATGATCGGATATCCATTTAAATGGCCATTTCAGCCTGAGCATTGAAACCTTTGGTTAATTTCAAGAGTAATAAAATAGCCTCGTTAAGGTCCTCAAGCTAGGAGAAATAAAAATTCAGCATTTCTCTAACATTAGAGAAAAATCAATTACACATGCGTCTGATTTTCTTTGGTAGGCAGAGCATGACAAATGATGAAGAGAAGCTGACATTGACGGTGCTGTGTATACTCACTTGTCAGCAAGTATTGCCTGCCATCACTATATCACTTGGATGAAAACAATTTATGTATTTTAACTGAATCTATGTAGTTCCACTGAAATGGATCAAGGAAGGAAGTAAATGATTTAGATTCATGGTAGTCCCATTATTTAATTCTGACTCCATTTTATTTTTGTTTCTGTCGTAAAATTTGGAACTTGGGCACATTTATCTCCATGACAATGTTTCAACAGTCTGGCCCTCTGAACCCATATTCATATTCTTATCCCCTTATCCCTTTTCTTATACTTGTAAAACCTAATGGCACCAGCCAAACTGAAGTGGCCCTGGCTTGCTCAGGAAATAGTGAACATGTTCCTTTCCTTTCAATGTCCCTAGTACTCAAAGGTTTGATATGTTACTAAATTATAAATAAATGTGGTTATAAGATGGGCTGCTGTCACTTTAGATACTGAGTTGAAAATAAAAAGTCAAATATAAATATAGTGTTTAAATGAAACTTTTGTCTAAGAAGTTTTCTTGTATTTTTATTTTGTATGTTTTATATAATGGAAGTTGTTTCCATTATAAATGGGAAGCTAAACATTTTAATCAGCTTAAAAACATAACTCAGTAAACACTATCCAAATGCCAACCTAAATAAATATTCTTTTCTTTCAGATCAGTATTTAAGGACAACCAGGGAAATGTGGACAGAGACTCAAGATTTTCACCATTATATAGACAAGAAAGTAGCAAGATTTCAACCGAGGACCTACTTAAACTTGTGTCAGATTATAGAAGGTAGGATGTTTTGGGTACTCTTGAAATTGACATAAATCAGCTCCATTGCTACTATTAATTTGTAATTTATGCATAAACAATACTTTATTACCTTATTCTCAAGTGTCTAAATTCCTCCAGAATACAGATGTTTTGCATATGACTTCACATATGCCCAAATGATATCCTCAAGAGTATACTGACCATAATTATATGGAAGGAGTGTGGACCATTAAACGATGTCAGTTATTCATTGCTATGTAACAAATCACCTCAAAACTTAGTGACTTAACGATAACAGTATCACTTATTTTACTCTTGAGTCCATAATTTGAGCATAGCTAGATGAGGGGCATCAGCTGGGCAAGGTCAACTAGAGCCAGAGGATAGACTTTTAAGGTGGCTCCTTGCATGACTCCCAAGTTGCTACTGGCTGTTGACTGAGAACTCACTGGAGCTGTAGGCTAGAGACTTTGGTCTTATCCATGGGACCCTCTCCACGAGCTACTATGGTTTTCTCATGGCTGGGTTCTAAAAGTAAGTATATCGAGAGACAGAAAATGATAACTGCCAGTTTCTTAAGACTGGAGCTGAGAACGTGCCCCAGTGCCGTGTCTGCCATACTATGCTATCAAGTTGTCACAGAGCCTAGATCCAAAGGAAGGGGACACAGACACCACTAAATGGGAGGAGTGTTCAGGAACTTTAGAACTATGTTTTGCAACTTTACAGAGCAATTCATTGCTGTGAATGCAATAATTCATATTTCCATCATTCAAATACTTTGGGACAAAATGATGGAAGTTAGTGCTAGAAAAGGAAAAATACAAAGCCACATTTTAAAAATTAATCACCATACAATCACTGTCTTATGACAGGATCTTTCATGACCAACGATTTATCTTAAATGATTAGTCCCCTGATACACAGGCGATTCTTGTACCCTTCCCTCTTCTCCCAAATGTTAACTTTCTGCCTCTCCTACCTCAGAGTCAACAATCCACTACCCATTAACTTTGTATATCCAAAACAGAATTAGCATATTACTATGAAACAAGCATGATTATCTTTTCTGTATCTTCAATAGAAGATGTGTTTCTATTGTAAGCAAAGTTTTACCAATGTTTTTGTTTGGTTCTGGAAAGTAATCAAACCTTGGTAAGCGAAATAAAGGTGAGGAGTGAAGTCCTGGAGGAGGCCCTGAACCAAGGGTACTTCTTTGTGATGTATTTATATTGGGAGATCACGCCCCTTGATTTAATCAACCTCTCTGAGCCAAACCCCCACCACGGCCTTCCCACAACTACTAAGCGGAAATTAATAGTGCTTTTTCTCTTCACTTTCTTGCCAATGTACCAAAAGCATGAAAAGTTGAAATGCTGAGAAGGGAATGGTCAGAAGATCTGGGAGTAATCTGATACAAACAGGAAAAGACATTTCTCTCATAAAACCCATGTTATCAGTGTAGAGCAAAGGAAGTTCCCACTACGGCAGTTAGAGGGTGTCTAGACTACCAATGCCATACTGACGAGACATTAAATTATTTCATTGACACCTCACACCTAAGGCATTTAGTCTCTGTATTGTGCTCATAAATGTTTACCAATTAACCCTATGGGGGGGGGGGGGGACTAATTTGTACTGATGGCCAATTTCTATGGTGTAAATTCTCCTACCATTGCTGATTTCAAGATACCAATGGGGCTTTACCAAATTCAGAGTTGGGAAGAAATGTGCACGCCATTCTGTAACGTTTCCACCATACAGATAGATATAAATAACCTCAAGATCATGGATAATCTTATCACATAGTAAAATGATTAGTAAGTGATGAATTTTCAGTAGTACTTATTACCTTGGGCTTTAGTATAATTTGTTTAATGGTAAGCTTATGTAATGTCATTTTTAATAATGGTGTGTTTAACACTGGGTAGGCAAAATAACTGAAACTTTAACAATCAGTTCTCACAAGCTGGAAAGAGCTGGCTCTGACCTACCATCATAATTATTCCACCTGTCAATGTAGATTTCCTAAAAGGGAGAGCACTTGAAGTGTTATCAGCCACTTTCACTGTACTCTAAAGGAAGTTGGGCACGAAAGCTTTCATAGAGAGAGGGAAAGAAATGCAAGGACTCGAGAGTCAGGATTTAAGATTCGCAGAGTGGAGAGCAGGGATAGGCAGGAAGGGAGTGTCTGCATGCATTACAGAGGGGGAGAAGGCAGAAAGACCAAGAGCAGGGTAAGGCTCCTTGTCCTCCTTGATGGTGGGCGAAGAGGAGAAAAGCAGACTCGTCCACTTAGCATCTCTAGTGAAATCCAGTGCTGCTCTCAAAACTTCTTAAGATGCATCATGAAAGTGAATGAATCACTGAAACCAGTTCAAATACCAGTCAGTACTTTTCATTACTGAAAACTACATTTACTGTTATACTTGTTTGGTTATTTATGTAAATGTTATCAGAAGTAGGTGCAAATAAATTTAAAACATTCTTTAGTGTGTCTTTTACTTGACCCCTTCCCTGGTTTTTATTTCTATTGGCAATATCCCATAAATTTTAGTTTTCAAAATCAACTAGCTACATAAAGTCATCCACAAGATTGGCTGGGATCCTACTATCTACCTTTATCAAAGCTCAGAATTACAGTTGACTTTTTTTCTTGACAACTGGAATAATTCAGTGTGTGTGTGTGTGTGTGTGTGTGTGTGTGTGTGTCTTTGTATGTTTCCATGCTGACATACTTTCACAGGGCGGACAGAGTAAGCAAAATGCAGACCATCCCCGGAAGCCTGGATATTGCTGTTGATAACGTTCCTTTGGAGCATCCAAGTATGTTGATGATGTCATAATTTTCTTGTAGAGTTTTGACTATTTAGTGTTATTTTAGTTAGTTAGATGGCTTATTATAAAGGTTTGTTAGGTTGTTGTTTTTCCTCAAAGTTTGAGATAAATAGAATTCATTACCTTACAGAAATCAGGGGCTTCTTATCTCCTTATTAAGACAGTAAGTGGTGTAGGAAGGAACTACATTCAGAGTAACCTCCTGCTTATCTGGTATGCACCATGCACACAGCAAGGTATTAAATTATATTATTTAATCCTCAAAACCCTGAAGGGTTGCAAATGCGGAAAGTCAGTTTCAGATAGAATGATAAACTAATAAGCCATAATGGGAGAATCTATATTCTGTCCAGTTCCTCGGACTCCACAGGCACGCTGGTTCTGCCGCACTGTGCTGGGCGGAACACCTGCAGAGCCCCCGGCGCCGTGCGGACATTAGAGCTGGACCATCTTTAGACTGTTGTTACGCCGGGGGCATGTCTCTGTTTCAGACTATAGTCAAACGTCCTATTTATGTCTATGAGCATTTGAATTTCAGAAGGAGCTTTCAATAACGTATAAAGAAGAATTTCAGAATTTATTTCTGAAGTGGTGAGACCGTTTACTTTGTTTCATTATTTCCGAGTCTGCCCGTCAGTGACTTTCTCAGGGAGGCAAAGAATGAACCCAGCACCCTAGACGTAACTGTAAACAGGGGTCGGGTGCTTGCTACCGGATGTCTGAAGCACCATTAGCACCGTGAAGTTTTTTTATTCTCATCATTTTTCCAGTATCATTTTAATGTGCAACAAAATGAGGATTCTAACTTAAGCCAGGCTCCAAATCACTTTTACATCGATTGGTGTAAAGAGCAGAGGACACACCGAGCCATTTCCTCTCCCTGACCTGTGGGCGTGGCTTCCACTACCTGCGGGAAAGAGAAATAACGCGAGAGGGAGCGAGAACGCTCTCTATGTAAGGACTATGGGGCATTAGAGAAATCTGAACAAATAATAAAAATATTATGATTGATTAAAAACCACAAACCTGTAATCTGATCCCCCAGGCATGTTCCGCTAATTTTGATTTTTCGATCACAGGACGATTCCAGATGGGATCAAGGAAGGTAGAAAGTCTTGCTGTGTCAGTGTCACAGCTCCAGCTCCAAACTCTTCAGTGACAGATGTTTTTATTTGTATTTATGGTCTTTTATTTTTCAGGCTGTACCTACAAAGTTAAATTTTAAAATATTATAAAAACTGAAGAGAAAAAATAAAATAAATATAGTATCTAATATTGCAGAGGGGTTTCAGGCCTGTGTCCTGAAATCACTCCATAGGGAAAAAATGCTGTTAATTCATTTGACACTGTCAGTAACAGGCCCACTTGAACACAGTTTTGTTCTGACATATATTTATATCTGCACTGTTCGTGTAGTGTTATACTAAAGGGCAAGGAGTTGATCCTTATGTTATAAAACCTGGTGAGTGCACTCAAAGGATCAGTGGCTAAAATTTACTTTTTATATCAAGCTTAATGTAAAAAGAATTATAAATCCATCCAAAAGATTTACCAGTTTTTACCACATCAGCTTTGGTATTAAGTATACAGCTTGATTGTCTAGCATGCCTCATTTGTACAAATTTTTCATGCCAGCATAATTGAATGTCAATGGGTGTAATAGAATGGCGTTTCTGTTTTGAGTGGATTGATTTTGAAATAGGTTAAGTATTGTTCACTTTTTAAAAAATCACGTTAAATGACACACTCTCATTTTCTGATTTTTAAAGACTGTGTCACGTCGTCCTTTATCCCTGTCAAGCCTTTCAATGTGACGGCTCCACCAGAGCCCACGGTGGAGGTGGAAGAGTTTGTTTACGACTCAACAAAGTATTGCCGTCCTTACAGAGTATACAAAAACCAAATTTACATTTATCCCAAGCACCTCAAGTATGACAGCCAGAAATGTTTCAACAAGGTATCATATGTTTCTGAAGTATCATCCTCTCTCTTCACTCTCTTTAGACCACGTTAAGATGGTTTCTTGAGCATTAATATAAATTACTATAGTTCATCACTTGGCAAGAGAAAATGACTTGAAGAAAAAGCTTAATAAAGGACAATGATGAGTTTCCCCTTAAAAGTGCTTCAGGATACACAGTTATGTGACATATTAAGAACCTTTCTAAATCAGCCCTAAATAATGTTGTTCTAGGATTTTTTTAGTTTCTCGAGATACTCTGAAAATAGCATACCTGTCCCCTTTTGCTATGAGTTTTTTTTTCTTCCCTTTTAAATAATCTTTCCAAATCCTTCTGCTATGTCTGAGCACTGTGGGTGTCACCAGAAAGTATTGGGTATTGTACACCTTTCGGATTTAATTAGAAGTTACTTATTTTAGGCACTTGGATTGTTTTTTTGGTGTTATATTACAGGCCGTTCCAATTTCCATTTTCCCTCTCTGTAATTTCAGGCACGAAATATAACCGTGTGCGTTGAATTCAAAAATTCTGACGAAGAAGGTGCCAAGCCTGTGAAGGTAGGCCAAGTCCGCCCGGGCACGTGACATTAAAGGGGGTGGGCGGGTGCGTAGATTCTCTCTACCACGCAGGGGTTTTTATGTGAGTGTGGTTGAAAGAGCAATTCAACACATTTGTGTTTGTTTCCTAAGATGTACCTGACTGAATGGCCATCATTAACTAGAGCTATGAGAGATGCCAGGCCCGTGGCTCTGCTTAGCTTTGCATGGGGTAGTAAATAGGAAACCATTCTAGTTGGAGTAAATGCAAAGGTTCGCCCTAGAAAGAAGACTTTGCCGGTTTCAAAGATGAGCCTGCCTCTCGATTCAGCTGGATTAGAAAGACCACTCCAGCTGCTCTCCGTGTGGCCCGTGCAGGGGCCGCTGCACACTGGCCCCCGACAGTGGGCGGTGGGATGCTCGTGTCTAAGGGGGTGCGTGAGGCCTGAGGAGCTGGGGAATGGCCCTGGGACTTGGGTCCAACTTGTTGGTCGTGTGATTTCATTAGATCAATAAAACTAGGAGCTTTGTATGAACTGTGCTGTTTTAACCTATAAAGCTGCACCTGGATGGCATTTTTCAGAGTTCATATTTGATATAAACTGCTTTTATTTTAGGGGCTTCAGACATAAAATAGCCTATAAAAATAGAGAGAAAAATTGTCTCTAGTTGGCAGGTGGCCACGTCTTCCCAGTTTCAGTGAATTGGAGGAATGAGATAGTAAAGGACAAAAGCCATTGCTAACTAAGCCCCACAATTATCTGAGATCGTCTCTGAGAGCCCTCTGTCAGCTGCCAATTGAGTTCTCTGTGGTGAGAAGGTCTGTAGCATTATTCAGAAGAACAGTAATCAATGTGAGCGATCGAATGAATCACGCAGCAAAGAGACTTCTTTAAAATAATCTCGAGCACAGATTCTCCGTTCCACAATAGCATTAGCATCGGGAGAGAGAAGAAATGGAGCGCAGTGGAGTTGCCAGACACACGAAGGCAGTGACCAGAGGGCAGCCCCCCAGGCCTGTGAGAGCGGAGCCCTGCGGAAACCGCTGGGCGGGAGGGACAGTGGCGGGTGTGGTCCCCGGGGCACTGCACTCTGCAGCTCCGCACGGATTCGGCAGACACCAGGAGAAGCAGCCTGAGCCCTTGGCTACAGGGGTGTTTATTTATTTATTTTTTAACCCTCACCCAAGGGTGTTTTTCCATTGATTTTCTGATAGAGTGGGAGTGACTTTGGGAGAGAGTGGGGGGGGGGAGAGAGAGAGAGAGAGAGAGAGAAATATTTCTGCGAGAGAGACACATTGATTGGTTGCCTCTTGCACAACCCCAACCAAGACCGGGGATCAAAATGCAACCAAGGTACGTGCCCTTGACTGGAATTGAACCCACTACTCTTTGGTCTGAGGGCCAGTGCTCTAACCGCTGAGCCAAACCGGCCAGGGAAAGGCTACAGGAGCTTTCAGACCGCATGACTCGGAAGTGCCACGTCACATCCCCTGGCCCGATTAGGGGCTGGGATACCACGGGAATGCAGTGTGGTGGAGCCTGGAATCAGCTCTCTCCTTCCTGCTCCCCATTCTTGGGTGGCGGCTGGCATGTCAAGGGTCCAACCAAGCCTTGTGGTCACCCTGCTGATTGTCTCAAACTTCAGGCCGGTGCTGGATACCTGCAGGAATCAGATCTTATCTCCTAGTAATCAGAAGTTAGGCCGTGATCTGATGTGGGTGTTCAGTGTCCATGTACTATCTACGTGATGAATTAAAGCCTTCAGACTCTTCTTCGGCAGCACCCCATTGTATAATCAATACAGGGCAGCAGGTCCAAGGAGTTTGAGGTTAATTAGATGTCAGCTAAGCCTGGCAAGTTATTACAAAATTCATCTTGGTCCCGGGATTGCTATCTGAAGAGTTGTGGCCTTTTATGTGCTCAAGGTTCATTTCAGACACTCATAATTATGCGACTCGTAACTTTTTAAACAGTGTATTTATGGAAAACCTGGAGGGCCCCTCTTCACCACAGCCGCCTACACAGCAGTTCTGCACCATTCCCAGAATCCGGATTTCTCAGACGAGGTAAGGGCTGGGCCTCCACTGTCCCAGCTGCTCCTGAAACTCTGTAAGTGGGCCAGGTAACGCACAGCGATAGTCACCCAGACCACACCTCAGGCTGAGGACACGCCTCGGCAGACGTTGGCTTAACCAAGATTTAGACGTTACGTTAATTGACCATTACTCCAAAAGCATGTTGCAAATTCCATTAGTTCGGCCCAGAATTGTCTTTTAAAAATGTGACTTTTTTGTTATCATTCTTTTTTTTTTTCTTTATTGATTTTAGAGAGAGAGAGAGAGAGAAACATCAATGAGAGAGAACATCCATTGGCTGCCTCCTGCATGCCCCCCACTGGGTATCAGGCCCACAACCTGGGCATGTGCCCTGACCAGGAATTGAACCGGCAACCTCTTGGTGCATGGGTTGACACTCAACCACTGAGCCACACCAGCTGGGCTGGTATCATTCTTTTCAAGGGAAAATAATTTAGTTTATTTTACTTCTCTGGTCACTATAATGAAGATTGTGTTAGATAGCTTTTACCAGTCCATTCCATATCATAATGAAAAGAACAAAGGAATACGTAGAGTATGAGCCTGCACTATTGCTCATAACCTGTGTGAACTTGAGTGACCTTAGGCATGGAACAAGACCTGCCCTGGACAATGCTCAAGTCTCTCCTATTCCATGGGTTAAAAGAGAAAATTTCATTCTATTGCATTGTTAATCATTGTATATTTTGAACTGTATTCTGGCTTTTTTTTAACCAGGAGCATGCTGGTATATAAAGACGATGTAAGCTTGCAAACCATTACAAGTCAAGACTTCTCAAACTTTATCATGTGTCAGAATCACCTGGAAGGCTTGTTAAAACACAGATTATTGGAAGCTACCCCAGATTTTTAGATGCCATATATCTAGAGTAGGACCTGGGAATTTGCATTTCTAACAAGTTGCCAGGTGATGTGATGCTCCTAGTAGTTCCAGGGACAACACTTCGTTAATCAGTGTATCACATTCTTTCCTGAACAATGTCAAAGCAATTAGATACATACATAGACACACAGAGAGTCTGTTAAATAAGCTGGTGAATAATTTGCGTGGCTCTCTATCACCTTATTGCTTGATCTGACTATTGTGGAAAGACTTAGTTGCTGATGTTGAATGGAATGCAGTTTACCTACATGGGACCCTGGGATCCCAGTGTGACGTGATGATCAGAAGATGTGGGCCCTGGTCCTGGAAGATCCTGTTACTGACGAGGCCATAATCTCAGTGACTCAAAGCCCACTCACTAATCTGTCTCACCTTGGCTCCTACCTCTCTGTCACCCTACTCACGAGGCTATTGGGGGAGTAAATGGAATGTGTATGACAGAGGTTTGGAAACTCCAAAGCACGATAAAATATATAGTGTTTCAAAACACTTCTTTCCAGAAATATGGCGTATGCTCTTCATTAAGTGCATTCTTAACCTACATCAATTTTGTTTTATGTTTATTCAGAAGCATGATATCTACAGTGTGACCTCTTCATAAAATGACTTGTCACTTAGTTACCACAATATGCATTTTATACAATATACAACCTACATTTTTGTTATTTTTTAAAAGTGATAACCGAATGCTTAAGTTATATCATTTATTATTGCCACGTTTCTCAGCAATGAGCTTGTGATTGCCTGGGGATCTTACTCAGATTCTGGCTCCATATGGCTGGGATCGTATCTAAGACTCTTCATTTCTAATGAGCTCCCAAGAGAGGCTCGTGCACCTAGTCCATGCACACCCATTGGGGGGCAAAGAATTACTGTTCTCTCATTTTGTGTCCCTTGACCATAGGGCCTCAGTTTGTGCCTTGTTTACATTCTACACGTATGTCCGTGTGTGTGTGTTTAATCCATGCTAGTACATAAATTATCTAATGAGACATACTAGGTATTCTAAATTATCATCATCCACCACAATAAAAAAGTAAAAATATCAACATCTTAACACATTACTGCTAGCAGGATGGGAACTGATTGAGAGTTAAGTCATTACTTCTGACACTAACTAGTGAACGTCGACCTAGATTTCAGTTGAAGAACTTTTCAAAGAATTTTGTCTTGCTCTGACCCTGGGCAAATGATTTTAATCTCATTCTAGCTATTATCTCTGTCATTGTAGGTGAAAATTGAGCTACCAACAAAACTCCATGAGAAGCACCACATTCTGTTTTCTTTTTATCATGTCACCTGTGACATAAATGCGAAAGCGAACACCAAAAAGAAGGAGGCTCTGGAAACACCAGGTGCTGACCGGAAGCAATCTGAGATAGCTTTGCGTGTCCTCTGTTGGACTCGAATTGGAGAGTATTTTAAACACTCTGATTTATTCAGTTGTTTTGGTGAAGTTTTGTATTCGTGAATGATAAATAACTATTTTTTCTCCTCACCATAGAGGTGTGTACTCAGACGTTTTCTCTTTGTTGTTTCTCTGCACAGTTGGCTATGCGTGGCTTCCTCTGATGAAACATGATCAGATAGCTTCTCAAGAGTACAATATCCCAGTAGCTACAAGCCTGCCTCCTAATTACTTAAGCTTTCAAGATTCTGCAAGTGGAAAGGTATTGAAGGATGTATAATTTAAGAGAAAAAAATACATGAGCTAAATGGCATGAGGTTATCTTCTTACTGCTGTTGAAACTAACCCAACCTGTGGTTAGGCATCCATTGTAATTGTGAACCAAGTGCACCTACAATATCGTAAATATCTTGTTTGCTTTATGGCCAGTAGAAATGATCTATTAGCAGTGATTCCCTGATACCATATTGGTCTCCTTCACCAATATTGCCAGATGTGTTTGCATCTTTTATGTTCTATCTCTATAGTAATGTAAGATTTATGGATCAAGATGGCAATTTCACATACACTAAATAACCTGTGTACCTGCTGTTTTCTCAAACTGCCACGGTGACGGTAACAAACTCTTTGTTGCAGCATGGTGGGAGTGACATGAAATGGGTGGATGGTGGCAAACCACTTTTCAAAGTATCAACATTTCTTGTGTCAACAGTGAATACTCAGGTGAGCATGATGTCTGAAAGGTCAGTATCTTCTCCAACACATGGAATCATAAAGTGTCCTCTATATTTGCGGGAGGAGACTCACTGTTTCACAGGGCGTCAGAAGAGCTGGTGATTGAAAAGGAAGAATGTTGGCGGCATCATTATAGGCCTCTCCCAGGGGAGATAGAACATCCTAGGTCATAGAATTCCAGGCACCAAAATATCAGAGTGTATTTATCAAGATGACACGGTCCTTGGAAGATGGTTTGCTTCCACTGACAACACCCAAGTGTTAGAAATGTAAAATGTTAAAAATAAAGACTGTGGATCTCAACATTAAGTCTAATTCCCAAGGCCTGGCCCAAGGGGAAGGCTGTGACGTCAGCAGAACTGCATTTGGGAACTACCTCAGTCAATTTCTAGCGTGGTGACCCGGGACAAGGCACTTCACCCCAGCATTTCTCTTTTCTCATCAGGAAAATGATAACAAAATCTCTCTATCCAAGGGTATGGTGGTGATCAAAGTGAGAACTTGAGTGACCTTAGTTTTCAAATGCCCGAGGCCCCTCCAGCCCTGTGCCTCCCTTTACCGGGATTGCCACACAGCTAACGTGTCATCAAAAATGAACACTTCTGTTTTTGCTGTTTCAGGACCCGTATGTGAATGCATTTTTCCGAGAGTGCCAAAAAAGAGAGAAAGATATGTCTCAGTCACCTACCTCGAATTTCATCCGCTCTTGTAAGGTAACGTGGCATGCGCATCATTTCCATGCTCTTCGGGGGAGAGATGGGCAAGAGGGACCTTTGCAATTTTCACTGAATAACAAACTAAGAGGTAATCATCATTGAAGAATCTTAAATGCCTTATCAATTCAGAGAGTCGATGATTTTATTTCACAATTCCTGAATAGTTTCTGTCTGTGGATTAATGAACAAACAAAAGTTAATGTTTCAAAGTAATAATTGGACATTAAAACCAATTGATTTGAAATTAGTTTTTTTTTTTTTTAATTATCATCCTTGCCATGTTACCCCCATACCTGCACACTGTGCAAATGCAAGGAGACCAAGGCCAGATACAGGGGAGCTCCCAAATTCATGTTCAAGTTTGGGAAATCATCAGAATACACTTTAAATTTAATCAGTTCTCTTTTGTTTCCTGTCAATTTACTACAGAACTTATTGAATGTGGAAAAGATTCATGCAATCATGAGTTTTCTGCCTGTAATCTTGAACCAGCTCTTCAAGGTTTTGGTACAGAATGAGGAAGACGAAATATGTACAGCGGTAACCAGGTATCCATAACACGGCCCTAGGAGAAGAGATTCTGTTGTCTGTGGTTACACAGAGCTTTGGTTATAACTGAACTGCCAGCTCACTGAATATGCTTGCCTTTCACGTGAACATATGTCTCAAATTTAAGTGTTCTCACTCTTGACTTTTTACCTTCTAATCATCTATTGTTGTCATTTGACTAAAATAGTAGATCTCTTTTTCAGCTGCTCTTTCTCATGTTTAGTTAAACTTTTCATTTTGAAATAATATAGATTTGCATGTGGTTGTAAGAAATAATGCAGTGGGATCCCATGATCCCTTTACCCAATTTACCCCAAAGGCAACATCTTGCAAAACTGTAGTACAGTAGCACTACCAGTATACAGTAGCACTACCAGGATATTGACATTGATAGACTCAGGATACAGAACATTCCATCACCACAGGGATTCCTCCTGTTGCCCCTTTATAATCACAACTACTTCCCTGTCATCTCCACCCCACCCCTTATCCCTGGCAACTAGTAATTGTTCTCCATCTCTAAAACTTTATTATTTCAAGAAATAACAAATTTTATATACACATATATATTTATATATGCAATTCTTCATCTATATATCTATAGATGTATCTACTGATAGGTGATAGATACATAGATGATAGATAGATAGATAGATAGATAGATAGATAGATAGATAGATGATAGATGGATGATAGAACCATATAGTATAATAGTATATAACCTTTGGGGATTTTTTTTTCCACTCAGAATAATTCTCTGCAGGGTCATCCAGGTAGTTGTATCTATCCATAGTTCCTTTATTTTTATTTCTGAGTAGAATTCCATACCACAGTGTTTAACAGTTCACCTGCTGAATGAATCTAGGTTGTTTCCAGTTTGGGGTAGATTTGAGGTAAACATAAGTTCTCATTTCTCTAAAAGTAATATTAGCCCAGTATAACTGCTGGGTTGTATGTGAGCTGCATGTGTAGTTTTTAAGAAAATGTTGGATTGTTTGTTTTCCACAGTGGCCGTACCACCTCACATTCCCACCAGATCATTTTCATTTTTTTTTTAAATATTCTATGTTTTTCAACTATTCTCACTCTAAATTTGTCTATACTACACATCCTTTCAACATTACTAGTCTGTCTAGTGACTTTGGCGGTAACAGTTTCCTCTTTAGAGAGATCATGTTTTGAATGAATTATTGAATCATATATTCATAATGTTCATTTAAAAAAAATTAGTCACAGCATTCCAGGAAAAAAAAAAATTACTCTCAGCATTGATATGTTCCCAGTACCTTCTGAACTCACAGGCGTACATACTATTAGCCTTTTCAGAGTGAGAATCTTTAGCCTTGTTTTTAAAGTAGATCCCTTAAGCTCTGTAAAATTAAGGTAGTTCTAACAGTTCCATAACCATCCAGTTCTAGACCCAGATTAGAAGTCCCCAGCCGTGTCTTCAATGGATGCTCTTTTCAGCATGAGTACGTGGGTACATGGGTCTGTGTTGACAAGACTTCTAAGTATTTCAGCTGGTAGATTTGTTGAAATTATGAGATATCCCTAAACACTACAGCCCCATATGGAGCAACTGAAGTGTTATGTGAAAATATCAACACGCACCACCACTGCTATAGGAACTGTCTCCCAACTAAGGAGGAAAAAAGGATTTCTCTTTTAACTTAATTACTTTTTCTAAAAGCATATGCATATAGTACCTCTAGGTCTGAAAGGAAGCCCTTTTAAAAAGAAATATGATAATTAAATCATGGTTAAGGATCTTAAGTTTTAATCAGGTACTCAAAATGATCCCTTTTTCAAGAAGACAGTGTCAGCAAACACACAGACCATAATAGTACATTCAATTCAGGCAAAAAAAGAAAAAAGTCTCCAATGCAATACTGCAGACATAGCCATTACTTATATCTAGTGCTTAGAGATTTCAAGGCTGGAAATGGATAACAGGTAATATAGATATTAAATACTCAGTGTTAAGGGAAAAGGGAGACGGGAGAGGGTCTGAAGTTGGTACACTCATTTATTCATGAACTAGTAAGTACCCAGCTTTCAAGCACTCCCATCACAAACCATTTTCCTGCCTTCTCCGGAAAGGCCACTGAACATCTTTGTTTTTCCAGGGTTCTGACTGACATCGTCGCCAAGTGCCACGAAGAGCAGTTGGACCACTCTGTCCAGTCGTACATTAAGGTATGACATCACCACTTGGACATCGGTCATGTGCCCAGTGCTGTGTGGCTCGTCTCATTTCCTGTCTACAATAGTGGGAAGTGTTTCTATTTGGCTGGACAGTGCCCACCCACAGTAATAGCAAGCATTCCTCTTAGCTACTTAGAATTCCTTCTGTTTGCATTGACGGGCTTGATGTATTGTTTGAATGTATACATGTATAAATAACACGTACATGTGAGAATGAATATTTACATGGGGGAGAAAAAGCAAAGACATTTGAGCTAGAGAAGGAAATTACTGTCTTTTAGAAGTCAACATTACGATAAATGAAATTTCAGCGTTAATGTAAGGAAGATTTTTCCTGTTGGTTTGTTGAATGCTCTATGTTTCTTCTGTAATGTTTTCTTAGCTTTTCTTATTGTTTTCTCAGGCATTATTTCATTTTCCCAGTTACTGTATATTTGTACCTGCTTCTGGTATGTTAAGTCCTTTATCCTCCAGCATGAACCACTACACATTCCATCAACTGTGCACTGCTTCTCCTTTGTCAAGTTTATATTCTCATTTCCAGTTGGCCGTGAATCGATGCCCATGAACTTGCGATGATGTTTGCACATTCTAGATCCTGCCTGAATGTCATCTTCTTGAATGAAAAAAAAAAAGAACCCATCCAGAGATAAATAAGAGTACTGTAGTTCACTTTATGATGCATAGAAGACCTAAGTTTCATTTTTGCTATGCATAGATAAAATCTTTTTGAGACATAGACCTTCATAATTAAAAGAATATATTCCATTAATGCATATGGATAGACATATACCCATATGTTTTAGATGTCTAGAAAGGTGGCTAGCAAAGAATTTTAGGTCTTTTGTGCTAGAAACTTGTTTGTTTCTGTGGGTTTTTTTTTTTAAGCTCCTGTAAAAGGAAATCACTAGAAATTTCATTCTGGAGTGAACTACTCTGAGATATCATCAGTGAGAAATTTTTTCATTATGGTTTTTTATATCAATATATTTTCTACCTGCCAGAAATATTAGGTGTTTTCTCAAATGTATATGTGTGTGCCCTTCCTTAAAATAGCCCATATGCCAAAAATCGTTACTTCACAGTCATTTGTCTCTGGTCTAATTTTACTCAATAAGATCTACATTTCATTTGCAGAAAGCCCAATTCACCTATAAATGTCTTTTTAGTTTGCTCTCTGTTTAAGATGGAGCCTTTGCTTACTTTTATAGGACATTGATGAATTTATGTTCAACAGAAATTTCACTCTTTCAGTGCCTTCCTCGATTTTTCATTTTACTCTCCAAGGCAGATGGGACCAAAAAAAATTCTCCAGTCCACATTACACAAAGTCCTCTCCATTTCAACACAAGTATTATGTACCTTACTCCAATAGAATCATTGAGAATTACATTAAGAACCCACCGGTGTTTTGACCTTCTTGTGACAGTCAAGTCTAGATCTTATGAGAACCTTAAAACCAGCTCTCAGACTCTGTCTGTGACATTGGAGTGGTGTATTGGAAATGCATCCTGGGCTGGTCTTTATTTTTAACCCAGATGTCTGAAATATCCTGATGAGATTATTTGGTTTTGTAATATTGAAGACTGCTCATTTAACTTGATCTGAAGGGGTTCAAATCCAGATGTACACCTATGTGGAATTTGTAGCTGATAAGAATTTCTAAAGATGCTTTATAACATATTTTCATAAATCTAAAACAAGTACAGCCTAACAAATAGAACCAACTGGAATTTTACTCTGGAAAGAAAACTAAACTAGCAAGTGGGAACCTAGATTCTAGTCAGGATTAAGTAATAGGAACCTCACCTTTCTCCTCTGTGAAGTGAGATGGGGTGGACCAGATGAACATCCAACTCTGTGACCCTGTGATTACACTCCTGTTGTAGGATATGGTTGACAGTCTGGCCTTGACCAAGGAGTCTGACTTTTTTACCCTTGGTTGGGAAGCTTATTATTTAACACTTAGATATATATTAAGCTCCACAACAAGGAGTAGTGAAAACTGATGGGCTGGTACCTATACCTGCTTTGATGTCCTTGAGAGATGTGACATTCACTGCAATTAATATTTATTCAGAAGCAAACTAAACACCATTTCAAGTTCAGTGGTGCTAAATGCTGCTAACTCACCCATCTATGGTATTCAAAACACATACATACACTATGTCTTTTTCAAAAATGTACGTCTAAAGTTAATCTAATGAAATGCCATGGTTTATAGAAATTCGTGGCACTGACATATCATAGCCAAAAATTTTAAATAAGGATATTTCAGAGCTAGTTGTGATGTCCTTGGGCCTAAATAACTGTGTATTAGGCTGTTATGACATTACCTTCACATGAGTCATAATCCACAAGGGACAAAAAATTATATTACTCTTGATTTTAGCTAGTTCTATGCATCTCTTAGCTTTGCCTTTCTCCTCTGGGATGAACTTGGAGAAGGCAGGCCCCGTCGGGACACTTACCTGTCGGTGAGCTGTGAGGTTCAAACAAATAATTGCAGACCCAGGTGTGAATGCGCCTGCACTCTGAGTTCCTTGCCTGCCTTCACTCTCGATTATAATGAAGTCTGAGCTGTGAATATGCTGAAGGAAAGTTGAGGCAAACCCAGCTCATAAGTAAAATATTATAATTCAGTCATAAGCATTTTATATTTGAAAGATACATGCAGCCCTGGCTGGTTTGGCTCAGCAGTTAGAGCACCGGCCCGCGGACCAGAGAGTCCTGGGTTTGGTTCCCCCCCTAAGGGCAAGTACCTCAGTTGCAGTTTGTCCCTGGCCCCAGTTGGGGTCATGTGGGTGGCGACCAGTCGATGTTTCTCTCTCTCTCTCCCCCCCTCTCTCCCTCCCACTCTATCTGAAGATAAATACAAAAATGACTTCGGATGAGGATAAAAAAAAAAAGAAAGAAAGAAAGATACATGGAAAACAATTGATGCTGATATCCTTAAAATAGATGAAGAAATACTGAACAAAAATACCATTACATGCACTCAGTGGTACATGCCAAAACCTGTCTTTTGAGAAATAAAGAAGTGAGCAGAGTGTGTTGTCTTACTGATGGCCAGTGTTCATGACCCTTTGACAGCTGTGTCTAAGCATGAGATGGTAGGCCCTGGGCATGTAGGGAGCTCACCTACTGGCCTTGGAGGGCACCTGCTTCCCCACTTGGCTATTTGAGTGGGTGCTCTACCCTTTCAGGATGAAGAAATGCTACCATGCCACCTGTTACCAGTGGAAGGAAGGAGAAGGGGAAATGTGTCCTGAGTAGGTGGGTCAAAGCCCTCCGTGTTTCCGTGAACCTGCTCAATTGCTCTCTGACTCTTTCTTTGATTTCTGCAAAAAGAGTTTCAAGGAGAGCTTAGGTGAGCCAGGCCCTACCTGTGCAAAGCCCTAAATAGGAACAGGTGTGTGCTGTTCTTCTCATTGGCCCTTCATGTAATTCATGACAAAATCTGGCATGAGCAGATCATTTTGAGTTATGAGTTATTCATGAGACATAATTTTTGAAGCTTTGTTTTTTCAACACATCTTACTTATTTCACTTTTTTGGCTTTTCTTCAGTTTGTGTTCAAGACCAGGGCATGCAAGGAGAGAACGATACACGAGGAACTGGCCAAAAATGTGACTGGTCTTTTGAAATCAAATGACTGGGCAACAATTAAGCATGTTCTGAAGGTAAGGAAGTTAAAGACAATTCTTTCATTGTGAATGTGAAGTTTGTTCTTACCTCCAGAAGGTGATAGGATCCACTGACTGTCCCAGATCCTTTCTCTCGTAGTTTCTAGCTTAAGCTTCATATTGCAACTGTAGCACATAAACTATTAAGCAAGAGAGGTCTCTGTCAACAGAACAGATCACCTTAGGAAGTACAATGGACCTACATTTAGTCCTTTGGCCTAAAGACAGAATAAAGGTCACCAAGAGTTATCTGAAATGCTAAAAAATTCTTCTAAGTGTAGCAAAAATCAAGTTTGTTGGGTTTATTAGGCACAGTAAGAGGAAATATACCAATAAAACAATTAATGATATGTTAATGAATATATAGACAATAAAAAAGCCAAGAAACAGCCACTCTTTCATCCCAAAAAGTTGAAATCTGTAAAGAAGAGATGGTAAAAGTTTACGAAAAGACAACTCTAAAGTATTACTCAAGAGTGAACTTAGTCCCCAGCTTAATTAATTATCTATCATGACTTTACAGATGGATATTTGATTAGTAAATAGCTAGAAAGAGAAAGCAGGATCAATAAGCATCGACATGAGTTCCCTAAAATCAAATTATTCTGAGCCAAGCAGTTTGTTTAAATTAGCCTTATGAGTATATAATTTAGTTCATTCAACAAACGTGTGTTTTAGTGCCTCCCACGGGGCAGGCACATCCTTGGCACTTGGCATGCAATAGAAAATTAAAATACAGAGATCAAAGGGTCTGAGAGGAGGCCGGGCTTCCTCTGTTATCAGACATGGACAGAGACACAAGGTGTCATTGGATGTGTTCTGATGGACTCAAGGTGAAGAGAGGAAGCAGCCAGAGTGCTGAGGGGTGGATTAATAGACAAATGTTGGAATATCTGTTTGATGGTTGAAAATACCATTTTGAACAAGATGGGGGAAAGCAGATTTTAACAGTGTGCCTTTTATTAATTAAATATGTCCAACAACATGAATTTTATTTCCAATATCAAGTTTATTAAGAAGTGGCCCTGTTATTAAGCCATAGCTGCCTCTTTAGAATTGAAGGCTTGTCTCAGTCAGTCTTCTAGAGTTAGCACTGTGTACTCCAAAGTTCTGAGCAGCATAGTTTGTATCAGCCTAAAATTGGATGTAATTCAAGTGCCCATTAACAGAAGAGCAGATAAGTATATTTTCATTAGCTATGTGATGTCGTAACCATAAGTGACCCTCAGTTTCATGATTCAATATAAGTGAACCTCAAAACAGAATTTGTTGCCTGGCCGGTGTGGCTCAGTGTTTGAGCATCAACCCATGCACCAAGAGGTCTCCAGTTCGATTCCTGGTCAGGACACATGCCCAGGTTGTGGGCCAAATCCCCAGTGGGGGGGCATGCAGGAGGCAGCCAATCAATGTTCTCTCTCATTGATGTTTCTATCTCTCTCTCCCTCTCCCTTCCTCTCTCTCTAAAATCAATAAAGATAAAATTAAATTAAAAACAAACAAACAGAATCTGTTGAATAAAAAAGGCAATCACAGGAGAATACATACAGGATGATTTTGTTTATATAAAATTCAGTGACAAACAAAACTGTATTTCTTCAATGTATAATATTGGTAGCAAAATTATGAAGTTAAGCCCAGGCCAGTTTGGCTCAGTGGTTAGAGTGTCGGCCCCCGGACCAAAGAGTCATGGGTTCAATTCTGGTGAAGGGCATGTAACTTGATTGCAGTTCATCCTGACCCTGTTCGGGGTCGTGCGAGAGGCAACCAGTGGATGGGTCTCTCTCACATCGATCTCTCTCTCTTTCTCTCTTCCCCACTCCCACCCTCCCTCACTCCCACTCTATCTGAAAATAAATAGAAAAATAAACTAGGGTGAGGATTTTTTTAAAAAATGATGTTAAGCAAAGGAATGACTAGTACAAAATTCAGAATTGTTTGTGGTGGAGGGAGGGGAAAGAGAGGGGAAGAGGGTGGAGCGTTCTTTAAACTGTACATGTACTACATATACTTCTGGTACCTGGGATAACTATCACCCTTAGACCCAGGAAAGGGGTGCTTCTTGGCACAGACTTTAGTCTTTTCCCACTGTAACCCACCCCATAGCAAAAGATGAGAGTAGCAAGAGAAATGCTCACTGGGAGTCCCTCCCAACCCTTCTGAATCTTTGAGGATCCCTGGCTACCCCTCCTCATGGGCTTACAGACTCCCTCCGGACCTACTTAGACTTCGTTCCCAAGTCCATCCTTCTCAGGGAAAACCTCCGTGTCTGAGTATAACCCTAGAAGCAAGTGGGGAGCAGTTTGCCATAGAAGAGAGGGACTAGTTTGTGGACAACACTTACATGTGCAGGCTGGATAATCACACGTGTCCCAGGCCCCACAGGTGCAGGGCAGAGCCCTGGGTGACAAGCGGGGGTAGGCCAGGGTTCTTCTCTCCCCAGGTCCCCACATTCTGCTACAACATTCCAACTTGTACATCCTACATCTGTCAAGGTAGGATGATCAAACTTTGTTAGCATGACTTCGAACTTTTAGATGTTTGGACATGTACTTTCCATTTTTAATCTTACTTCTAGCCCTGGAAATGTTAGGCGTGGACTTGCTATGATGTATTTTAATAGAGAACATTTTTAGTTTTGTTTAGATAAGTGAAACAAATAGAACCCCATGAATAAGTGTGTCATAAGACTACTTTTTAATTAGCCATGCCAAGCAAACCAGTATCTTATCCTAAACATTCTTCGAGATGACAGAGAAACTGAAATGTCTGCTGTTTACTTTTACCATGAGAACTTTGGTGAAGATCATCCTAACACAGTGGAGAATATATTATTGCTCTGATGCATTTACTCTCAAAGAATACATTTTAAGATAAAGATGTTAGAATATTACAAGTTGTAAAGAACGGAATTGTCATTATTTTACCATAGGGGAACAAATTTCTTACTCTCTTGCCTTTTCCCAACAGCACTCCTGGTTCTTCTTTGCAATTATCCTAAAATCCATGGCACAGCACTTGATGGACACAAATAAAATTCAGGTAAGATCCTTGGTAATACAGCAGACCCCAACTTCGTGCTAATGAACATGCCGTCAGTAGTCACGCTTGTATTTACTCTGTAAGCCTTAGCAATGTATGTCCATTGCTTTTTCAGTGGGGCGGATGGTGGTGGCATCGCCTTGTCTTTCATGGTTCTTATTCCTGCAGCCTGCAGGGCTGAATACTCAGAATGTTAGAAATCTATGGTTCAGTCGTGTTTCTGTCTATAACGAAAATGTGAGACTAATGTGAAAGCCAACTTGCCAAGATGAATGAATCTTACCTACCTCATGCACCGGGGCTGTAAATTCAGAGACAGAGATGGGAAATCTCCGCTGCCTGGGACTTCCTCTCACGTGCAGGAGTTCAGGTCACAGGCATGGATTCCTGGACCTAAGGGCGGGTCTTTAGGGACCCATCAAGTTTTATTCGGTGTATGACATGTAATCTCACAACCAAGCCATTTTGATTCCGAGGTCCCCCGGCACCTCTGTGGCAAATGCTGAGACCATGGAGTTAAAACTGGCTGGTACAAACTTTCAGCTCTGAGCATGGTCTGAGAACCTAATATAAAACATGATGATTATGGCTGATGATGAAGTTTACGAAGAGAATAAATTAAATGTTCTCATGAAAAAAAAAGATAAATATATAAGGTGATAGATGTGTTAATTAATAGGATGAGGGAAATTCTTTCATACGGTAAGTATGTATCAAAATATGGTGATCTACACTTTAAACATCTCATTATTTTATATGTCAGTTACATCTCAGTATAGCTGAAATAAAATTTTTTAAAAGACTAGCTGTAACTCACTACTTACTAGAAGACATTTCAAGCCAATATTTGTATTCATTCAGTTATTCATTTATTGATTTTTTATCATTGACTATTGGGGAATTTCTAGTTTAAAAAAAATCAAAGTAATTGATTTCTAACTAAACAGAGAACTCTGTGTCAAAGAAAATCTAGAATAATATTTATTAAAACATTAATAGTATTTACTTTCTCAAAGGGAAGGGAGGAGAATCAAGATGTGAGAGGTAATATAGTCAATAATATTATAATAACTATGTATGGAGCCAGGGTGCTAGACTTATTGGGGGGAATCACCTCATGTTATATAAATGTCCAATCACTATACTATACATCTGAAACTAATATAATATTGTATATCAACTATAATTGAAATAAAAAGATGCGAGAAGTCATAGAAAATGTTACATTGTTTTAATAGTTTGCAATGAGTATATGTCATAATTTACTTTAAATGAAAATGTTATTGGCCAAAATAAAAGGAAACATTAAATGAAAATGATGGAAATTATGACCTGGAAACTGAAAGGGCTTGTGTTTTATTATTGCATTCAAGTTTTCAAAGAGACTCTTTGTTTGGCAAGATATAAAATAAAGTCTTTCAGTTTATTTTTTTTCCAGGCTCAGGATTGCATATGCCACATTATAAGGAAATTATCCATTCTTTTCTTAGCTTTCTCGAGCTCAAAGGTTCCCTGAATCTTACCACAATGAACTGGACAATCTTGTGATGGTCGTAGCTGATCACGTGATCTGGAAATACAAAGACGCCGTTGAGGAAACAAGACGGGCCAACCACAGCACTGCCAGGCTTCTGAAGGTGCGGTTAGGAGACCCGCTCCGGTCAAGCCCCCATGCTAGTGAACCTGAGATGTTCTCAGTGTTAACTGACTTACACCTTCATTCACGATGAGTAGTCACCACTAACACTGTTGGAGGAATACTTTTATCTGTCTTTCCTGCTTGAAATACTGTTTATGTTCCTTTTCCAAATTTGGAGACCCGTAGATCAAAGCCAAGGTTAGATAAGAGTATCCTTTTGAGTGTTGTCAAATTAGTATATACGTAAATATTTTTATTTTTTAATTTTATTCTTTCTTAGATATATAATTTTTTTTTCTCTATTAATATGAGAGAGAGAGGGGGAGAGAGAGAGAGAAACATCGATGAGAGAGAACATCGATTGGCCGCTTCCTGCATGCCTCCCACTGGGGATCAGGCCCACAGCGTAGGCATATGCCCAGACCGGAAATCAAACCAGCAGCCTCCTGGTGCATGGGTCGATGCTCAACCACTGAGCCACACTGGCCAGGCACACTTAAATATTTTTAAATAAAAACTAAAATTTTTGAAGGAGGAGTTTCCCTGAGGCAATATTATTCTCTTGGGCTTTTCTGCCCTTGAAATGATGTCTGGATTGACTATAGTTCTAACAATGATGTCAAATAGCCACTTCAGGAAAACATTGGAGAAATTTAGCATTTTTGTTATATTACCTCCAGGCTCTTTTTCTTACTTGATGAAAATATTATGCAATAATTATATAAGAGAAAAATTATCAATTAAAGTATTGAGCGATTACTTACTAAACTGGATATATATGGAAATGAGTTATCTTTCTTTGGTCTATAGCCATTCATATTGAGTTGAGAAGGAAAAAAGGCAAAGGCAAAAATAAAAAGCTAATGCAAAGTCATGCTTTATCATTTAACAGAGAATGCACCCAACTACAATGATAATGTTCTTTTCCTTTTTTTCCTTTTGTCCAACTATAAGCTACTGTAAACTTGATGAAGGCGCTTTTCTTGTTCCTTTATGGTAGACACCAGAACATAGTGATAAGTATGAGAATTAATAAATAAATACTAATAATATAAGTTATGGGGCGATGGAGGTAGATGGATAAACCTGTATTGTGCGTGGTGAGTTTTAATTTGGTCTAATTTACTTTTTACTATCTTAAACACTAATTTAAATTACATACTATATTTGATCTCATCTTGAATTTATTTATTTTTTTCAGTATTTGCCTCTCATTTTTGCTTTTTTCTTACTTCCGGAAAGAGAAATAGATGGTCAGGGTGAAGGGGGAAGAGGATAAAAGAGAAAAAGATTACCCTAGTTTTCTACTGTATTTCGAGATCTATGGGAATAAAGTTTAGTACTATGCCGGTAGTTCATCTGAAGGGCTTTATAGAAGAGGAAATTTGGACAAAGTGATATATGGTTCAATTTGTAAGCAAATTATATTTTAAAGACATCTGCAATATTCTTCCCTAAATTGCAAGAAATGATAGATAAGCAACTCTTTTAAATAGAGAAAAGACTCTTATTAACCTTCCTTGTTTTAAATGCTCTTAATTTGTTGGAATAAATTCATGTTTTCCATGGAGCTCTTCATGCAAAGTTGATGCTGGTAGTGTATGTCGAACATGGGGGTGAATAAAAATGTCCAAGATGAAGTCGAAGGCTAACGGTGGTTAGTACTAGTGGTTTTGTGAAATCTGTAGGGAAGAGTACCAGTTGACAATAGATGAACAAACACAGGGCATAAGGTATGTAATTCACATGGACTACAAATTGAAAGCAATACCTATATGTGAAATTCATGAATGGAAACATTAGTTTAATATATTATACATTATAAAAGTCCAAACTACACACATTGTTTTCATATTGCAGTTTTAATGGCATCTGACCCGGAAAACTTACTTTTAAATCCTTGTGTTTTGGAGAAAGAGCAGGTACTATGACAACATGGAATGCTTGCCTGTCTCCTCCCAAACTACCTGCTGTTTAACACGCTCGTTAGTTAAGAGAGTCAAACAACAGAGTAGGAGAGACAGTGAACAGCTCCCTGATAGAGATCTCAGCATCTCTTACCTCTCTCCTCAAATTCAAGCTGCCTTGGCTTAAGGAAGAGCTACTCTACTGAAGGAGGCCAGTGAGATTTTAGGAGGTTTTCATGACCCATCTGTGCCACCCACATTCCTTCCCCGAGCTGTGCAGCTGTTTAAAAAATAGATAGACAAGGGAAATGCTCTACTATTTCATTGCAAAACTGTAAGTGATGTTGTATAAAATTGATGAATAGGGATCTGTAGCTTTCTGATGTGTGTACTGTATCTAACATTCCAACTCATTGCCATACCTGGACAAATGCTTAACCATCCTTTAGAGACTTTTAAAGCACTTGTGATACAAAACATTTAGTTAAATGTTATTGTGTTTTATTAAATTTTGTTCTCTTTTCTAAAATCTTTAATGGTCTTTAAAGTAAAAATGCTTGAGTTTCAATTTGATCTTTTTTAGCGCTGCTTTACATTTATGGACCGGGGCTTTGTGTTTAAGATGGTTAACAATTACATCAGCATGTTCTCCTCTGGTGAACTCAAGGTAAGAACCAAGTGCAGGAGTGATTGCTTTCTCAGCTATGGCATTATAAATAAATAAAGTTGGTCTTTGTCTGTATCTGCCTAAAACATCGACTTAGCCATTCTCTGCATCCAAAAAAAAAAAAAGATGTCTGTACCAATGGGAGGCCGTCTTTTAAATGGTTTGTCTGCTGAGTAGGTCTTCAAGTCTTTCCTTAATGGGGAACAAAAGAGAGTGGAATGAAAGTGTTTACATTTCACTTCTATCTCCTGTGGGTAGTGAGGGAGTCGTTCTTTTCAGCTGCAGATCTTCTAGAACACTTTGCTCAGGACTGTCTTGGTTTGAGCACTGAAAGTCCCACTCCCTGGAGATGCTTCAGTTTGGGGCAAAATGGACACTTGGTCACCCTACCTAAGTAGGGTCCACGTGTTTGGGAGATAGTCAAGGAATAGTGCTCTCTAGAGGGGAGTGATTCTCAAAGTGTGGTTCCTAGGCCAATGGGATAACATTGCCTCAGCACTGAAATCTGTGTTGTATCAAGACTTTCAGGTGATTTTTGTGCACACTCAGCTTTGAGGACCAAAGCTCCAGGATGACACATGCTAAAGAGAAATGAGCCTCGTAATTGGCCAGGTCATGAAAGCTGTTTCAGTGGAGATTCTTTGGGTTGCAAGCAACAGAAGCTTACTCCATTTTGAGTAAAAGGAAATTTATTGGAAGGAAATTTATTGGGAGTAAATAGCGTCAAGATAAAGAGCTAGAGGACAAGGCAAAGAGAAAGGGCACAAGAATAATCGCCAGGGAGGAACCACTTGGTCAAGGTCTGCTGCTGTTTAAATGATAACACTTTGCTTAAGATTTGCATTTCAGAAAGGAAGTGTGTGGTCACCCTGCTTTGGGTCTCTTTCTTGGTGTGTAAATAATAGTCATTCACCTTGTCTCTTTTTCAGACCTTATGCCAGTATAAATTTGATTTTCTTCAAGAAGTATGTCAGCATGAGCACTTTATCCCTTTGTGTCTCCCCATAAGATCAGCAAACATTCCAGGTAATAATTCCCAGAGTTTGCATCAGCTCCTACAAAGTGAACTCTTTTATTTGTTTGTTTGTCCGTCGTCCTCCTGTTTCCTCAACCTCAGTTTTGTCTGAAGTTATCACATGGGCATTAGAGCAGATAATCAGATTAAAGTACAAGAGAAATTGTTGGCCCCTGGGAATGAATACAGCTCTATAATTCTCAGCTTTTGCCTGTGTTTCCTTTTGCATTAAAGAGAAGGCCAACAACAAAATTATGAAATTGTTGATTGTAGATCAAAGAACTTTAACCTAGAGCTATACTGTCTTTCACTGTACTGGTTCCGAAAGACAGCTCTCCTTTGGTTTTGAGAGATAAAATTACACGGAGAAAAGTCACATTTTGTGAGTATAAATTCATTTAAAACTCTCAGTTAATGTGTGTAATTACATTAGAATGCAATTCCTCAAAATGAGTTTGAGACGAAGAAACTAATACCTTGGAAGGGAAGAAGGTGAGTGGACAACACTGTAAACTGATGATTCTCTGGGTCAGAAAGATACAGAGATGGGTGTGCAGGGAAGAACTGGGCTCTACATCTTGTTTCCTGTGCTTACTATAGCATAAATGGTCTACATGAAATATTTTCATTTAGTGCATTTGGTATATACATATATTGCTCATTCTCTACCATAATTATATACTAGGATGACCATGGTAGAGAATGATCATCACCCACCTACATATCAGAAACTCATCAAATATCAAGATGCAAAGAAAATACTAAAATGACTTAGGAGCATTAAATGTTTATAATTTTATTACATTGATTATGGTGGCATTGATTAATAAGATGATATAGGTTTCAAGTGTACAGTTCTATAATGCATCATCTGTATATTGTATTCTGTGTTAATCTCCCAAAATCAAATCTCCAGCACCATACAGGATGGGGCAAAAGTAGATTTACAGTTTTTCATATGGAAAATCATGCAATAATTAATAAATATTAATACAAGAGTAAACTGTTTCCCATACTCACAACTATAAACCTACTTTTACCCCCACCCTGAATATTTTACTTCTTTTACCCTTAAAATACTTTTCTTCTAAGCTGTAAGTTATTCACACGGTACAATTTTGATATTCATGGAAAGCACAAACTAAGATGCTGGAGAGCCTCCTTATATCTATAGGAGCTTACACTAATATTTTGGAGGAAAAGGAGATTATCCAGCCTCTAAAAGTTTTGTCATTTTCATCATAAATATAAGCTGTGCATATCATTCCATTCTTTTTCTAATTTATTAAGCACACTTAATCTAAATACCTTCAGAGCAGGAAAAGGGGGCATAAATATTACTTTGGACAAAAAAATGTTTAGCTTTTTGTTTTGATTTCTACTTGTTTTTGTTTTATAAACTAGTGCCACATTATCATTGGGTTAGCCATGCTGGTTAAGATACTCAAGAAGACCAAATCTGGAATGGGTCATTTTGATTCTACTTGTTTAATATTTTTCCATAGCTCAACAAAAGGCCTGATCTTCTCTTTGTAGATCTGATATTATAAATGATGACCATAAAAATACATGTTTCAGAGCAAGCGTATTTCTGATAGAAAAATGGGCGCTCAAATAGAAGGCCAAGAATTAAAGTAATTCTGTTCATGGCCTTCTTTTTAATGAGACAAGCAATCTAAGGCATTTGTCTTAAAAAACAAAGCTTTGTTGAAGTGACTCACATTTTAGGACAATATCTTTTAAATTTTTAGTATACATTATACATAGTTAATGAACATAGGGTGTATCTGAGTATGGAAATATCTGAACTTTCTGTTTATCTATATTAAATCCAGATCCTTTGACACCTTCAGAATCAACTCAAGAGTTACATGCATCAGGTAAATAGTGAAATTTTATATGATATTACCTAAGTATCAATAACCATATCATAGTCCAATAACATTGATCAGTATAGATACTATAAATTTCCAGTTTCCAGATGCTAATAAATACCTATATATCTAAAACCATGTAGTCAAAATAAGCAAAATATTATCTGAACTTTTCTCTAGTCACAGATAATTAAATGGTTCCCCAACTTTAATTATTTCATATTTTATTCTCTAAAGCTTGATTTTTTTTTTAATTTCTCAGAGTACCTGAAATTTCCTTAGAGTGTATCATAAATTTCCCAAGTATATATGATAGCATGCTTGTTCAACATAACTAGATTTATATGATATATTTCTTTCAATAAACCACAGCCTGGTTTGGGTTATTTTTTTAAGAATGATATTTAGGCCCTGGCCGGTTTGGCTCAGCGGTTAGAGCGTCGGCCTGCGGTCCGGAGAGACCGGGGTTCGGTTCCCGCTAAGGGCATGTACCTCGGTTGCAGTTTGTCCCCGGCCCTGGTTGGTCGTGCGGGTGGCAGCCACTCGATGTGTCCCTTTCACATCCATGTTTCTCTCTTTCTCTCTCTCTCTCCCCCTCCTGCTCTATCTGAACAAAGAATGAAAAAGTGTCCTCGGGTGAGGATAAAAAAAAAAAAAAAAAGAATGATATTTAGAATCATGTAAATTGAATATAGATAGAATGTTCCAATGGTGCATTGTTCTAATCATAACTACCTTACCAGCTGTCCTGAAAATTAACTAAGATAATGCTTACTAAGTGCTTATCCTAGTACTGACACACAGTCCGTGTTCTATAAGTGGGTGCTAGTCCCGTTATTAATAGTTACATTCAGGAAGCACATTGGACGACTCTAAATAAACACATTATTACCGGAAATGTTAACGTTCCTTTCTTGGCAATTCGGGCTCAACATTGTGCAGCCTCCTTGGTTTTCCTCTCTCCCTGCTCTTGCACATCCTTCCGACAACTTGTCCTGCTGAGATTACTTCTGCTGTTCGGATCCTACTACCCCAGGCTCTCTAATGTCTCCCCTCTCTCCGCCACTGCTTCAGCCTCTTGTATTATATCCCTCACTTTGTGTCTCCCTGCAGTCTAATTAATTTACACCCGGCCACCCTATTAGTAAATCAGTAAAGCACAGGTCTGGTTGGGCCACTGATCTCAAAGTCCTTAGTGACTGATCATCTCTGACAGAAATGCAAATGGAATTTCTACAGAAGCATATATAGCAGAGAAACCTAAAGGCCAACTAAGGAACTTGTACTTGTTTCTTATCATCTAGCCCCAGCGTGGCTCAAATCTTAATTCTCACCACTCCTGTTTTCGGCGCTGTGTTTACCGTCCCCCATAACTGTACTCCCCACATACCTGTGCTCGCCCATACCTGTGTCCTCCACATACCTGCTTTCGCAATTCTGTGCCATTGAAACCCTACCCCTTCTTCCCCCAATGTTCTCTCCTTCCCCCACTGCCTCCATCTGCTCCCACAACTCTGCACCTCCAAATCTTAGGCATCCTCGATGGCCCACTTCAACATATTACTTCCAGTTGGACATTTCCTGATTCCTTCAGACAGAAAATTAAGGTTTTTCTCATCTCAACTCTAATACTGTAGATATGCCACTTTCGCGGAATTTGATATTTGACATCATGCATCATTGCATTGGTATACTCACAATGTCCCCTAGCTTACTGAATGTTCCTCTCTCACATTTCTCATTTCTGTGGCAAGGTTGTATCACCAAATCCTCCTGATAGTGGTGGGAGTTGACAGTTTTCTGATAATCTGTCTTGATTATAAAGTGACCGTTTGATAGTCAATGACACGATCTCTTTACTTGCCTCACGAAGATATGCCTGAATATTCGGTCACGAATGAATTTTGCCGCAAGCACTTCTTAATCGGGATTCTGCTCCGAGAAGTTGGCTTTGCTCTGCAGGAAGACCAAGACATCAGGCACTTAGCTTTAGCTGTCCTAAAAAACCTAATGGCTAAGCACTCATTTGATGATCGATACAGAGAACCAGTAAGTGGTCTTCCTTTCTCCCTTCCCTAAACACCATTTATGGCACGCGGCACTAGACGCACCGTCCAACCTGGGGCTCTGTTGATTTTTATGTGAATCGTTCCTTTCGGCTCCCTTCTCACCTAGAGGAAGCAGGCCCAGGTGGCAAGTCTATACATGCCCCTCTATGGCATGCTTCTGGACAACATGCCAAGGATCTACCTGAAGGACTTGTATCCTTTCACGGTCAATACATCGAACCAGGTGAGTCTGCATACTCTCTCCAATGACTATTTGAATAAAGAGATTGCCTTTCTTTATGTGTTTGCCCTGAATACCACTTTCACCCACATGTGAGTGATTCGGGATTAAACAGCACTTCTTGCAAGGCGTTTTGGAGACGTTCACGTTAGTGTCAGTGTTTGGATTGGTCACTGAAGCCTCCCACCCAGCCCGTCTCCCAGGACTTTGTGTTCGTTGTCCTCCATTCTCCACACCCTTTTCCTGTTCTGTCCAGTTTTCACTATGGCCCCATCCTCAGTGTACCCCTTGCCCACCAGCTTTCTGACCACCTGGTTGTCATACAGCCACGTGCCTTCATTCCCGTCACCGCCTGGGGTGGGTCTGTTTGTCATCCTTTCTCCACGGAGCCAGAATAGTGGCCACACATTAACTCTCCCAGGATCTGTTACCTGTGTTCAAATCCCAGGTGAATTAACACACTGCTGAAACCAGTAACTACACAAGTTACTGCCATCTGGAAGTTAGGTGTGGTGCCTTAGGAAATTTTTGGACTTTGTTCAAATCCCTGTAGTATCAGTTACTATCTATGTGATAGTAGGTAAATTATCCAACCTCTTCAAAGCTCTGATTTCTTATTTACAAAATGGGAGAAAATATCTCCATCACAGAATTCTTGTAAAGATTAAATCGTGTAACAGAAAACACTTATCAGAGAAACTGGCACATAATAAGTATTTAAAATCTAATTTTTAGTAATAGTAATATACATAAGATAACCCATGATAATAATGATGTATAATATAATCCATGAATATAACTGTTCCTGCCATTTAGTCTATACCTAAAAGATAGTTTACACTAGATTGTAAACATTTTTAAAATCACATATGAAATCAAATTGTGACCCAGAGTATGGTTTTGACTATATTCATATTCATTCTCTGCTTCGGCAGAAGACCTTTGCTGGAACGGTCAAGATCAAATCAAATGTCATCTGAATAGTAAAGAAGGCATGTGTAGGTTTATAATGTTGAAACATGATGATTCCCATTTATTTCTTCTGTGCTTTGAATACAGGGGTCTAGAGATGACCTCAGCTCCAATGGAGGATTTCACAGCCAGTCAGCTATGAAGCATGCGAACTCTGTGGATACTTCATTTTCTAAAGATGTCTTAAATTCCATAGCAGGTACTCAAGACCTTCCAAAGACACTTGTGTTTAACATTCATCCTCGTTTACACTGTATATCATTGTGCTTTTCACCCACTCCATAATCTATTACACATAATCTATATGGCAGGATGCACTATATTTATATTGCTAGAGAGTCTTTTACGTATTTCTCAGAATGTCATTCAGTGACTTCCTCTTCTACCTAGCTTTTGTTTTTACTTGGTTCAAGGAGTTATCTTCTCAGATGTTGCCCAATTGCTTCATTCTGGAAACAATATTTAAGTTTTCAATGAATACAGCTTTTTAATATGTAATAGCCCTTTAACTTTAAAGAGTATTTTAAGAACTATTTTGGAAATAGCATCTTGATTTCTTTTAAACTGTCAGAAATTAAAAGTTTCTTCCCCAAAAGTACCCTTGTGAACTTTTATTAAAGCATTTTTAAAACAGAAACTTCCTTTTAAAAGCTTTTTAAGAAATCAAAGAAATAAGCTTTACTTTATTTCCATTTATAATGGTCTAAATTGTTCTAAATCCCTAATGCTGATGCGACCATTATAATGACACTTAAAATGTTGCATCTCTCTAGTGCCAGCCCCAGACTCTGTTATGTCAACCTTTCAGAACACTGCTCAATGATCAACATCTTTTTGGTTCACCATTTGAGCTGCTTGTGTGTCTGTGCCCATACATCTCATTATCATCTTGTGTGCTGTGGCTTGTGTTTGCAGCATTTTCATCAATAGCTATTTCTACAGTAAACCATGCTGATTCCAGAGCATCTTTAGCAAGTCTTGACTCCAACCCAAGTACCAATGAGAAGAGCAGTGAGAAGACTGACAACTGTGAAAAGGTGGGACTTCCTCCCAGACTTACTCAGCACATTGGGACTCAGAAATCGCTTACTCTCACTCAATCCCTATTGGTTCTTTGATTCCTAGATCCCAAGACCCTTGTCTTTGATAGGCTCAACACTTCGATTTGACAAATTAGATCAAGCAGAAACTAGGAGTCTTCTTATGTGCTTTCTTCACATTATGAAGAATATTTCAGAGGGTAAAGAGGACTCTTTAAAATTAAAACTTTTAAAAAAGAATACCGCTTTGAATATCAAAGAGTCTTATACTATGTGGTGTTTCCTTTCAGAAACTCTGATTGCCTACTGGCAAAGAGCACCCGGTCCAGAGGTGTCTGACTTCTTCAGCATCTTGGAGTAAGTTATAGTGTTGATTATTTAACAGTTTTTCTGGAACCTTCTAAATAGGTCATTATACCATCTTATGTTTTAATGCCCCGATGGTGAATTATCAATAATAATGCATAAAATATTTAAAGAAAAAATAATATTTTTCTTTTAATGTATTTAGATGAACAGTTTGCATAAACAAAAGGGCAAATATTAGAATGTGATTTTTCTTTTCTTTTCTAGCGTTTGTCTTCAAAATTTCAGATACCTAGGAAAACGCAATATCATAAGGTAATAATTTTAAGTTCCAATAGGTTAGCCTGGTCTTTCAGAAAGTGTATGACATATATCAGTGCATCAAGTTAGACTTACAAATACATGTTAGAAATCTGAAAATGCAAATAAAAATTATAAGGTTGACCTCGCCTTAGGAGTTGACAGTTGCCCTGCGCCCATGGCATAAAGCTGTGGAGGCAGAGAGGCACAAAACTCACATTTCTCAAAGGAAACCACATTTCATGTATCTTTGAACAAATGTATCTACCTTCGTAGGGTAAAACTTGAAAGGTACCAGGCCCCAGAACCTCTACTAAACCCCCGATGCCCCATTTCCAGAACAAGACGCATTCTACTTGTCATAGCACATGGATTTGTCAGTTGCCATTCTTTATGTATATTAAATTGCAAATACTGAGCAATGATTAAAACATTAGTTTTTCTTGCAGGAAAATTGCTGCTGCATTTAAATTTGTTCAGTCCACCCAGAACAATGGGACTCTCAAAGGATCGAATCCTTCCTGCCAAACATCAGGTCTCCTGTCACAATGGTAGTGTCACATTTTCTTGCTATTTATAACTATATTGTGTGTGTACATGTATGTGTATATATGCATGTATCTCTGGGTATGGATACACATGCATGTGCACACACACACGTGTGTGTATATATATGTATATGTCTATATATCAAACCATCTGCAGATTTCAAGTTATTCTGTGTTTCTCTGAAGAAACATCTTAGGTACTTCCCTGTCTGCCCCACTAGCTTGTAAAGACTTAAGAGGCAAAACTTAGGACTTATTTACATAGACCTAGAGCACAATGCCTTGCACAGAATAAGGGCTAATGACTATCTTAATTTAATTGAACCTGAAAAGTCATAATTCCAATAAATTCCTCTTTTAATGTTTGCTAATCTCCTAGTGACAGAGTAAAATGTAGGGCCTTAGCTCTTCATTATTATCAGTAATTGTAGTGTTTTGAAAGTGTTCTTAGAGCTGAAATTGTTTTTTTAAAGGTTGAAGGCAATAAGGAAGCATGGATGGCCCCATAAGCTCACTTTAGATTTCCTCATTATTAGACTGTGAACATGGAGGGTCTGGAGTCATCCTTCATTAACTTATTCTGTGGGGAATATTTCCCCTGAAATCCTACCTTAAAGATCCTCTGGGTCTACTAAACAAGAAGTCTTTGCTAAAATTTTCTCCAGTTTGATTTATACTTCCCAAAGGTATCATATTAATATATAATATTTTTAAATGTCTTTATTTTTAAAAGTTTTAGAAAGAAATATGAAAAGTGGTGTGTAGCCAATAAATCATGGACTACATTCTGCCTCTCTGTCTGTGGGAATCTTTGGAATTGCCCCTTTATGAGAAAGTAAATGAAAAAAACGTAATTGCCGTGTTTCGAGAATAGTAACAGAATCGAGAACTGGAAGCAATTACTTTTCAGGCTTAATGACAATAATAACCTGCCTGATGGCACTGCAGTTTTGCAGCTGTCTGGTGGCTCCTGAAGGCTCCTTCCTGAACTGTCTGGACAGGTCTTGGCCATTCACCCCTCCCCTCCCGGAAACCAGGGCTTGTCCTCTAGGAGTTCAGGACTGAACGGGACTGAAAACCTGGAAATGATCCAGTCCCAAAGCTCCAAGCCACACATCCCAGATCCCTTTATACCTTGTAACTTCAGGAATGACCCAGACTCCCCTGGACCCTGAAAACCACAGCCAGATCTCCTGGGCCCCGATTCATCTAGAGGATCTGAAGAGTGTGACAAAAAGAAAAACATGGCCTCTTATTTAGGCTGGACTCTTCAGGGGACCTTCTATTGTCTGCTATCCTCAAAGAAATGATCCATTACCTTGGCCAAATGATGGCTGAGAAGGGGAAGTTTTCCTATTACCACAGCAACACTGGCTCATTCCCCCAGGTAGAAGTGCCAAGGAGTCACTGAAGGAGAGCCATTGCAGGTCATGGTCATTGCCCTGGAAAAGGAGCTGCCCAGAGAGCCCCCCGGTCTCTCTGCCTCACCAGGATCACGTGGCAAGCCCCTGTGGATATGACACAATGGAATGACAAGGCATAAAGAATTTCCACATGCGAACAACTAGGAAAGCAAGGGTTATTTTGGACCAGATTTTACTTTTTTACATTCTGCCTCCTAAATATAATTTCACACAATTGAGCTATATGACATTGTACCTTTTTAATGTCTGCCACCCTGCCTTCCTGATCAACCAGTAATACCCATGGAATGCCATGATTCGTTAAACACCAATGAGTATGCTTGTACAGGTTTAAATCCAGTATCTGTTATGCTTCTGTTATCTTTCAGTATCTCTTATCTTTCTGAACCTTTTTTTGGCTTAAGTAAAATTTCTTCAAAAGTATTATTTGAAGTCCCTTGTATCATGTCACCTTTAATTACTATTTTTAATAACAGGTCTCAATTCAAAAAAATTGTTATATATTTGACTCAGTCAAGAGCATTTGAATGAACTGTTGGATATCACATGCCTATTACTTTAACCATTTTTCTTATTTAATTTTCAGGATGAATACCAATTCCAGTCATGAAGGACATAAGCAGCCCAGATCCCAAACTTTACCTATAATTCGAGGCAAAAATGCACTTTCTAATCCTAAACTCTTACAGATGTTAGACAACACCATGACCAGTAAGTAAATCAGAAATAATAGGAACAGATGGTTCTCAGTTTCTCTCGAGATGTATGTAGGACATGAAATGCATCATAATGTCTCAGCAATAGAAAGAATGCTATTGAGCTACTGACACCACTGTTTTTCGGGCTTGCTGTAGCCCAGGAGTGTTTTTAGAGGAGGATTCACCATAGAGCACTTAAAAGTTTGTAATGTTTTTTAAAAGAACACAAGGGAAAAGCAAAACTCTTAGTACCATATGCTTAGTGTACATAGCTCCTCTGGGAAAAAAAATGGTATCATGAGGGTTACGTGGGTCTCTCTCAATCAGATTATGTATTATCCACTCTGTGGGAAGAGGAAAACGTGGACACATCATAGAAACAGTAAGCATGACACCTTGAATCCAGCAATGCACACATTTCAGCTTGTGGGTGAGGTAAAACGGGGGCTGTTGTTTTATATCATGTAAATGTCAGTGATTAAGGACATGTAGCCACAGTTAGCTATTTAAAGGTATATGCCTCATCCTTTAAATACGTGTAATGCCTTTCTGGGGAGGCCAGTAATGCAGACTGTCCTCTGAAACTACATTTGGTCTGTTATCCTGGGAGCCCAAAACTTGATCCAGACTGATTATGGAAGAACAATGGCTCAGTCAACAACTGAACTAATGGAAAAGATGTAAGAAATAACGGAAATAGACCACTCTCGTCTTTGGGAACTCTCCAGCCGACATCACAAGGGGCACACACTCTGTCTTAGTGCAAGCTGCTGCAAGATACCATGGACGTACACATCTATCTCTCACAGTCCTGGAGGCTGGGAGGACCAACACCAAGGTGCCAGCCGATTTGATGTCTAGTGAGAACCCGCTCCTGGTATACAGATGGCTGACTTCTTGCTGTGTCCTCGCATGATGGAGAGAAAGAGAGAGAGACGGTCTTTCTGGTGTCTCTTACTTTTTTTCATATATGTTTGTATTGATTTCAGAGAGAGGAAGGGAGAGGGAGAGATAGACAGAAACATTGATGAAAGAGAAACATCCATTGGCTGCTTCCTGCAACGCCCCCTACTGGGGACCGAGCCCTTAACCCGGATATGTGCCCTGATGGGGAATCAAATCAGCAACCTCCTGGTTCATGGAAGGATGCTCAGCCAACTGAGCCACACTGGCTGGGCTCTAGTGTGTCTTGTAAGGATACTAATCCTGTTTGTGGGGCTTCACGCTTATGACCTAATGGCCTCTCAGTGACCTCACCTCCAAATACTACACCAACATATGAATTTGAGGGGACAGAAATTTAGTCTATAAAGTCCTCTAAAGAATCTGTCTAGCATTTTTGATTGAACCAATAAGAAGTTGAATAAATAAAGAACTTTAATACATTATTCATCAACACCAGTGAACACTGAATATGCTATCCTAGAAGAAAGTCCTTTACAGAGTGCAGAGAGCTGTCTTGGATGTTTATAGCATGTTCTACTTTGTGTTTTTAGGCAACTCAAATGAAATAGACATCGTGCACCATGTGGACACAGAGGCCAACGTAGCTACAGAGGTTTGCCTGACGATCCTAGACCTGCTGTCTCTCTTCACTCAGATGCACCAGGTGAGTGTGATCAAAACACCTTCTACATGATAAAATGGAAGGTAGAAAAGTCATGTGAAGTCCAGAACATGCAGTAAAATTACTTATGAAATTATTTAACTTTACATAAATCAACCTAAGTGTGAGTGGAAAACAAGTTAAAGGTGAGATTCAGATTTTACCAGAGGTTGACTGTTGCTCCGTTGATACACACACATACATATTTCACTCCTGTCAAATAACAGACCCCTCCTTCCTAAGTTCTCCTGCTTCACTGTCGATGAGATAGGCTGGGGAGGACTGTGACACTACTTTTCTTTCTCAAAGGGAGAGGCGTCTGGCAGCCACATCTAATAGACTAATAGTGGTGAGCATCTGTCACCTGCTTATTTGCCCCCTGGATGTCTTTGGAGAAATGATACCACCACATCTTAGTAGAATGGCTAAAGTTAAAAAGACTGACCGTACCAAGTTTTGACAAAGAAGTCTCACTGACTAATAGGAGGAATGCAAAATAGTACAAACACTTTGGAAAACAGTACGTCAGAATAAAAAGTCAAACATAAATCAAGCATGTGGCCCACCATTCCAACACTAGGAATTTGCCCAGGAGGAATGAAAGTATTCATTGGCACACAGACACCCATGGGAGATTTATTCTGAATAACTAGACACTGGAAACAACCTAAATGTACATCAACAAGTGAATGTTTTTTTTTTTTTTTAATGCTGTTATATCCATATAATAGAATACAGCTCAGTTATTCTCAGTGAAAGAAACCAAACAATAAGACTATATACTCTATGATTCAATTTAAATAAAATTTCATAAACTGCTAACTACAGAAACTGTGTGTTAGGTAAATCTCAATAAAGCTATTAAAAACATTAGCTGCACCTAATGAGTTCACAGATAATAAGTTTTGAACTGTGAAAAGCTGGATGTATTGAATAAAGTCTATACCAAACAGAATGAGTCCATCAAGAAAGTCTATCCCAGCTGGTGTGGCTCAGTGGTTGAGAGTCGACCCATACATCAAGAGGTTGCCGGTTCGATTCCCAGTCAGGGCACATGCCCAGATTGTGGGCCAAATCCCCAGTGGGGGGCATGCAGAAGGTGGCCAATCGATATTCTCTCTCATAGTTTCTCTCTCTCTCTCTCTCTCTCTCTCTCTCTCTCTTCCTTTTTCTCTCTCTAAAATCAATAAAGAAAAAAATTTTTTAAAAAGAAAAAGAAAGCCCTGCAGGTGAACAGATGAAAGGTCAGCATGGTGGTAGAAAAGCAATAACCATGGATTTTTTGGTACGTGCCCCTAGAGGAAACTAAACCCGGGACTCTCTGGTCCACAGGCCGACGCTCCAAATACTGAGCCAAACTGGCCAGGGCCATTATTTTCATTTTTTATTGCTCAGTGGAAATATCACTCAAATATCGTGTATCTCACAGGCTTTAAAAATGCCTGTGACGACTTGCCTGTCTGTGACCTTGTCTCCTACCTCTCTCGCGACCCCGCCACACACACTGTGCTCGGGCTACTCTGATCTTTTTTTCTCAGCCTTGAATTCACAAGCTTCTTCCCAACTCAAGTCCCTGGTACTCACATCTCCCTCCATGGACACCCTCGCCGATCTGTCCACGGCACACTCCTTCAGCTCACATGTCAGTTCACCCATTAGACGGGTCATACCTAACCACCCTATCTGAAGTATCATCTTACCCCAGAGCAGTTACTTTCTATTGTAACATACCATTCTCCTTTATTTTCTTAGTACTTTCTTCAATCAGTGCTATCAGTTTCACTGGGAACACAGACCTTCTCTTCATATTCAGCACTTTATTTCCAGCGCCCAGAATGGTGCCCTCCATCATGTAGGTTCACAATAAATATCTTTGAAAGAACACAGGTGTCCTTTTCCTCATCCTAAGCAACTGCTGTGTTAAATTTCCAGAGACAACTCCAACAATCTGAATGTCAAAATTCATTGATGAAAAGAGTGTTCGATACCTACATGCTGTTTTTCCAAGTCAACCAGTCGGCCACAGCGCTGAAGCACGTGTTTGCCTCTCTGCGGCTGTTTGTAAGCAAGGTAAAGGTGCTCCGGCGCCCGGCGAGAGCCCAGGGGTGGTCATAAACTCACACTAATCCTTACTCTTTTGTTGTGGAGGGAAGGTATGTTTTCTTTCATTTTGGCTTATTTGGTTTCATTGGACTAGTTATTTGGTTTTATGAAACTCCTTGATTCGTGGTCTAAAGCTCACAGCCTTGACGGCCTGTCTGCTTGGATATCAAAAGGGAATAAAATTAACATCTGGCCACCAATCCTTTGAGGTCTCGGTGTTCATGGCAGAGTTAGATAAAATGCACACCGTGAGCTGTCATGCCCATTCATGCCAAGTTAAAGGTTCCACATTAAAGTAGCTCTAGCTATGACCTCCGAGGGCCCCTGTGGTTTTACAAGGTTTGGGTGAATAGAAAACATCTCAAAGCTCTCACTCACCTCCTTTGGGTTACCATTAGTTATCTGTGTAGGGATACTTACAACATGCAGAATGATTATTTATAGAAAAAAAAAATACTAACATAGACTTGACCAAATAAAGTATGTCCTCTTCCACTTGCAAACAGAAGAAAAAGACTCAATTAAAAGAAAAGAAAGAAGGATTTCATTCCAAGGAACTTTAAAACATGAGCGTGCGAGAAGAAAGTAAGAGAGCAGACAGCACAGTGGAGGGACGGGGCTGACTTGGCGCGTTTCTGTTCCCACAGTTCCCTTCAGCGTTCTTCCAGGGGCCTGCCGACCTGTGTGGATCCTTCTGCTACGAAGTCCTCAAGTGCTGTAACCACAGGTCACGGTCAACCCAGACAGAAGCATCAGCACTTCTCTACTTTTTCATGAGGAAGAATTTTGAATTCAACAAGCAGAAGTCAATTGTCCGATCTCACTTACAAGTCAGTGCTCCCGGTTTTCACCGATGCCCGTGCCAGTGCCACGCCTCTGTGCCAGCCCCAGAGAAGCCCACTGTCCTCAGGGCAGCAGATTACCCACTCCTCCTCCAGACTTCACCCCAGCACACTCAGTTCTGCTTCAGGGGCAGAGGGCAATTGGGCAGAAACCAGCAAAGCCCATAACTTCACCTGGACTTTTCCTTTCCTCTGCCAGGGAATAGAACCATGCAGAAGACACCAGTCAGGGAGCCGTGGCCATCTCTAGGATGCTGAAGCCCACCAGATTCTAAATGCATACATTTCTTTCCTCAAGGCATCCTAAGATCCTTGCAGCCTTCCTTTAGTATTTAAGTGTATAAGAAAAGCCCAGGGTTACATGGCCTTCTAAAGATGTCATTCATTGGGCCTACGGGGAGAAATGAATGAAACGTTCATCCAATCCAATGGATTTCTGTATAACTCCTGTTTCTGAGTTACCTAATTTTGAGGTTTTGTTTTTCTTTTCTCTTTCAGCTCATCAAGGCCGTCAGTCAGTTAATAGCTGACGCCGGGATTGGAGGCTCTCGGTTTCAACATTCCCTGGCGATTACGAATAACTTTGCGAATGGAGACAAACAAATGAAAGTAAGAAATGCTCTGCGGGCCTTTTAAATAATTAGGAATGGAGTAAACCGGGTTATTTTGGGGAGATATCAAAATCATTTAAGAGAATACAAATCTGGTGTTTTGTTTACTGAGACTTTGAGTTCTTACATTGTTTGCTTGTTTAAACTGGTAATCAGCTCTTCCGCTTTCAGAATATAATCTGGTAAGTGAATTTCCAAGTTGTGTGGTTGAATAGTGTGTAACATGAAAACTTACCCCAAATATCCAGAAATCCAGGGATTCTCTCATCATTCCACTCTTGGCCAAATTGATCTTACCTTTTCTTTAGAACTTTCCAAAGATTTGTCCTTTAGTCAGTATACTGAAGAGTCAGGGATAGAGCCTGGTTCAGGCATGGCTAAACCCAGGGATCAAAATAATGTTCTCAGCTGTCCTGCCACTGCCTGTTTTGCCCATCTCCCTGCCTCTCAGTTCAGCTTACCTCTTTGTTTATTCCACTTACCAGTGAGCTCTCCTCGTGAGTTTACACTCTCAAAAGTGTTAAGCACACTGGTAGTATTCCTTGAGTGGAAAAAGCACCTCATGCCATAGTGCCCATCGAAGTCCCAGAACTGAATCTCTTTCCTCCAATTTTGTATCATGTTCCCTCCCCTAAACCAATCACTGTGGCCTGGGGGAATCACAGACTATGACTGGCCAGGCCAGTACCATGTGCCACCCCTCGTGCCTGGGAATGACATAGACCCATTCAAACCACATGAACATGAGCCAGAGAGGAGAGCAGCTCAAAGGACAATCAGGATGCTATCACTAGAAGAAGGTGAGCTAGAAGGCCAAAGATTGGAGCCTGCTACGATTCCTATCTTCAAAGGTTTAAAACCACAATCACAACACATAGGATGCACATAGAGTTACATATTGCCCTGGTCGGTTTGGCTCAGCGGTTAGAGCATCGGCCTGTGGACCAAAGAGTCACGGGTTCAATTCCAGTCAAGGGCACATACCTCAGTGTGATTCTGTCCCCAGCCCTGGTTGGGGTCATGCAGGAGGCAGCCAATCAATGTGTTTTTTTCTCTCTCTCTCTCCCCCCACCCAACTCTGTCTGAAGATAAATGGAGAAAAAGTCTCCTTGGGTGAGGATTCAAAAATAATAATAATAATAAAGAGTTACATATTTATGAGCAATATATAGGATGCACCAAACGGTGACGCCGAGCCATAATTAATGGCCTGGCTTCTGAATTCTTAGCAGGTGATGACTCAGGCTCTCTCTTTTCCAAAGAACAGCAATTTCCCAGCAGAAGTGAAAGACCTGACCAAACGCATAAGGACCGTTCTGATGGCCACGGCGCAGATGAAGGAGCACGAGAAGGACCCCGAGATGCTGGTGGATCTGCAGTACAGTCTGGCGAACTCCTACGCCAGCACGCCCGAGCTCCGGAGGACCTGGCTGGAAAGCATGGCCAAGATTCACGCGAGAAACGGAGACTTGTCCGAGGTGATTGGCGAAGGCCGTCCTCCCCCGTCAGCACGGTCCTTTGTCTCGGGGCAACTGGACTTTCACTTACAGCAGGAATAGGAAAAGTTATCCTGTTTTCCCACTGATCTAGCTATGGCCTGATTATATGTCACATGCATTAAATGTGCATGTAGGAATCAAGGATGCCTGACGCCACATAAGTGAAATCAAATAAAGGCCGGAGTCTGTGGGAACAACTTTAGTTATAGGCTATGCAGTACGAGCTGGACTCCAAGCCTGAGTCTAAGGAGGACGGCATAAGGGTATGTGGAAATGAAGTTATGTAAGTTAGAGGTCTGTGTTTTCAAACTTCCCTGTGATGGGGGTTGGATGGGGAAGCTTGTCAGCGTGGTGAGTAAACCCAGGTAAGGGTAATCTGTCCTCGTTCGCAGCTAGTCTGAACTGGCCGTGGACAAACTGACACTCCCGAGAGCCACGTGAATGAAGAGAACCCATTGTGAGAGGTTATGAATCAATAGCTAACAATTCTGTGTCCGTCTAAACACTGGGTGGATTGATCAGTGGCCACTCACAGCACCCAGGAGGCTTCAGGACACCAAATGGGGAACTTCTGCCTATTCCCGGACATAGTCCCGCCTCGGGAAGAGATTAATTTGTCTAGAGTAATCCTAAAGCTCATCTGCCACTTGTGAGGGACCCTGGGATGGAAGCAGCCTCGCTCGGTGGCCTTTGGTGAGGACAAGAATGGGAAACTCCATTTCCCTTGGACTGCCCTAAAAATGGAAAACGTCCCCCATAGAACTTCAAAGGGAAACACCGGAGGCATTTGGACTCTCAGCCGGTCAAGGCCTGGTGTGTGCCCAGCAACGCTGAAGGCTTCAGGGGGGATGTTGGAGAACAGTCGAGTGCTGCCCTAGCATCTGGTGGAGGGGGGTACATGTGACACTTCGGGTCACACTCTTTAACCAGGGCCGCCTTGCGAGGCAACCATTTTAAGGGCAACAGATATTCGAGGGAAGGCCATTATGGGAAATAGAAAAGTAAGAAGGCAGCTTTTGCCATTTCCAGTTTAGATCCAGATGCTAGAGTTTATCGTTTTCACAGGGAAAAAGAACTGTGGCCACACACACACACACACACACACACACACACACACACAGCTGGGCAGGGAAAAGTAGGGTGATAGTTGTGAGTAGGGTTTATTCAGCTATCATAATAATCATACCTGCATGTCTTTTCTTTAAATATTTTTTTTCTTTATTGATTTTAGACAGAGAGCAAGGGAGAGGGAGAGAGAGATAGAAACATCAATGAGAGAGAATATCGATTGGCCACCATCTGCATGTCCCCCACTGGGGACAGGCCCACACCTGGGCATGTGCCCCGACCGAAAATCGAACTCGCGACCTCCTGGTGTATGGGTGGATGCTCAACTCTGAGCCACACTGGCCGGGTCCTGTTTTCTCACATGAATAACTGCAACCCTGGTTTTGCCCAGCCCTGTAAATAACCAGAGACAGAGAGAGAGAGAAAGGAAGTTGGTATTAAAGAAGGAAGATAGTTCTACGGGAAAATCTTCAGGCCAGCTCATACATCCACCCGCAAACTAGATCCAGAAAAACAGACCAGAAAAAGATCCCAAATATGCATTTATTCTTGATGGTGAACTTTTTGGAAATCTAATTGATTTTTATTTTTGATCCTGTTATTAAAAGGATTCCTCCAGCCCCGGCCAGTTTGGGTCAGTGGTGAGGGGTTCGGCCCACAGACCTAAGGGTCACTGGTTTGATTCCTGGTCAAGGTCATGGAGTACCTGGGTTGCAGGTTTGACCCCCAGCCCTGGTTGGGGTTATGTGGGAGGCAGTCAATCGGTACGTGTCTCTCACATCGATGTTTCTCTCTGCCCCTCACTCCCTCCCTAAAAATCAATGGAAAAATATCCTCGGGTGAGGATTAACCAAAAAAAAAAAAAAAAAGGATTCCTCCACATCCTCTGGCATGAGATTAGTCCTAGTTAGACAAAGAGTGAATGTGTGTGCCTTGTCTGACGCTGTTTCCTCTTCGTTGCAGGCTGCGATGTGCTACATCCACATAGCCGCCCTCATCGCAGAGTACCTGAAAAGAAAGGGTAGGTGACTGCGGGAGGAGCGCTCCCCGATCAGCTCGCTGACACCTAGCTTGAAGTTCCCTGTATTAATTTTAGATTTTACTGATTGCAGTTGTTTTATTAAGCAACGCTAACTTTCACAGGTATTTCTGGTCACACTGTGCTTTTACGTTTTTGTTCTCTCTCATGCCATTATCATGTTTATTTTATGTATCAAAAGGCCAACTGGTCAGCCTCTGTCTTCCGACGAGAATGCCTCGTTGGTGAACGATGTGTAGTTTTGTAAGCTGGAATTAACACAGACGTGTAACGATGTCCTAACCTCATCTTGCACCACCCTAGGTTACTGGAACATGGAAAAGATTTGCACACCACCCCTGCTCTCGGAGGATAGCCACCCCTGCGATAGCAATCCATTACTAACACGTCCCGGTGGAGGAAGTGAGTGCTCTAACATCTCCTCTACCCCATGGGGCCGTGCAGAGGAAATTAAGCTCCTAAAAGTATCCCGGAAGCTCCCTGGTCAGTTTGGCTCAGTGGTTAGAGTGTTGGCCTGCGGACCACAGAGTCCTAGGTTCGATTCCGGCCAAGGGCAGGTAACTCGGTTGCAGTTCGTCATCTCGTGGGCCATGAGGGGGGCAGACGATCGATGTGTCTCTTTCACATTGATGTTTCTCTCTCTCCCTCTTCTTCTCTCCCTCCTCCCCACTCTGTCTGAAGATAAATGGAAACATATTCTTGAGTGAGCATTTTTTTTTTTATCCTCACCCGAGGACATTTTTTGATATTTTGTTCAGATAGAGTGGGAGGGAGAGAGAGAGAGAGAGAGAAACATCGACGTGAAAAGGACACATCGAATGGTTGCCACTCACACGACCCAACCAGGGCCGGGGACAAACTGCAACTGAGTACGTGCCCTTAGCGGGAACCGAACCCAGGTCTCTCTGGACCGCAAGCCAATGCTCTAACCACTGAGCCAAACCAGCCAGGGCAAAGTGAGGATTTTTTTTAAAAAGTATCCTGGAAGCAAAAGCCATGTCAGACCTACATGATTTACTCTGCAACATTTCGAAATTCCTAGCGTTCAGAAATCCCATCCATCTGAAATGTGTGAAGTTTACATTCCTGAAAAGTTTTCAGCAAATAGAACTATATCTTATCCTATGTTATTATGAGTTATGACCATATTTTGCTACCAATTTGCCTGCTAGTCTGCCTTTGGGATTTTATTCTGAAATTGATGAATTGTTTAAAATTGCAAGAAAAATCCATTTTCATTTTGAAATGTAATAAAAGTAGTCCAAAAAAAAAGGGATGCAGAAATGAAAGCATATGAATATAGTGCATATACAGAACTATACTTATAATGGGTCTGTTCCATTTCCTTTTTTAAAAACATAAACTAACTCTGACAACTTACCACATATCATAATTAACAATATTGATTTCCTTTAATTAAAAATATTCCATCTTTGATGTCTGATAAAAAAGATTTTATAGCGATAACTAAATAATTACTCTTTGCAAAATACTTGGCAATACAGTTAACACATTTAATCTGTTTCCTTTTGCAAAACTTTGTTCAAACACAAAGTTTATGAACTGCAGTCTGTTTTATAACTTAACCTTCAAAAAGCTGTGGAAAACTCAGTGTATAAAATATAGAAGCTGCCCTGGCCAGTTTGGCTCAGCAGTTAGAGCATCAGCCTGCTGACCACAGAGTCCCAGGTTCGGTTCCCACTAAGGGCACGTACCTCGGTTGCGGTTTGTCCCCGGCCCTGGTTGGGGTCGTGTGAGTGGCAACCATTCGATGTGTCTTTCTCACGTTGTTTTCTTTCTCTCTCTTCCCCACTTCTCTCCAGCTCTATCTGGGGATAAATGCAAAAATGTCCTCGGGTAAGGATAAAAAAAAAAAATGGCAACCAATCTTTAGATATAAAGATCAAAATACCTAAACAAATGGTAAAATGACTTCAGTTACAATATTTTAGAAACATAATTGGTTCCTCATTCTTTAAAAAAAAAAAAAAAAATGAGAGAGAGAGAGAGAAATATATAGTGGATTTTGAAAAAAAGACATTTGGCCCTGGCCGGTTTGGCTCAGCGGTTAGAGCATCGGCCTGCGGTCCGGAGAGACCCGGTTTCGGTTCCCGCTAAGGGCACGTACTTCAGTTGCAGTTTGTCCCCGGCCCTGGTCGGTCGTGCGGGTGGCAGCCACTCGATGTGTCCCTTTCACGTCGATGTTTCTCTCTCTCTCTCTTCCTCTCTCTCCCTCCCACTCTATCTGTACAAAAAAAAAAAGGAAAAATGTCCTCGGGTGAGGATAAAAAAAAAAAAGACATTTGAAACCAGTGACCAAAGTGAGCTGTGGGACAGTGAGGTCATTTGTTTGGGGACCTTGGAGAAGAGTCCAGATCTGACGTCATGGCTCATGCCCACACTGACGTCAAGGTTCTCCTTTCTCAGTTCCAGACTTCCTGTTGAGCTTTATTTTTTTATGCAAGTCACCCAAATCACTATTTTTTTATTTAATGTGCCCTTTCTCCCCATCTATTTCTTATCATAATCAGATATTATACAGCTCCATAAAGACTATTTCAGATTCTAACCAAAAAACAAAATTGGAGAAACCTGATCAAGCTAGGTGTTAGTTTGAGAAGTTGCGGGAACAGATCCCAAAATGTTGTGTGAACCTTTATATTCAAAAATTTTACATACCCACTTTGAGACCTAAAATAATATATCATACCCATTGAGAAAAGAATGTATTTGTTTAGTAAACTTTAAATTAAGGAGGGTGATCATTTATGAGGCCGTAGCATATATACACTTGATACACCCCCCACACACACACACGAAGTCCTCAATGTAGTTTTGTTAAAATGTTTCTAAGTCAAAGGAGTAAACTTCCCTCATATAATGTGTGAACAATAGGAACACAGGTAAATATAGACTCTGTCATAATGGTCATCGTCCTGTGAGAAGTATGTCGTGACATTTCCTGCTAAATCAATTCTTATGTATTTTAATGTACGTTTGATTACAAAGGGAACATTATAGAGAAGTAGGAACAGAATTTTAATGCAAGGATTTGACTGCAACAATTATAATTATGATTGTAGCACATTTGGGGGCGATAATTTAGTTACACAGCCCATGAGCTGATTAGTAAAATGGAAACATCCCCCAGAAGCGTCAGCTGTAACTAAAAAGGCACGTGCTCCACACGAGGCCCCGCACCAGGCTCTGTACTGGCCATGACTCAGTCAGTTACCAATAACAAGTCTAGGAGTCGGGTGCTGTTATCACCTCCCGATTACAAATGAGAAAACCAAGAGAGTTAGACAACCTGCCCCAGAGTTCACAGTTTGTGGTGAACAGAGTTCAAGGCTGGTGTGTCACCCCAGACTGGGCTCCTGACCACTCATATTCCCCACCATTCGGATCTGAGACCCCCCTCTGGGAACATGACCCATTATCAACTGTTTCCATATGCATCTGCAGAGTTAGACCTTTTTTAAATCTTGGTGGCAAAGATGCTACGAAAATTGAAGATGTCTAGATAATGCCAAGGAGTAAAAGTCAGTGAGCATTGAGCACTGGTTTCCTAATGTGCTCACCACACCAGGTGTTTTCTCAAATATTAACCCTTTCAACCATCCTTTGAGGTAGATATTAATGTCTCCAATGTAACAAATGGGGAATACAGAACATTGGAGCTAGGTCAATCTACAAATCTTGTTTTCAATCCATAATCCCATCCCAGCTTCTTATACAAAATGTGTCACCTGATGATAATACAAAATTACAAATGGGTGACATTTACCAACAGCCATAGTCTAACCATCTCGCTGACTGTGTAAGCTTTATACTAGCACTTGTAACGTCATGAAGAAAGGCGTTGTCTAATCCAAATTCTTTGGCTGAAAGAATGTTTCATTTTGCTTGGTTCTCTGAAGGCATGTTTTCTATGGGCTGGCCAGCTTTCCTGAGCATTACCCCAAATATTAAAGAAGAAGGAGCAATGAAAGAAGATTCTGGAATGCAAGACACGCCATACAATGAGGTTAGACCCAAATAATCCAGTGTGCAGTAATTGAGTAAAAAAATGCATGGAATTGTAACATTAAACTAAACAGAGGGGAGAAAATCTTGTTCAGAAATCAAATAAAATTACTCTATAATATGACTGAGGCAAAATGAAATGCAGGCTAAAGTTAAACAAAGTTAATCAATATCAGATTTCATTGATAAAGCATCATTTCCATGAAAATTTAAACTAAACTTTACTTCTCTAAGATGGACCCAAATATATATGATCAGTTCTTCTATAAGATGCAAAAATCTCTAGTCCTTTTGTAAATGTGGTAAGGGATGCTGAAATTTTTGTGAGCTGGCCATAGCTTTTTTTAATACATCAGAAAGGTTATTTACAAATCCATTTGAACAGACAGGCTCATTAGTTTCTGCAGAAGACCTCCTGGTTTACAAACCATGGTTATTTTTCACTAATAAAAAGCAGCTTTCTACTGGAAATAACTTAGCAATGATTCTAGTGAAGAAAATAGAGCTCCCCCCATAAAGTAAGTAAAATATTACATAAGTTAATTTTTAAAAATCATACTGCATAGATTGACAATAAGAACACAGAAAGCAAATTGTGGGGTGGGTTTTAATGAAATTTTACATGTAGTTCTACATAAATTTAACGTACATTGCAAGTAAACAGTGAATGCAACTGCATATTTATATTAACTGTTTCAAATCATGTTTAAGAATCTTTTCTTAAAAGACACTGGAAACATTCCAACAATACTATCCACGTGCTTTAGAGAGTATATAATTTGATTCGATTGACATCCATTAAACCACTGGTACCTGTGAGGCATTGAGTTAAAGGTGAGAAAGACAGATAAAGTGGGCATAATTCTGGCTCTCAAAGAGAAATTCAAACTTCATTCAGGGTGGGTAGTACCCAGTCTGAGACCCATTAACTATAAGTCCAGATATCATATAGAGCTGCAATCACAGGGGAAGGAATTTTTATGTGAAGGTGGTTGGGATGGAGATGATGGGTCATAAATAAAAGTCCTCCAGACTTTGGTTCTGGGTCTCGACATTTAATAGGACTTGTAGGAGTCAATGAGAAAATAAAGTTCTGAAAGGGGCAGCAACAAACAAAACAGGTGAAAGCGTGAAGGTGAGAAGGCATCCTAAGAATGGTGGGGTAGGTCTGATACGGCAAAGTGCAAAGTCAGGGTCCGGTGCTGAGGGGCAAAGTGCAAAGTCAGGGTCCGGTGCTGAGGGGCAAAGTGCAAAGTCAGGGTCCGGTGCTGAGGGGCAAAGTGCAAAGTCAGGGTCCGGTGCTGAGGGGCAAAGTGCAAAGTCAGGGTCAGGTGCTGAGGGGCAAAGTGCAAAGTCAGGGTCCGGTGCTGAGGGGCAAAGTGCAAAGTCAGGGTCCGGTGCTGAGGGGCAAAGTGCAAAGTCAGGGTCCGGTGCTGAGGGGCAAAGTGCAAAGTCAGGGTCAGGTGCTGAGGGGCAAAGTGCAAAGTCAGGGTCAGGTGCTGAGGGGCAAAGTGCAAAGTCAGGGTCAGGTGCTGAGGGGCAAAGTGCAAAGTCAGGGTCCGGTGCTGAGGGCCCTGCTGGGAAGGCTGGTGCCCAGAGCTACCTGAAGGCCATGCTGGAGGGCTGGGGCAGCAGTTCAAGCAGACGAGTCCCCACAAAGGTTCAGGGCAGTGGAGAACTCAGGACCAGATTTAGCTTTTAGAAAGGATTACTGGAGAGCATTTGGAGCGAAAAGAGGGATTACCTAGGAGACACCTGCAGGGGTCTGGGAGAGAGTGCCAGAGAGAATGGAAAGAACTAGACAAATCTGAAGGCATTTCTTTGATTTGAATTAGCAAGTTTGAAGGACTGATCAGGGGGTGGTAGTCAGGGAAAAGGCACAATCCAAATGAAATCCCAGTCCCTTGCTGGCTAGATGTAAATTCTAATAGCAAAGATAGGAACACAGAAATCCCACCATGAATAAAGAAACGACAGAGCAGCAGCTTTGGAAGTAAGTTTCAGGGATGCGCTACAATGTTGATCATGAAGGATATTGCTTTGGTTTGGGGAACCGCAGCACATCCTGGTGGAGCAGCTGTACATGTGTGTGGAGTTTCTCTGGAAGTCTGAGAGATACGAACTCATCGCTGACGTCAACAAGCCCATCATTGCTGTCTTCGAGAAGCAGAGAGACTTCAAAGTATGTTTTCAAAAACTACACGTTATTATAATATTCTACTTTAAACTGCTCGATTGCTTACTACTTTCAAAAATGAAAACTCCCTATTTTTTATGTCAGCTTCATCCTCATGAGGCCCTTTGATTTATGGTTTCAGAAATTATCAGATCTTTACTATGACATTCACCGGTCGTATCTGAAGGTGGCGGAGGTGGTGAACTCCGAGAAGCGACTGTTTGGTCGGTACTACCGCGTGGCATTTTATGGGCAGGTAGGTTCACTAGAAGCGCTATGACCTGTCAATTCTATTGAGCAGTTGAATGCTGTCTTTCAGTCTTTGTGAGGCATCTAACTCCACGTGCCAAAGCACTGAGGGGGAGTGGGTGTGGGTGTGGGTCCGTCTGGGTATATTTGAGTGTTTCTCTGGGTGTGACTGTATGTTTGCCCAGAGGAAGGTACCGGACAGAGAACTCCATGGGTCTTAATACAGACTGAGTTAAAACAGTGATTTCTACCTTCTTGGAGAAGAAAGGCATTTATATTTCATCTTCTTCCCACTTCACCCCAAAATATCTCATTATAGGTTTGTGTCATATATCAAAGTCAAATCAAATTCAACATGTTTTAAGAAATGAAATTCATAGCATTCTGAGACATAAAGAATTCCTAGGGGCTTCCCCATCTCAAAGCCGTGAACTTTTAACTTCACAATCATGCATTTTCTTTTCTCCTACATTCAAACTAGGCAGAACAGTACCTGGTTGTTTTGTTTCCCATATTGCATGCAGGTCAATATAATTTTTTTGTTGTTGTTGTTCAGGTAGAGCGGGAGGGAGAGAGAGGAACAGAGAGAGAGAGAGAAACATCGATGTGAAAGAAACACATCGAGTGGCTGCCACCCGCACAACTGACCAGGGCCGGGGACAAACTGCAACCGATGTACACGCCCTTAGCGGGAACCGAACCCGGGTCTCTCAGGACCGCAGGCCGACGCTCTAACCGCTGAGCCAAACCGGCCAGGGCCAGGTCAATATAATTTTAAAGTCACCTATCTCAGTTTATGACATACACAATGAACAACATTGAAAATGTTGGCTAGCCACGGCATTGTGCTGCAAGTGAAGGGAATTATTACAGATTAATTACGAATGTCTCTGACCGGTGCTTGAAGTGGAATAGACCCAGGCCCCATCCTGTTTCTTCAGGGATGTTTATAACACTATTATATTTCAGCAGACATGTTTTACACTATGACTCTGCAGATAAACATTCCACTCTTGTTTGTTCACAGTTGGAATGACTAACACCCCCCCCCCCCCCAATAAGTCACTATTCCACACAGCTCTTGTTCTCTCTGGAACCTTCTGAGGTGTCCAATGCAACTCTTCTAGATCATTTCCCCATGAAGTGCTTTGAAAACTAGTTATGTTCCTCGAATCACCAAAGACAGCTTAGAAACTAGCTTGCGAGTTAATCAAGGTAGCTGCTCTCCACCTGGAAAGGGAAATGGCACTGGGTGGCCACTTGCCATAAACAGTGTGATCCAGCCAGGTGTTCCCGCGGCTCGGGGAAGGCTGGTGGCGTGAGGAACAGAGGTGAGGAGACGGTCCACAGGAAGAAGCTAAATTCATATGGGGGGTCCCTGGAAAAGAATCCCAACTCTCTGAAGTGATAGAACATGTTGGGGACAGAGAAATGTGGGGACTGCGGGAGAGAAGGAGAGAGAAATGGAAGTGATACCTTGAAAGGCAACATTAAACTAAAAATAAACATTTTTTGACCTTGCTGAAACATTAGCAAGAAAAACCAGCAGGAAAGCCCATCAGGAAGGGGGTGCGGGAGTCGGGGTGCTGTAGGGGAAAGAGGGTCTCCAGGGAGTGAATGGCAGCAGGGAGCGACCAGGGACGAGCAGCCAGCCAGCATCTGATCCTACAGCCCTTCAGGTGATCTTGCCAATGTCACAGTAACGAACCACCGTCAACACCCTGGTCGTGAGCACCAGATTGCCCACCTGGCGGGCGGTTTGTCCAGCCAGTCCCTCAGACTCTGGCTGCTGCGCAGGTGGCAACGAATCAGGCAGCGTTGCACCCAGATTGTAATGCAGATGTTCCTCTTTTCTCCCTTCGGTCTCACGGTTCAGGCTGTGGTAAGTGTGCGCTCCCGCCCCATCTGCATGCTCTAAAAATGCTCACACTTCCCTCCGTATGGTTTTACTGAACCTTAACTTTTTTTGTGCCGATCAGCGTTTGGTACGAAGGTGAGATCATCCTGTTTCCATTTATCTGGGAGTCCTGCCTTCTGGAACTAAACTGTGCTTACTCTGTTTATCTGAATTACAAAAATGTATCCTTTGTTTTTCATATACAGTATCTTTCTGCACAACGTAGGTGTAGTCTGAGAACCTACATGCATGCACGCACACACACACACACAGATAAATATGAGCACCACATATCTGAAACAGGTGGACAGTAGATTCAGAATTGGAGATTCTGCTCACTTCAGACCACTGTGTCTGGCTGATTAGGATGCACACAGGGGTGCTCAGAATTTCAAAAGTTGGAGAGGTGGCCATTGATGGGCACCTCCCCAGGTTCCTAAAAGGACGCGCCCCTTTTCCAAATGAGTAGGGCGGAGAAACAGCGTTCTCTATTGTGTTAGCTCTGAGCTTCTCAAAAGGGATGGTAATAATTCCCGACACACAAGATGAACCAAATCTTTCCCCAGAGGTCAGGTGAAGTCTCCTGAGATGCACAAAGAAGCGATGCAAGGAATTTGGTCAAGCAGAGGCAGAAATAACATGCCGGTACCTTGAGCTCTGTGATACAGAATTTCCTTTGTGTTATTTTGAACCATATGAAATTGCCCATATTCAGCTATTATTTTTCTGGCAAGAAATGGCAACTTCATATGGTTCGACATAATTATTGTTGATTAAAGTGGAGAGACAAATTCTTTTGATTTCCACACACTGTCCACATTCGACTCTGCTTGCCTGTCCAGTACATACTTTTTTGTAATTCTTTGAGTTCCTTCCCACATCCATCCCACATCAGTATGTTCCACCTTCACTTACAAATTTGGGGCCATGGGTCCTTAACTCGCCTACTAAAAGAATACTTGAAAAACCCTCTACTAAATAGACTGGGGGGCAGGATTGGGGAGAGCTACTGGGGGGAAGGATTGGGGAGAGCTACTTTCAAATGACCTAACTTTGTTCTTTTTGCAGAGTCCCCAGTAAAGTGTGCTGATGGTGTGCCTGTTTTTGTTTTGTTTTGTTTTGAATGCTGCCAGTATTCTCGATTGTCTTTTATTAAAAATCTCAATGTGAGCTTCAAAGGCAAAGTGGTCTGTTAAATCTGCAGACCTGAGTACATGCCTGTAAGCTCAAACCCCAGCACCTTTACCAAGGGGGACTAATGAAGGTCATCCTGATAAACAGCAATTTAGAGCCTTGGTCATCATTGTTCAGATGCTATTCAGACTCCTGCCCCACCACCAGATGGAGATGGGGACTGTTGGACAGGAGCAGGTCACACTTCACTCCATTTTGATGATAAGGAAACACCAGACGGACTCGAACATTCCCCCAACCTGTGCAGAATGAAAGTTCCACAGATCCCAGATAAAGTCTTGACTGCTTGACTAGCATACTCCCCATGGTCAACAATAATTTTTTTTCCATGATGGTACTTAATGTCCGTGTAAAATTCACCTTTTAATATCCAGATTGACGTGTCTTGCCATCATGTTTCAAAGATTATGCAAATAGCCTATGCAGTAGGCTCATTGCCCCCACAAAGGCCTTTGGGTAAATCGTTTAGGGTCCCAGGCAGACAGTATTCGCTAGAGTCATTAATATGATGTCTGCAATGAGTGAAACACTACAAAACAAGTTGGAACTTCAAAAACGCAAGTTTTGCATGGCATGAATTTTCTAATGCAACCTCTGGTGTCATTGCCTATGGAAATTTTACAGAGAGCAGCCTATATAAAGCATTCCCCAGAGTGTCCCTGAAGTATTCATTTCCAGAGTAATGAGCAGCAGTAGTGATCAAACGTCAACTGTAATCAATAAAATCCTCAGGCTCTGATATTTAGCATGAAAGCAAGCAAGTGTGTGTGCCCACAGCATAACTTAAAACATCAGATGCCCCTGGAATGAGTTAAGTGAAAGGCCTGGGAGAATTTTATTCCATTCACCAAAGGATGTAGATTCCTTGATTCTCAACCAAGCCTACGTGGGTATAGAGGCATCTCAGAATCTTAGTTTGAAAAGGGGTTGGGCGTGGAGGGACGGTGCATGTGTACTTGGTAAAACTATCATCTCCATTGGGGATGTGATATAACCTTCTGGCTCCCCACCGACATGAAAGTCCCTGATGTAGACAAAATCTGTGTATAATTGATTGGTGTTTATATGAAACCATTTCTCTGCATTCTTGTAGATTTTCTTCTCTTAGCATTTAGCCTAGTATTAATATTATCCGACCCATCTTTTATTCATTAAATTTCTCTTTCAGCTCCTTCCTTTACTTATGACCTTAGAATCAATAGAATATAACAGCAGGAGCATTTAGAGCTGACATCCCAAATAGTGATTCGGGGACACTGCAAAATTCTGAAGCACCTGCAAAAATATTGAAGGAGTCAATGACTTTAGTTGTCAGTTTATTGAAGTACATTTTTATCATAATCTATTGAAGTTTCTTAATCCATGCATATTAACTCTACTGACTCAAAGTCCTTCTTTAATTAAAGTATGTGCTGTTTCCAGAATAAAACAGGTCAGGGTGTTTTTCTGCATTGTAAAATGACATTAAAAAAAAAAAATCAAACTAGCAAGAGAAATGCAGAGGTCATATTTCCTGTTGCCTTGAGACACATTCTGCTCATGACCTCGTGGCTAACATGAAAGAGAAACTGCCCCTGGGTTTTCATCACCTTGTGTCCCTGTTTATAAATCATTTATTTCATAGAGCTGAAATTGAAAGCTTCTTTAAGGTAGTGTCCTGTGGCTCAGTGGGCGTGGCTTTGATGGTTTCCTTGGGTAAAAGGTGAGCTCACATTGCCAGCTATTTCTCTGGCTTCAAAAGCTCTTACGCTGCTCCTGGCAAACAGCAGATTAAGTACTTTATTCTGTTACTCCAGCTCCATTCTCTTGGTTTTATACAATAGTCTCAAGAGACATATCTCCATGCTTTATAGATAGCGAAATGGTGATAGATAGATAGGTAGGTAGGTAGGTAGATAGATAGATAGATAGATAGATAGATAGATAGATATAGATAGATAGATAATTTTAATCACTATTTCTTTCTGATCAATCACATCCCAGAATATTGAAATGTGCATCAGTGCACTCTTCTAATAAGGAGAGTATAGTTTCTATGCAAAGGAAGCTGAAGGTATATGTTTTAAGAGCTCAAAACTCAGTTAAGCTATATCCCTGCATATGAGCCATAACTCAAATTGCTTTATGGACCCAAACATGTTTTTTTAAATTTTTTTTATTGATTTTTTTAGAGGAGAGGAAGGGAGAGGAAGAGAAACATCGATGTGAGAGAGAAACATTGATAGGCTGCCTCCTGCATGCCCCTCGCTGGGGATCAAGCCCGAAAACTGGGCATGTGCCCTGACCAGGAATCAAACCAGGACCTCTCCGTTCATGGGACGACACTCAGTCCACTGAGCCACACCAGCCTGGCCATTTTTTCTTTATTATTGTCATCATCCTCATTCTGCTCCTCATAGGCTAACACTCTCCGAAGGCCTGGGTGTGCCAGGCACTGTCCTTCGAACCTCTCAATAGATTTCTGAGTCTATTTCCCATCCTCCTGACCAAGGGGTAGGGGTGAAAGAAAGTCGTGACCAGGGTCACGGAGGTCATAGTAATGACAATTAAGTCTTGCTTCCCACACTCCTATTCTTCTAAGTCTGGATTCAGAAATTTGTTAGGGGCAAGAATGCACACAGTGAAAACGTCTCTTTGAGCTGGTTTTCACACTATGGTGGGAAAATCTTTGCCTGGGACTTTAAGATGTTTTTCTCACTGAAATGGAAGTTGTAAATGTTGTTTTAAGTATTGTCCTGAGGCGGGAGGGCAGGGGGATTCTGGTTGTTGGCCTCAGAAGTCTTATTTCTGTGATGAGTCAGCCTGTCCATTTTCGCCCCTAACTTCTTTTTTTTTTTTTTTTTCAGAAGTCAGGATATTTTTTTGTTATAGATGTTTCTCCTTTTTCCCCCACTGACACCCTCCTCCTCCTCCCTCCTCACCCTGTCCCCAGCTTTGTTGTCCATGTCCATCAGCTATGCGTACATGCATATAAATTCTGTGGTTTCTCTCTCCTCCCACCCCCTCTTCTGGGGGTAGGATCCTCATTAACTTCTAACCTGGAATCAGACAAAGCTCTGCAAAGACATGTGGGAATGGGGCCAGGCCTCACTCCCCCCAAAGTCTAGAGGAGCAACAGGATCTGCTTTTCATGCTCTTCACGCCTCACTTCGTTATTTTTTAGCAGTTGAGGGTCAGGTACTCATAATCATCTGTATTTAGTCTTGAACATCTCTCAAAGAAATTGTTCGATTAAAAACTGTTGTGAAAAGCCATATAATCTCTTCTATTTATTCCGGGTGCAAATATACCTTTTTAAGATGCATGCCCACTCGAACTGTTTTATTCATCTGTTTATGACTTTAATAAAAGTAGAGTGACACCCCCCTAAAGACCAGCCACTGGGCCAAACACCAACATCTCGTCTTGAACAAGACACTTTCCCGACTTTAAAAAACCCAAAGTCATTTTGGGAGATGCACAAGGAAACAGGCAATTAATTTCGTGCCTGACAAGTTCTGTGCTGGCAAATTGTTTCCACAAATATACAGTGACATCCCACTTATCATACACAATACACTGTTCATGATGGTCAAATATACGTGGGAGAAAGGACCTTAAAGTATAAAGGCCCATACACGTGTGAGTGTAATTATCATACTCAGATCACTTCACATTAACTGTGAAAAATCCAGCATGAGAACATTTGATCCATGTCTTTTACATATAATGAGTGTTTTTTAAATAGTCAGAAATAACATTTTTTAAAGTACTGCTAAGATTTTTTGTGACCTCCAGTGCCTTTACCTGGCTCTCGAAAGTAAATTCTGAGTCAGAAGAAACCAGATGCATTTGGAATCTTAACTCCAGGCTTAATCCAGTGTTCTGGGACCACATGTCCCACGGGAAGAATGCTCTGTGTCTCTTCAAAGAGAAGGAATTTTAAAGATCGCCTCACTTAGTTCTTGGCAGGTGATGGGATCTTCTCTTCCCCGTTTCAAACCAGACAGATAAATTAATAGAGGCGAAGACCTACTTGCTCCTATGGCATAAAAATGATGGCATGGTTGGTTGCTTTACTATTTTCCATCCAATGGGTCTAGCTTTGCAAAAATGTAAAAGATCCCCTAGGAAAGAAAACTGAATGATGAAATTGCATATAGCCAAGTTTCATCAGGCCCCTGACTTAATGTAAAGTTATTTTTAAAATAACAGTACTTGGCAGCATACCCTGTAATTTCTGTGATAACAATACAAGGGCTGCGGCTCTTTATCTGAGATGGTGCAGGGTGCACGTCCACCCATTTAGATACCTTTACGTGCCCCTCAGTGTTCCAGCTTCAAAGACTCTGAGAAGACCTTGTTAAAAAGGATACTGCTCTTTGAAAAATGCCCCAAATTATTCCAGACTCTGTGTTCTACCCCAAGTGGCCACATGAGGGCATCCTTCCCCCAAAATATATGCAGCAGGTAATACCACTGATTTCTACAAATAGAGAAAATATGTGTAAGCTATCCCATGAGGTTCTTTGTCTCCATTAATGCTGATTCTAGCATGACATTTTATTTACTTCACTTGATTTTTTCTCTGCTTTTGATTTTATAGGGTATTAGCTAGTAGCTCGGATGACAACCAAAAGACTGGATACATTGTCCAAATAAATGGCTTTTGTTTTGCTTATAGTATGCAATTGGAGTAATAAAATTGGGAGTTCATTATGTGTCTTTCGTAGGGTTTCTTTGAAGAAGAAGAAGGTAAAGAGTATATTTATAAGGAGCCTAAGCTGACTGGGCTCTCCGAGATTTCCCAAAGACTGCTCAAGCTGTATGCAGATAAATTCGGAGCTGACAATGTAAAGATAATCCAGGATTCCAACAAGGTAGAGGAAAATCAACATTCGTGCATACTACTTTGGATATTTTGCCTGTTTGGTTATTGGTTGGTTGATTGGTGATTATTTTTGGCAAAAATAGCATGTGTTTATTGGAGTAACCTCTAAATTCCCTACTTTCCCATGGGTTATTTGCACTTGTATAGCAACCGAAGAGTTAAAGTGATTGCGCCCAATAATGGTGGACTTGGAGGAAAAGCAAACATGTATATCTTCTATCAGGAAGGTCCTCCTAAGTCATACCAATTTTAACATCTATGCGCTGTGATAGTACCAGACTTGCCGGTTACATTGTATTAATCTGTGCATATCCAATTAACCTTCTCACGGCTCCAGAAAGCCAATGCTTATATCCGCTAATGAAATTATTCACAATCCTCTAAATATGCTTTCGTTCCTTTAGCCAACCTCTATTAAGCACCTACTGCATGCCATCCCCAGTATTAGGAGCTAGGGTGCAAAGACTTTCTCCCAGATCTCCCAGTTCAGGTGGAGCTTAGAAGAGAAAGATGTGTGCAAACAGCTAATTAAATAGAGTGCAGGGAAGCACCGCAGGAGACATGTGCAAGTCAGAGAGAGAGAGCTCAGGGCAGGGGCTCCCTGGCCAGCTCGTTCTCAGCTGGACAGCGCTTCCCAGAGGAGGTGATGCTGGAGCTGGAAAGCACAGGATGAAAAGGTGTTTGCTGCAAACAGGGGCTTTGTGAGTGCCCAGCACGGGCAGTGACAGGAAGGAACGAAAGGGAGAGGTGCCTTTAGAGAATGGCACGCCTTCAAAACATAGGTTGGATACAAGAGTCTTTCAGAAGATGGGGCAGGAAAAGCTGGTTTATGCTCAATTGTATAGGCTTCTATTGGGTCGCAAAATGATCCCTGTCCTCTTTAACAAGGCTGGTATGTGGAGGAGTCTGGGCATGACATGGCTTGGTTGGGCAAAAGTTGTTACAAATGTGTCCATCATTCTCATGCTTGGTTTGAAAGGTATAACCCCCTTCCCCATAAAAGTGGGCAGGGCTACAGCCATGGTGGTGGTGGCACCCCTAAATAGAAAGTGTAGACAGAGTCCCTGATGGGATGAGAGAAATGCCCCATGTGGTGTCAGAACACACTTCAGTGTCCATCACACCAGGCCACCCCTTGATTACCAGCTGGTGACCCATCCTGGAGGAATTAGGTGGCCACTCTGACCCTCCGTTCTTTTTTCAGTAAAATGGTTGTGATTATATTCATTTTACTATGTAATTATTAGTAGTATTACAAATAAGTTCATGAACTTCCTCAAGTCTGTGGAACTGATTAAGCAATAGATGAGTATGTGGATGGAAAATCTTGCAATACGTTTGAAAATTCTTCAAGGAATCATTAGAAAAGAGACTGAGAATCATCTCTTTCAGCCTCAAAGGAAAGAAAGAGTAATTTCTTGGCTTTTCTTGGGACCCCCAGCCTGTCTTTCTTGATATCTGTCAGGCCTAGTCACCAAAGCAGAGGTCATAAAGAAATTACACAGAATGATTTATTGCAGATAAGAGAAGGAATTAGAGGGATTGAAAATAAAATATCTGCAATCATGTGACAGGCTACTCAGTTCATCTCCTTCCATGTTACCAGCCCAGAACCATGGGCCCAGTCCAGGTACATGGCTGAAACGTAGAGGCACAGGGAGATACAGTTCCACTCTTAAGGAGCTGGTTTTCTGGAGAAAGGTAAGGACGTTCATTACAAAAAAAAGAAAAGAAAAGAAAGATTAAATAACATGCCACAGCCGGGTGCTTATGCTGTGGAGAGCCCCAGCTACTCAGCGAGCTGGCCCCGGCTCCTCCACACCATGTGGCTGCAGTCACTTGTCTGCAATGATCCGGTTGCCCGTGGCCCTCCAGGGGGACAGGGACGCCCCGGATGCCCCCCGAGGGAACTCCGTTGTGCCCGGCTAGCTGAGGGCTCACCACTCTCCCCGCCGCGTGCTCTTACAGGTAAACCCCAAGGACTTGGACCCCAAGTATGCCTACATCCAGGTGACCTACGTCACGCCCTTCTTTGAGGAAAAGGAGATAGAGGACCGGAAGACGGATTTCGAAATGCATCACAACATCAACCGCTTCGTGTTCGAGACGCCGTTCACGCCGTCGGGCCGGAAGCACGGGGGCGTGGACGAGCAGTGCAAGCGCAGGACCGTGCTGACCAGTAGGCGCCGGCGGGGCGTGCACCGGGGCGGACGGGGCGGGGGGGGGGGGAGAGGGGGGCGCGCACGGGGGCGGACGGGGGCGCGCACGGGGGCGTGGACAAGCAGTGCAAGCGGAGGACCGTGCTGACCAGTAGGCGCCGGCGGGGCGCACGGGGCGGACGGGGGGGGGGGCGGACGGGGGCGCGCACGGGGGCGTGGACAAGCAGTGCAAGCGGAGGACCGTGCTGACCAGTAGGCGCCGGCGGGGCGCCCACCGGGGCGGACGGGGTGGCGGGGGGGGGGCGCACGGGGGCGGACGGGGGGGGGGGGGCGGACCGGGGCGGACGGGGGCGCGCACGGGGGCGTGGACGAGCAGTGCAAGCGGAGGACCGTGCTGACCAGTAGGCGCCGGCGGGGCGCGCACCGGGGCGGACGGGGAGGAGGGCGCACCGGGGCGGCCGAGGGGGCGCACCGGGGCGGCCGGGGGCTGTTTGCCCCGAAGAGCAGGGCCCCTTCCTTCCCCTCCGTCTGGGGGCCCCCTTGGGAAGTCAGCCGGGAGAGAAGTCGTCAGCAGTTACTGGCATCCGCTCCCTTGTCCGTCTTACAGTCAGGAAGGCCGCGGTGTCAGTGTCTCGGGAAGGGCCCCCTCCTCTGTCCCTGAATGTGCCCTCGGTGATTTCAGGGTTAGCGGCTCTCAGAATCGTGTGCTCTGGGGCCAGACCCTAAATCACGCCGGAATTCAGGTTCCTCGTCTGTAAAATGAGGGCAGAGGATGCTCAACGGCCCTTCCAGGACCATCTAAACCTATTCTGTGAGCGAGTCTCCTTTTATTCAGGACACTTAACCAGCGCCCACTAGGTGTTGGGCACTGTCCTGGCGACTCAGATAAATAAAACACGATCCTTGCCCTCAAGGTGCTCCCAGTCTAGTGGGAGAAAGCCAAATTCAGCACGAATTTCAGGCGAGCACAGGGGAGAAATGAAATGGGAGCACAGGACAGGGCCTCCCGGGGTGGACTGAGCGGAAAGATGAGCAAAGGCATTCTGGACAAATGATACCTAAACTGCCTGGGAAAAGAGCGATCCCGATTATGCACTTCATGGACCAAGAGCAGGGGGAACATTCACCTTCAGTAAACTTTTCCAGAACTTGTCTAATAAAAAGAAAATCTAAAACAAAGCTGTGATGCCATATGCTATTCAGTTATAGTTAAGCATTCTTTATCGTGGTTTAGTGTAGTTTTTATTTGAATCGCACGTTGTGGTGGAAGCTATAATCTTTGCAGTGACTCTAAGTCAAGGTCCTCCGCCAGCCCTGGGGATGAGGGCGTGGCTAGTGAGGCGGGGAAGAGGCTGGGGCAAGGGAGCTGGGGCAGAAGCTCAGAGGAGGGAGGGCACATGGCACACAGGGCAAACAACTCACATGCACTAAAACTAGCCGGAGGGAACGTACTGTGTGCAAGGGAAACCCCTCCAGAACCGTCTGCACCCTCGGGGCACGCCTGACCCTGCACCGACCCTCGGCCTTTCCACTCTCTCTGTCGTCCCCCTGCAGCCAGTCACTTGTTTCCCTATGTGAAGAAGAGAATCCAGGTCATAAGCCAGTCGAGCACAGAACTGAACCCTATTGAAGTGGCCATTGACGAGATGTCCAAGAAAGTCTCTGAGCTTAACCAGCTCTGCACCATGGAAGAGGTGGACATGATCCGACTGCAGCTGAAGCTCCAAGGGAGTGTCAGCGTGAAGGTGAGCTCTGCGGCTGACGCCTGTGGCCCGTGGGACCCGCCCCAACGCGCCCTTGACATTGTTTGGTGTTTTTTTTTTGACAAAGGGTCTAAGAGATAGTTTTCTGTTTGTGATACCATCCAACACCTTTATCCGAGTCTTTACATTTTTTGTTTCATTGTAAATGTACACCTGGAGATAAACCTTCTGTAAGTTTAGCTGAAATACAATGTCTTCTTCCTCAACCCTCCTTCCCCATCTTCTCTGGAAAAACTGTGACTCAATTAACAAATAACGTGTCTCTCTTGTAAATATCTGTCACAAAGAGCCTTTTATAACTATTCAAAAACATAGTTTTAGAAGGTATATTAGCTTATAAAATGCACATCGATATTTATTTGGCTGTCAGGGTCCTGATAAGAAGCAGATGTCCTGCTCATAGTGGGTGATTAAAGAAAAGGAAATAACTAGACTATTTGCAAAAGTGTAAGCAGTGTTTAGGAAAACCAACAAGGGCAGGCACAGGGGCTGGCAAGACTGAGGGACTGCCACCCTTCCTAGGCCGGAAAGCTGGGCAGAAGGAAGAATCATTGGAAGGAGAGAGAGCTGAGAGAGCCCACTGATGACAGACAACAGGCGGACAGACTTAGTCCCTGCTACAGGACGGCCAGGAGGAAGCCTGGGGCTTACTTAAAACCCGCCCGGGGCTGAGACTAGGGTGATAAAAGAACATAAAACTTAAGCAGGGCTTGGGTGGAGGGGGCATCAAAAACTCAGTAATCACTATAAAATAATATTGTAATGCAATATTTTTAAAAAATAAAAAATGTCAAAAATCCATAATGAAGAAAGTATTTACACATTTTTAAAAATATGTTTGTATTGATTTTTAGATAGGAAATGAAGGGAGAGGGAGAGAGATAGAAATATCGATGAGAGAGAAACATTGATTGGTTGCCTCCTGCACACCTCCTACTGGGGATTGAACCCACAACCCAGGCATGTGCCCTGATCAGGAATCAAACCAATGAGCTCTTGGCACATGGGATAATGCTCAGTCCACTGAGCCACACCGGCAGGGCAATATCAACACTTTAAATAAAGGCAGGCTGGTAACAGTATCATATGGAGTTATATTGGAGCCTGAGACAAAAGGAAAAAGCAGTAATGTTGATCCTGATGGTGACCTGGCTGTTCTCTTCCCTACCAACTTCTTGCCTGTGTCCCCAGTGGCTTACTCAAAAATAATTACTAATATTAATAAATAAATAAATAATAATACATTAATATTTTAAAATATGTTTTTATTGATTTTTAGAGAGAGGGAGGGAGAGAGAGAGAAACATTGACTTGAGAGAGAAACATCAATCAGTTGCTTCCTGCACGCCCCCTACTGGGGATGGAGCCTGCAACCTGGCGTGTGCCCTGACCAGGAATCAAACCGGGACCTCTCAGTTCTTGGGACAATGCTCAGTCCACTGAACCACACCAGCCTGGCAATTCATTAACTCGTAAAAGCCAGATGCCGGAGAACCATTGTTATCCTCCAGCCGGGGCAGCTTCGCTCAGCACACAGCGGAGCAAAGTGGAAGTGGGACCTGGGGGGACGCAGCACTGTTGGCGCATCCTCCACACTGCCGGCAGTGCCCGGCACTCAGGGACATCCGCAGATGCCTCCCTGCTTCCCCTCCTCCTTCCAAGCCCCACCGTCACTTTCAAGATTATGAGCACTAAGGAATACGGACCCCTTCACTAATGGGAACTTACTCTTGCGTGTGAGCACGAACAGGACCCGGCACTGAGCATTGACGCAGCAAATCTGATGAGTGCACCTTGGGCCAGAAGCTAAGCCGGCCTGTCCAGTAGAAGACAGTGGAACAGGCACGCACAGGGCGGTGTGCACACCACTCTCACCGCGGAATGTCTGTCTCTAATAGTTATGTGTTTGTGTTAATGTTAACAGAAAAACGCCAGCACGTCAAACATTGGATGCCACAGGTGTTTAACTTAAATTTAGTTAAGTAAATAAGAGGGAATCTAGTTTTCAAAGATACTAAGAAAATAATAGTTTGAGAGAGTAAAGGGGGGATAAATGGTGATGGAAGGAGACTTGACAATACAATACAATACAATACAATACAATACAATACAATACAATACAATATACAGGTGATAGATTCTAGAATTGTGCACCTGAAACCTATAGAATTGTATTAACCAGTGTTACCCCAGTAAATTCAGTGAAAACATAATAATAGTTCAAGCTGCATTTGGATGCAGCAGAAACATGGAATGGTGGGCACGCGACTGAACTCTGGGGAGGATGGCAGTGAAGTGTTGAGCTCAGATGGTCCCATAGTAGCTGACTCACCAGCAGGGGGACCACCGATGAGACAGATAACAAATTAGTGGACCCCACTTCGATATGTAGGAATTGGGGTCCCACACGATTGGTGCAGAAGTGGCTGCTCCTTCCAGCTGTGGAGCAGGCTCCTCCATGGAGGAAGGGGCTCATCCTCAGCAAAGTCTCTTTTCCCCAATAGGTTAATGCTGGGCCAATGGCCTATGCACGAGCTTTTCTTGAAGAAACCAATGCAAAGAAATACCCCGACAACCAAGTGAAGCTTTTGAAGGAAATCTTCAGGTAAGCTCTTCTTCGTGGGAGTGCTCTTCCTTGGGCTCCCTCAGACTGGGAGTCATGAGTTCCCCAGGAAGCCAGCTGACCAGCCCCCTTCTGGGTGGCAGAGTGTATCAGCAGCCTGACTCTGAGCGGCCACTCTGGGTGGGCGGTTGTTAATTTGCTTACTGCTGTCGCTAAAGGCAATTTGCAGATGCGTGTGGGCAGGCCCTGGACGTGAATGAGCGCCTCATCAAGGAAGACCAGCTGGAGTACCAGGAAGAACTGAGGTCCCATTACAAGGACATGCTCAGTGAGCTCTCCGCAATCATGAATGAGCAGGTGAGGTTTTCCCCGGGGTGGCCCTAGCTGTCCATTCATACAAAGCGCCCGTTTTATCCCCAATGCCAGAAGAACTGGAAAGGGTCCCTTCTTGCTGCTGAAGTCACTGCACCTTATATGAGCACCATGCCGCCAACTTGTCTCCCTGATGCATAGCATCCCTGATCTCAAAGCAGAGATCAGGTTAAAGAAAAGGCTGGAGATGAGAACCCAGATGCTTTCCACAGTTTTCAGAGATGTTTATCCAAACCATATAAGCTGTTAGTTTTCTAGGACAGAGTGGCCCTAATAAACACCAAGAAACATTGGGAAGCATACTCAGGAGGGTTTGCTACCATTCCCTTCCCTCTGGTTTAGGACCTCACACCCCCCAGGCCGTCATGTGGAGTTCCACAGTTCTGCCACTAGGGGTCTCTGCACCATACTCAGGAAGAATACCAGGACTAAGACCGTGGCTGGGCCTCCTAAAGATGTCCAGAGTTTGGATAAAATTCTATCCCTCACCCTGAAAGCAAGTCACCATGACTTCTGGCATGTGTCCAGCATGTTCTGTAAGGCTGTGCACCAAGTGTGGACATTCAGTAATCACAGTTCTTTACGAAGGGCTGAGGATCAAGTGGTCAAAGCCAAGGGCTGTCTTTTGGCTTCCCAGCATCCATCAGGCCTCACACACTACCTGACGGCTCATCACCTGCGGTCCCCTCCAGGACTGAGATGTGTTTTGTACAGAACAATTAAGGGGGAGAACCTCAACTAATCTCCAAATAGCGCCTCATGCATAATAGCCACTCATCAAATATTAGTCCCCTTCCTTTCATTAAATGGCCTAGTGGTAGCAACACTATTCAGAAAACATGAACTGTATCCTATGAATCTTTTATTCTAATTGCTTTTCTCATATATGCTTCTTATTTCTTCTTTTGCATCTCTGTCTACCCACATTTTAAACCCTCCATCAAAGCTGGAGAAAGAAATGGTGAATTGACTTATATGAGAGAATTGATCTCTATAGCTAGGATGCTTAGTAGGGGGAGCATTGGTTTGAGATTACAGTATTAAGGAGTTGATGGGAATTAAATACTAGGAGAGGTGCCTTCACAGCATGTGGAACTCGTAAGTCCGAGAGTGAAACAGAGCAAACAGTGGATCTGAACGTTGAAAAAGGTGGTAAAGAAATGCTTGCTTCCAGCTATAAATTGAATCTGACCTTGAAACTTTGGGCAAAAATTCTTTTCTCTTTTTTTCCTGGCAGCTGTGTTGCAGTCCGTGTTTATACAACTTCTGTTCCTCTGTGTCTAATATTTCCCTCAGTACTGTAAGCAAAAGTGGTATGTTTTTCTTTCCTTATGTCTATGCTGTCTTTTGTGGCCTTCTGGTCTACCTGTCTCTTCCTAACTGTTCATTTTCCTCAGACAATCTATAGTGGCTAGTGTTCTCTAAGTTTTTATTTAATTAAAACAACTTTATTTCCATTTCAAGGTAGGTCAATATGGGGGGGAGGGGTTCTACCGATTAAAGCTAAAGTTAGCAACTTAGCTTTTAAAAAGAAAATTCATACTCTACCTACGTTTAATAATATTTTAGCTCATTTGTATCCAAAACAAAGATTCACCACACTCCAGTGTACTAAAACAAAAAGACAAAGACAAGGACAAGGACAAGGAGAGAGAAAAATAATTAATTTTCCAGAAAACCTTTACTAGGAGAAGCAAAATTTGACTCTGCTTCCTACAAACTGAGGTAAAGAAAAGAAACTGATGGATTGAACAGGTCTTGTTATTCAGTAAATGAAATAGTTTTGTCACCAGGAGAGATAAAATTTCTCTGGTCCTTAGCTTCTATGGGGGCTTGTCCATAGGCCTTTATATCTGGGAACGATGACCACAATGTTCATGACATCTTCAAAAAAAGTGTTCCTTAAAATATGATTTATTCTGTTATATGGCCATTTCACATTTCCACCTTAGATTAAAATGAGGACAAAGTACTAACTTCTAACTCTGTAGAGGAGATTCCTAGAGACGAGACTATTTAATTAATAATTATCAATCATAAGTATAAATTATCCATGGCAAAACTATACGTTATTTACAGCAAAATACACTATTTTCATGATAACTATTGATAAGTGCTTTGAGTTGGTTGTAATGAACAATTTTCTGAAATCAGAAATAGCCAGCAAAGAATAGGTAGGAGTCTATAAAGTCCATAGTATTTTCAAAAAATTGTATATATATATTTTAGTTTACGTTTATAACAAAAAAAAATTTTTTCTTTGATGCTTTTCTTAATTTTTCAAATGAAAATACATTGGGCTGTAATGTTTGGGTCTGAACTCTAGTGGAGAGCTGGAGAGGCAAATCTCAGTATAATCCTGCAATGCAGGAATGAACTATAATCCACACGCCTGAGTACCTTCATGTGCCTATATATTCATGCAGATATTCTGAAAACAGGATCATATATAATTACAGTGAAAAAAGAAATTCTACCACTGAACTTTTGAAAATAGAAACTTAGAATGGATAGACAGAAATGCAAAAATAGAAATAGAATTAATCTGCAATCCACTCCAACGGTGTCCAGCATAGTCTTAGCTGAAAGAACGGTCATTTACTTAGTGAAAGAAGCTTTATTATAAGTGGATGCTAGTGTGGAAAATGGACATATTGAGGGGAAGTGGTTTATTAAAGTGACAGGCAGACAATAATTACCTTTCTAGGCAGCCAGAATGCCACACTATTTTATAAATATCCAAAAAGCATAAAAGCCTCCTTTGACAGAAGCCAAAGTAGTACATATAAGTATCTGGATGAAACATGAATAGAAGATGCTCTTTTGGAGTCTGTTTCAAAATTTAGAAGGACGATGGCATAATGAAGTCAACAATGGTAATGGATAGCAAATAAAAAATACAGAGACAGGAGCAGACCTTCTCTGTTATGGTGCCAAGTGGGTGAGATGCAAAGGTATATTGCGCTTAGATTTTGACATACTCTTCGGAAACATTATTTGCCAAGTTATTTAGGCAGATCTTGTGATATTGACCACAAGGAAAATGAATTGGTAGTAGAGGATGTTAGGTGTTCTTTGGGGAACAGAAGAAGCAATTCTATCCTGGAAGAGCAAAAAAATGAAAGCATAATAATATGTGGAGTTAGGGGGAGAAATCTCCATAATGCAAAATTTAAAATAGTCATTGTCTCTTCTGTACACAGATATATTTTAGAGGTTTCTGGGGGTCTCATCATTGTTATTGTGTTTACATGTCATAATTTGAACAGATCTAACGGGAAAATATTATTTAGTGATATTAATATTATTTTCAAAAGCATATTTTTTTCTTACTTTCATTAGTGCAAACATGTAAATGAGGTTTCAGATAGCTCCCTTTTTTGGTAGGTGTTGACAATGTAAATTATAAACTTTTAAAATAAAATAAAATTCTGGGATTACTCAGATACATTCATCAGGTTTATTCAAACATTTATAAATTTATATCTGATAGCCAAAGAGTATTGTGATGATACTTTTAAGTCTTACCAAAATGAGCTTGAGAAAAAAAAAAGGTCTTCAGATCTACTTTGATAAGTGCATTTTCAAAGTTTTCAAATTCCCTGTAGGCAAAAAAAAAAATCACTCTTCTGGGTTTTAATTGTGTACTTGGAGATAATAACATGAATGTTTCTTTCTGTTGTTCTTTTGTCGTATTGTGTTTTCTCTTATTTTAAGATTACGTGCAGGGACGAGTCGTCAAAGCGAGGAGTGGAGCGCACCTGCTCTCGAATAATTAGCAAGGGGACCCCAGCTCTGCCCACTGTCTCCATCTCACTCAGCGCGGACGTTTGAGCAAAGTCTGCGGCAGCAGATGCACCTCTAAGGGAACTCTCTGAACGTGCAGCTAATCTCGGGGAAGAGAAGATAGATTTAATTTATTCGAAGTTTTTAATGTTAATATTTTTTTTACCTCGCTAGCTTGAGAATTTTGCCAATCTTTGGATTTGCACATTTCGTATGATTTCTTTTTTTCCTTCGAGCAGCGTTAAACAAGCCAAGCTGAATATTTGCCGTGAAATTCCAATAAATATGCAGCTCAAAAGCAAACCCTAAGTTTGCTGTCGGTTACAATACATTCAATTCCAAGTCCTAGGACACACATTTTAAAGGTCAAAGTGAATGTTTTTGCAACAGTTAAGCATATTTCAAATGTAAATAGGAGATTGTAAGATATATGGTTTTTACCAAATTTAAAAGAACCTTTTTAGTTAATACTTATGACGTGCTAAAATTATATGGATAACATTTCAGATACCATTATATTAAAATATTTGTGTATGTGTACAAAAGTGTTGATAAATACTAATCTTTAAAGTTTCTGGAGTTCCTTTATTTGTAATATATGTGCTCTTAAAAACATTGGGCTATGAAATTATGGAAGTATTTTGTTGTTAATAGAAATAAAAAATACAGTTACTTTGCATTTGGTTCTCTCTTGAACAGTGGGTGAGTTGCTACTAAAAGTGGTCCATTGGACTGAGCATGTGCTAAATGCAACCCTGCATTCACTCCTTACATGCCTTACCACCAAATCAGGAAAAGGACTAGAACCTCAGCTGGACAGTTCTCCCAAAAACAGCAACTAGACAGGCCAAAAGATTCCAAGCCTAGGACATTAGAAGTGTGGAGAAGATAAAATGAATCAGAATCTTGAGAGTTGTGATCATTACTAAGGCTATTCACAAGTATTCCATCTCTACATCCTGGGAACTTGTGGTAGGATTGCACTTTGCTTCCTCTTTTGAAGTTAGACTTGATGGACTGTGTGGCTTACTTGAGCCATTGCAATGTGAACAGGAATGACATGTGTCCTTTTCAGGCAGATACTTAAAAGCCAGGAAGTGATTCTGCCCAGTCTCTTCCCTGATGCAGTCATCTTTGAAGCACGTGGATTTGGAGCCTCAGTGAGCAGACACACACACACACACACACACACACACTGACCTTGTTGGACATAGAGTCTGAATGAGAAATACATTTTGTTGTGTTAAGGTGCCTGAGTTTCCGGGATTGTTTGTTATTGCAGCATTTTGAGCTTATCCTAGCTGATTTGTCCTTTTCTCAAAATCGTGGCAGATATTCATCCAGGTTTGAGAACCACTCACACATTCCATCTCCCTCCCCCAGCCCCTGGCTTCCCCCCGTCTCCACCAGCAGTGGTGCAACTGAACAAAGCTGCCTCCAGATGCCAAAGGTAAACTCGGGAGCATCTTTATATTTACTCCAATGGCATTTGCAAAGGCCCAACTTCAAATCAGGAGTCTTTAGCTGAGTTCATCTTTCTGCCCCATAAGTTCAGAGGATAAGGCCTAGAAGATATTTAAATGCTGTGTACACCAAAGTGATTAAAGGATATAATTTAGGTGAGAATTCTGATCCCTCAAGACTCGTGTAACTGGTCTTTTCTTAAATGCAGCTCACTGCTTTACAAAAAAACAAAATTCTGTAGTGTGCTGACCTCTGGCAAGTTTGACTAGGGAAAGCATGCTTGTAACTACTATGCTACATGCTTTCAGGATGATCTCTAGATCAAAGCATTGCTCCAGGCTTCATTCTCCCTCCAGCTCTCTTGATTTCTAACTTGCTTGGGTCAGCGTCTTAACTCTGCCCTTCTCATTTCCCCATCTGGATTTTTAAGATTTCCTAGACATAATTACCGTTCCAGGAATTCAGGAAGAGTCTGTCTCTGCTATTGTCTCCCACCCAATTCCTACTTCTCGGCTCAAGTCTTCATGTCCATCTCAAGCCACCTATCACCCCTGCCCCGTGGACACTGTCAGCAATAGGTTGCCTGAAAAGAAAAGAAAAAAAAAACAGATGTGTGGGTACTTTGCACAGTGGGTACTTTGCAGAGGGGCATGCATATCTGGTGTGTGTTAATTTAGCAACAGGAGCAACTCACTCTGTCTTTCTACATCATGACAAAGCAATCAGGATCAGATTCTCCTGATGTCTATGAAGAGAACCTCATGTATTAAGGCCAAAAAAATACATTTGAAAACATCAGAAAATTTACATGGGATCTTAAATATTTTTAAAGGGTAAAAAGAGTTGAAGGAGTGGTAAGAGTTGGCATCTGAGAGACCCCTTGGCATATTCTCTGCAGCGCGTTTCTGCTTATGTCTTTAGACTTCATGAGAAGATCTGGGGTCTACTTTTAGAACACAGTCCCATCCTAACCAGAAGTTCATTTGCCTGAGATGAAACATGATAGTTGTTGACTTACCGACGGGCACGTGAGAGGAGCTGCTGTGAACAGAGGGTAGATAAGAAGATGAGCATGTTTCATTCAGAACATGGATAATTTAAAAGTTCCAGGTGAATTATAGAGATGGGGAGACGTTAGCAGAAGAAGAGAATTCCCATAGAAGCCTCAACCTCCTTTGCCCTCCCCTTGCCTCTTGATATCCCCGTAGCAAATGCATGTGGTTGCAGATGGAAGGTAAGAGAAGACTAATTTGATGGAGAGATCGTAAATCATAATCTCATGAAAGACACTGTAGTAAGCACAGAAGGTTGTTTTTAGAGGTATGTAGAGTGAGAGAGAGAACAAAACATGCCCAACTGAGGTTCATGAAGGTCATTTAAAGAAGGTAATGGTGATTGAGCTTGAGTAATTAGCAAAGGTTTACAAAGAATAGCTTTAAATAACACTAATGTCAAGGGTTCTCCAGGGGAATCTGCTTGCAATTTTCTTACCTCATTAATATTAATACCCAACTATAAGTCATTGTTTCTTGGATGTATTCCTAATGGATAAAGGATATTCAGTTTCAAAGCTAATGACTTTCCTTGTATTTTGTCAAAAGCAATATAACTATTAACTACCAAATCTAGGGTGGGTGGACTTTTTTAAGTTATAAATAAGATCATTGCATTTGCAGGACATTTTGTTGAGCACGATATTTTATCAAACAGAATGGCCTATTGACTGAGGGAGCTTGTTTCATGATACTTGCATGAAGCTTAGTGAGTTCCTTTGGATTTCTAAGGGACTAATCTGAAATACTATTTTTCCCTTTGGATGAACAAATTTTTTTTGCATTTTTTTTTATTTTATTTTTGTTAAAGATGTTTCTCCTTTTTTACCCCATTAACACCCTCCTCCCCATTTCCCCCACCCTGTCTCGGCTTTGTTGTCCATATCTATTGGTTATGTGTACATGCATATAAGTTCTGTAGTTTATCTCTTCCCTCCCCCCACCACTCCTCTTCTGAGTGTTGTCAGTCTGTACCCTACTTCCATGTTTCTGGGTCTACCTTATTCCTCAGACTGTTATGTTCATTATATTCCACAAATAAGTGAGATCATGTGGTATTTGTCATTTTCTACTTGGCTTGTTTTGCTTAGGAAAATACTTTCCAGGTCCCTCCATGTCATCTCAAAGGATAAGAAATCTTTCTTTCTAACAGCTCCATAGTACGCCATTGTGTATATGTACCACAGCTTTTTTATCCATTCATCTACTTATGGACACTTGGGCTGTTTCCAGATCTTAACTATTGTAAATAGTGCTGCTATGAACATGGGGGTACATATATTCTTTCTGATTGGTGTTTTAGGCTTCTTAGGATATATTCTTAGAAGTGGGGATCACTGGATCAAATAGAAGTTCAATTTTTAATTTTTTGAGGTAACAACATATTGTTTTTCATAGTGGCTGCACCAGTCTGCATTCCCACCAGCAGTGTACTAGAGTCCCCTTTTCTCCACACCCTTGCCAACATTCGTTTGATGATTTGTTGATGGTGGCCATTCTGACAGGTGTGAGGTGATGATACCTCATTGTTGTTTTAATTTGCATCTTTCTGATGGTTCGTGATGTTGAGCATTTCTTCATATGTCTCTTGGCCATTTGTATGTCCTGTTTGGAGAGGTGTCTATTCAGCTCCTCTGCCCATTTTTTAATTGGGTTCTTTGTCTTCCTTTTGTTGAGTTGTGTAAGCACTCTAAATATTTTAGAAATTAACCCCTTATCTGATGTGTCATTGGCAATGATGCTCTCCCATACAATGAGTTGCCTTTCCATTTTGATGGTTGTTTCTTTTGCTGTGCAGAAGCTTTTTAGTTTGATGTAGTCCCATATTGAACAATTTTTTTTGAAAAGTAATAAAGAATAATAATCAATTTAACCCCCCCAAAATTAAATTTTTACTTTAAAACAAAAGCCAAGTAAATGGGGAGTCTAGCCTGAAAGGCTCTGGGGTGTTCTACAAAAATATCTACAAGCAGCTACCCAACGTCATGGTAGTGGCCTCTCACCACCTCAGCTCAACACTCCTCTGGACTCTTGAAGTCAAGTAGACCCAACATGTTCTATCAAGTGGTTTCCAGTTTTCAGTCTCTCCCTCCTGAATAGCTGAGCAAAAAAGACATTGACTCTCCTAGGTTTGTTCAATTGGTTATTCTTAAGCTGAGGGATGTGGGAAGTGTGTGACCACTTACCTTGACTTGCACATTTAGAAAGAAACAGTTTCCATTAGGGTTTTAAGCCCCAAAGTTGCAGGTGATGGTGCAAAACGATCTTTACTCTTCCTTTAAGGGACCCAGGTTCAGACACTATGGATATTTATAGTTACTGCTGGGAAAATTGAGGATGAAAAATAAGTGCATCTTTAAAACCAACATTCACTGCCTTCTATAGTGTAACTTGGGTGTGTAACAGTCAGAGACTGTTAAAAGAAGAGCTTCCTTTCCTATCTGACTGTTGGTCTTGCTGGGAATGAGTCAGAGCCCCAGGAGGGGATGGATAGTTGCCACACCCCAGAAGTGGGGATTTCCAAACACCGTACATTTGGCAAGAATGAAATGGGGTGTTTTAAAAATGCATGGAAGACAAATGAATCTAGCCCAGGAAAGCAAGCCAACACTCCCCTGACTCCCAGACACATCACCAGCCCTGGGGAGTCTGAGGTTTCCCATTTGCAAAAGCTCTCCATACTATGAGGCATCTCTTTGTTTCTGGAGGATGTCATGGCAATGTTATTTGACACATTCCAGAAACACTTCCATTTGGTTCTATTCATACATACATCATTAAAGGCTGGATTTTCAAATCAAGTTGTCGGTACGATAACAAGTCTTGCCTTAAATTTGAATAACAGATTTTAATATTTGAGCCATTGTCAACTTTTTCATTCTTCAAACATGCAGCTTTTTACTTCTCTCAACAAAAACTGAGAAAGAGTAACTTCATCAGAATTAGCACTCTCTTGGGTTATCTATTTATCAAATTTGATGACATGCCCTTTGAAGTCTAAATGTTACTATATTCTCTTTTTAAATATTAGGAAGTAACATTTTCCTTGTCAGAATTCCCCACTTAAGTCTTCCTCACTGTGATATCTTGACATTTGAATATGCAATTAAGTCAGATCTGAAAGACTTCTGCAGCAGTTCATTGCCCAGGGTCAGAAACAAAC